CGGTCAGGTCACATGGTGGTACTAATTGAATCTCACTTTACTATTTCTATAAATATACGCATTTTCATTATCGTCCCTCGTGTAATCATTGTAATGTTGGAAGATTATCATACATCTGAAATAAACAGATTCATAATTAGAGGGGGGGGGGGGGGGGGGAACTTACGTATAACTAAAGTGTAAGGAAGATTTTACTATCATAAAACCATTGTGTCGTTGAGGTATTGGACATAGTCATTTTAAGCACATGCGAGTGCAACAGTCGGACCTAATTTAGATTTAGCTACAGAATTTATATTAAAAGAATTTGTTACTTTAATTTGCCCACCGAAAATTGTTGGATTGACCTTGAGTTTTAATCTTAGTTGTAAAATTTCTATTTTTATATATACTTCAAATTTTATCATTGGATTCGGTTCTGAATTTTTCAGTTATCAGAAAGAAAGAAATATTCTTAAGATTTTAAACAGTATATGTAAAAAATTTGAATTTTGCGGTCATAAAGATATTTTAATCATTTAAAATCATTTAAAATAAATACACTCCTAAAAGGACATAAAATCATAACTTGACTTTTTTTTTAACAAAAGAAAATCATAACTTGTCAAATTGTCATAAATGAACAACAACAAGAAAACAATATATAGAGACTTAGAGAGATAAAGTTGATGGGCTCGTGAGGTATTATTATTAAAGAGGGTCAGAGAGAGCATGTGGAGTCCGACCATTTCAACCATAACGACTTGCTCCAGTCTTCCTTTGATGCCGACATTTTCTTAAATATTTCTAAAATTTATAGACTATAGGTTCTAGTAAAATCAATTCTCACATATCAAAATTTAAACTGATCTCTTAAATGTATAGCTATTAGCCTATTACATATTAGAAATTTGCAGTAAAAATAATTGACGAGAGATTTCGACCAACGGAAAGAACGGTATTTTATACTAAACCCATGCAACCACTCATGCTTTATCAGTTTATCTTATCATACGTAATAACTATTTAAAATATAGACATCATCAACGTCGCTTTCATATTTTGTTTTATTCAGAGGTGTACATAACAATATCACTATAGTATGCGAGAGAGAGGGGTTAGGTTTAGGTTTCGTAATTAGAATATTAATATATTATATCTCATAAACTACAGAAGATTTTCTTTCTTCTCAGTCTACTTCTAAAAAAAACTAAAATATATGTTTGTTAAACGACTAAAATTCAAATTAAATTCTAGAAATTCGCTTCTCCAATTTCCACATCCTCTTTATAATTTTATCATTTTAGATGGGAAAAATCCAAAATTTTAATAGAAGGAATTTTTTTTTGTTGGGAAAGTCTTATTCTAATAGTTTGCTTTCTAGAGACTGCAATCATTTTTAGAAGAAGAAGAGGAGAAAGTTAATTGTCTTCGTGATATTATATTGGATTTTTAATATATATATATATATATATATGCAACATTATTACTTATACCATTTCAAGACACCAACACATACTACACAACCCGAATCCTAAAGTATATAATATATTTTTACATAAAGGCAACTTGTAATTATGTATTTCTATGTGATTTTTATAGTTTTTTGTTAAACATCTTTAAAATTCTAGTGTTTCATTGCAACAAAAAAATGTGGTGTTTTTTTGTTAGTACGTGTGAAAAAAAAACGGTTGAAACAAAAGAAGCAATTGATAAAAGGACTATAAAATATGAAAATATATTTTTGTGTCATTTATTGACGATCCAGAATAGTAGAATGCCATGATACCCTCGTGGTCGTGTCCATTTCCTTATTTTTCGGAAATATTCTCTCTCTTTTTTTTTTTAACTTGGAAAATATTCTTATATCCTTAATTTAAGCTTAAAACTATCAGCTACTCTATTTAATTAAACACTCATGTTATTATTATTATTATTTTTTTTGTGGTGAAAGTCGCATGGAAGCTATATATGGTAGGACAAAAAGAAGATGCAAATGATTATTGATTTTATTTGGAAAAAACATGATGTGATTATTGGTTAATGATTTTTAAGACCCTTTCCAGTCCATGTAATTTGTAAGCGAGTGTCTTTGTGGCTGAGAAAAATATATTGTGCGGCGGTCTCTCTTTCAGACCAATTATTTTCGATGATTTTTTCCATTTATTTATCTTTTGTGTTATTTCTTATAATTTATAAGAGAATTAGCTGTGATTTTTTATTATGTTTCATGTTTTGTACATATAAGATAACAACATTTAGTTAGAAAAACAAAACAAAACAAAAAAAAACCGGCGTATGGATTGGCATTAGAATTTTCGCATTGCTTAGTAAGTTTGAATAGTATGACACTTCTAGTTGTAGTAAATCACCAAATGAACAATGTTAAACTTGCCGTTAATTATATCACCAAGTGGATATATTGTTTAGTAGAACACAAGAACAATATATGATGCATTCTGTAGACTAAAGTCATGCGTGCTGGTGAAAAACAGAAAAAATATCCTCTCTTGTTTTTTTCTTTAATTTTGCCGATAAAAGATTATCCGTTATTGGATTTATTGAGGAAATATTCTAAAACGGTGGCCAAAATTTGAATACAAATAGGCTTGTAGCATTTAAAGAATGGGTTCATATCCACGTACCACACTTTGCAGGAAGTATTCACATTTGATAAGTCTATCTAATAATAGTATTTTTATTTAGCAAAATTCATTGAACCTTTATGCTGCACTTAGCTTATAAGTCTACGTAACTACCTACTCAATCCTCGAGATCGTTTCTTTTCGTATTTTTCTACAGTCTGATTTAATAATTGGACTAGAAAAATATAACGAAATAGCTAGAAGGTAATAATGATTATATATATATATATATATATTGTTTATCAATCTGAGCCACATTATATATTGAGTACTGATCACATACATCTGATTTGTGAATGGTGATAGTGCTCACACCAATCCTCGATTCATATTTTCGATTAATAGGATTAATCACAAAATCAATAAGATTTTGATGAGGTTATGCTAATTCTATTAGTCTTTAGTTTAAATGAGCTAAACAAAATCATCGTTGTAGGTGTAGACACATTAAAAAATATTCTGAATTTTTGTAAATATCAATAATTTGCTCCGTTCTATAAGTAATCATATATAGATTAGTATATAGTTTGTTCTGTATAGAATCACAGTCATCAAATCGAAACAGATAACGTATGTTTAGCCGAGCCCTACTCGGTAGTCATTTTTTTTTTTTGCGATTTTTCTGTTCCATGCATGGGACTACATATCGCAATCAAAAGAAGTTTAAATTAATCATAATATATCCATGACGATGGTATAAGTCAAAAATTCAAAGGTGTAATATCGTGTTAAAAAGCGGTCCAAACCACGCATTATATATTAGCGGTTTATATTGAATAATATGATCGAATTGCTTGCAAATATATGCATGTAACGACTGCATCACTCAGGTTAGAAAAAAAAAAACGCAGATACACCGAACATACATCAAACGCAGACGCGTCCACTAGCCACGATTCAAACACGCACTTGATCAAGGCTAAGGAAATACATAATAGGAGACATCGACGCACGTGACCATGTCCCTTCCAAAGTCAACATAAACGTGCCGCGTAAGGATAGAGACTTTTGTTGTTTTACTACGTTTTAGGTTTTAAATTTACAACTTTTGTTTAACTATTAATTAGAATTACGTTATTAATCATTAACCTATAATGTCTCTCGTTATTAACCAACTTAGCCTACAAGCCTAGACCACGAAACGACAGAGAAACCCCTTAAACACCTTCGACAGGGACAACGTCCAATTATTAATTAAGTTGAATTATTGGCTATGCCTTAATTGATTCTCCATATTTCTTAATTTTGTTGACCCACCAATATTTACCAGTTTAAACATCCTCTATATAACCGGACGTTTAATGTTGAAATCTATACTATTTTCTAAAACTGCGAGTAAATTGAACTATTGTCAAACAAAAAACACAAAAAAAAAAAAAAATCGATATTTGGCTACAAGCCTACAACTAACATAACGATGATTACTCCATGTCATGAATCATGATTAACTTGGTTATTCAAATATACTTTTTATCTGCTACATCTTTATATTTTGGTTTTTTTAAAAATATCTAAACGCGAGGCATTATTATATAGAGTGCGTATCATATATTGTTAGTGGTTATTGATGTAAGTAAGTATGTCGTTAGACGATAACTAAAATTTCTTCCACACTTGCAATACAAATTGTTTTAACTACAAATCCAAAAGTTTGGTTGGTTTGTCCTCATTTATTATAATACACTTGTCGTTTGGGCCTACTTTAAACTACACATACCAACTTTACAAATTTCTCGAATTTCATTTGAAAAATGTAATATATTTTGCGAAAATAAAAGTAATATATACGTAGAGAAACTAACGCATCAATATATTATCGTCGTTATCAATGAATATATTAAAAAAAAATTGGCCTTTTTTTACCCAAAGTGTGAATCAAACTTAAAGAACGACAACAAGGCAAGGATTCGTCTACAGGCAAAATTATTATATTTTTTGAAAATTAAATAATAATTTAATGAATAATGATCTAAAAATGTTTTAAGATAGGATAATTAACTTCTTGCACACAAAAATATGGGATAATTAACTTAAAAAACAAAACTGAGGTGATTAATTGATAAACCTGATAGGTATGTCAACAATATTAACATAAATTAACTAAAAAAAGAATATGATAGAGAGAAATAAGTCTGATCTATATATTTTAGGAAGTGAGATAAATTTAGTTAGACTTCTAGATATGCTATGGTACTTTTAATTAACATGTTTTTCCCCAAAAAAAAAAACAACATTAGCTAAATTAGCTAACGTCTTAGCCAATGAAGAAAATTCCAAGAAAAGAAATAAATATTTACGAAAAAAAATTAAATAACAAAAAAAAGGAGAGCGGCCGTTTTTTATATAAAGAAGATAAGCCATTGGAGGTTGAGACAACGCTTTTTGTCTCATCTCCTTCACCTTCGAACTTCTTCTTCTTCTCTCTCTCTCTCAAATCTTTTCAGGCGTAACGAATCGAATCATAAACACTTAAGCATAACTAAAACTTCCGATCTATAAACCGACCAATAGATTCGTGGGTTCTTCTTTATTTAGACAGATTCTGATCCGTTATAGTTGTTTCAAACGAAACGGTGAAAATCTTTGTTTTTGTTTTATAATATACTATCAAACTCGTTTCTTCTCCCTCTTTCTTTTATCTGAGAAATTAGGGTTCCTTCTTCTTTCTTCTTCAAGACTCTGTAAAATTTAGCTAAAATGGGCGTTGAAAAAATGGTGTGTTTGGTTTCTCGCACTGGTCGTCAGTTTCAGAGATACAACAAAGGTCGTCGTCAAGTCGTCGGGTATGTTCATCTACAGATCTGTCTTTCACAAAATTTACCTGAAAAATAAAGTCAATTACTTTTGAAATTGAGTTTTTGTGTTTCTGAAATGGAATTATTTTGGGGAACTTTGCAGATGTATTCCGTACAGATTCAAGCTTTCAAGCGATGGCAAGATTAGTGACGAATTAGAAGTTCTTGTTATCTCTTCTCAAAAAGGTCACGCCATGATGTTCCCAAAGGTACTCATCTTATTATTTAGAAATTGAAAAAAAAAAATCAATTTTCTTGAAAGTTTGGATTTGATGATTTATGGTGATTTAAAAAGATCAACCGTTTTTATGGGTATTAATTGTTTTTTCTGTAATAAATTAAAAAAATATTCAGGGTGGTTGGGAGCTTGATGAATCCGTAGAAGAAGCTGCTTCAAGAGAATCTCTTGAAGAAGCTGGAGTTCTTGGCAACATCGGGGTATTTTTTTTTTATAAATAAAAAACCCTTTTTTCCTGTTTTTATTTGATTTTATTTCTATTTCTTTTATATTAATTTTTGTTTTTTTAATTTTGTTTTAAATTTTGGCAGCATCAACTTGGACAATGGGATTTTTTGAGCAAAAGCAGAGGAACATACTATGAGGGACTAATGTTCCCTATGCTTGTTACAGAACAACTTGAGCTTTGGCCTGAACAACATGCTAGGCAAAGAGTCTGGGTCAGTAGCTAAAACACTATTCTATGTTTTACTTTTTATATATTTTTTGAATCATATCGACGAATATTTATACTGATTGTGTTTTCTTTCACGAATTTTACAGATGAACGTAGAGAACGCAAGAGAAGCTTGTAGAGATTGGTGGATGAAAGAAGCATTAGATGTTTTGATTGAGAGACTCTCATCACCAATGAATCAACCAAAGGAAGAGAAGACTACTATTTCAATCTCTATTGAAACAATGTGCTGATGATTGCTAAACCAGCTGATTGTGATGGGAGTTTATGAACTAATGTATCTCTGTAGATATAAATAGATGGGTTTTCAACTAGTATTGAGACAGCGATAAAAAATCGATTTGAGAAGCAGAGGCAGAGCAAGGAAAGAAAGATGGGTAGATTTTGTTAGGTTTAATTTCGAGCAAAGAAAAAACATCATGTGATTTAAGGAGTCTTGTGTTTGTGTTTATAATGTTTCTGCAAGATTTGCTTAAGGGATGGTGAAGAGTTTAGAAGATAAACAAAGAGTGCAAGCAAAAAGCTGTACAATTGTGTTTCCCTCTGTTTATGTTTTTCATCTCTCTTTGAATTTGCAATGGAGACATTTGATTTAGTGGTGCACTTTGCCACTTTGTGGTTGAGAAATATTGAATAATGCAAGTAGGTGATACGTGTCAGGATGTGATTGATTACAAGAGAAAACGGGAATAAATTACTCCAATCATATGCTCAATATAACTGATAGAATAATACTGAAGGGAGTCATTTTCCAAAATTGATTATGAAAATATCAAAAAAGGTTGATGAGTCATTATCAAATTTTGGCTTTATCTTTTTGAAAAATTTGGTTCACATTTTCAGTAACTTGCTTTTTTTTTCCTAGCTAACCTATTCATTGTCACCAACCAACATCTTAGGCTTCTTAGCCATTTGTTTTTCAACAAATGTTTATGCTGCAATTGAAGAAAGACAATATTTGGAAGTCTACTATAGATTGATTTTAATACTATAGTTTGTGGAAAAAAATGGAAGATCCCACGCCTTATATTTAATACATATTACTAATCTTTTTATAATACAAATCACGAACAAGTTACGCTTTCAATAAATAAAAAAGCTGACGCATGTATTGTCTACCAGAATTGTCTAGCATTACTACCTTTAGATTAGTTATTACTTAGTTTAAATTATAACAGTTAAAAAGCCTTTTGCATCCCATTTCTTAAATCAGTAAAAAACTTCTGTGGTTTCGACCACTTCTTAGTTTGCATTAATTTCTGAAAATATAGAAGAAAAACGGCAGTACAACTTTATAAGTTGGTTCTAAAATAACAAACATAAGACAAGTAAGTTTCAAAATTTTTAATCGTCGTACCCATTTTCTATTCAAACATCTTAAAATATAACGTTAATTATCTGTGTTTCTGCTAGTTAACTTACTAGTAGATCTTTTACCAAAAAAAAAACTTACTAGTAGATTTTGATACCCGAAGAAGAAGAAAAATATGAATTATTTGTTTACATATTTGTGTTGATTCTATCAACTTTAATATTGGATATATCATCAATCTACAGTTATATACTTTAATAAATGGATGACTTTTGAATAAAATTTGGGCCTTTTCATGCCCGTGTCCAGTTCCATTTGGGTGGCGGTCATTTGTTAAGATTTGGGCCACTATTGATTCCTTGAAAATTCGTAATCATTTCCCTCTTTTTGCCGGCATCGAGTTCAGTTCTCCGGCCACCACCGATTGAAATATTGTAATAAGAATACTTCTTTTTGTTGAATTAACGAGACATACTGTATTGTAAGTAACAATATCATTCAATTTTCTAAAACGACTAAAATGTTTAGAACTCATAAGATTAAAAAATATGACTTAGAAATTAGTGTATATATATATATATTTTTTTTTTTTTTTTGCTCATCAGTGTATATTTCTATTATCCGATCACAAAGTGAGCATATTAGGGTTTATGTTTTTACAATTGCAGTTTTATATTTGATTTTACATTCATAAATGTGTAATTGTATTTATATTTGATTTTTATACAACAATTATTTGAAAGTTTTTATTATTTGAGATAACAAAGATAACTTATTCATGATTTTTTTTTCACTAATAGTTAAACCTAACCATTTCCATTAGTGGTTGATCTACATACTTTCTTTTATTCAATTAGAATTTCATCCAAAAAAAAAGTAAAAAAATCATTACCGTGCGCACAACACTAATCAAAATATGTTAAACCAAAAAATAAATATAAGAGTTAGATACATCGGTCCATGTTTCAACGATTCTCCTATTAATTTTTTTGTCAACCAACTCTCCATTCTTTAATTTTATAAGTTTCCTTTTTCTTCAGTTAAAAACTTAAAATCATCAGTATAATGAACAGAGAAGTAACCAAAACGGTATAACAAAATAATCACTCCAGTTTAGTTAGTTAAAAGAAAGGGAAAACGACGTATTTCTCCCTCGGAAGTATTATATAGTAATAGATTCATCTAAACTTTTGACTTCATCTTAAATCTTATTTGAAAGTTAAAAACATATTTCTTCCCAATTAGAAAGTTTAAAACATATTTACCCAAAAATTATTGGTTTAGATTGTTAAGAAGCTTAACCAAATATAAAACCACTTAACCCATATCAAATCGAAAAAAAACACGCCCAAACTAAAATTTGATCCCCAAACCCGACCCGAGTCGACACCAAACCCAACCCATTATTATTCTTCTTCTTCACCCAAAATCATCAATCGCAGCATAGATTCCCCAATCAAACATGACTAGAGAAACAGGATTGAATCACAATTCACAGATTGCTTCACACCGACTCCACCACGAAAGAAAGAAAAAAAAAATGCTTTCATAATTCTTCAAAATCACGCTCACAGACCCTCTCTCTCTTTCTTTCTCTCACATGGCTCTTCCATTAAAGCGCATTAGATCGGCGTCAATCTTCTCCTTCGCTCTAAAATTTCTCTTCACGTTTGCCGAAAAGTCACTCGCAGAAGGCTTACTACGACCGTCCGATATTCCCCTTCGCTCCCTAAAGCTTCAGCTGCAGACTGCAGCGACGACGATTCGTGGTGGTGAGACCTCGTTGAAGGAATCAGTATGCTTATAGATGCCATCTTATTCAATATTGTATGGGAAATCACAGTCTTTTGTTGTGTTTATGAATTTCTGGAAAGCTGTTGTTTTTTTGGGTCTCTTTGTTGATGCTTTCAAATTGGGTAGTTGAAAGCAAAAAAGAAAAAAAAAAATTCTGTTCTATGATAATGAGTAACGTAGTTGTGTATCGAGAGCCTTTGATTAGAGTCAAAATTGTATCAATTTTGTATCAATTTTGTTTGAGTATGTTTGAGAAATCCAAATCTTGTTCTTCGCAATGTAAACTAAGTTCTTATAATAGTGTTTAAACATCTTTCCTGCATACATATACAATAACTTGAATAAGAAACGCAAAATTCTCAAGGGATGAAGCAAAAGCTGTGAAATATATTTGAAAATGATGTTGGAGATGGAGTCTTAATTCACGAAACACTAAAAGAATTGAAGAAATTGGTTCAAACAATTTAACAGGCACGCAGGAAACATTCTTGCGGAGACGACAAAGAGTGAGATTCCATATTTGAGGTTTGGATTCTCGAATTTGTCACATTCTTTTAGATATTTGAACTAGGGATTTGGGTTTACTTTGGGGATTTCTAGGATTTAGTTTTTAGGTTGGTTTAATTTCGGTTTACTTATTTGAATCGGGTCATAGTTTGGTTTATCAGTTTTCATCAAATTTATATTTGGTTTTAAGTGGTTAAACTGTTTTTGGTTTAAAGTAAACCGAATAAAATTATGGTTTAGGTGGTTTTTAGTTTCGAACTTTTATTTTGTGGGTAAATATGTTTTAAACTTTATGATTAGGGGGATATACGTTATTAACTTTTAAAATAAGGGGATCTAAGACGAGGTCGAAACTTTGGGTAGATCTGTTACTATACGATACTTTTGAGGGGGAAATAAGTTGTTTTCCCTAAAAGAAAAAAACAAGGAAAATACAAGAAAACTTTATCTGACCAATAAAACTATGACATCTATTATATAAAGACTCAGTTGAGTCTCACAAGCTTGACACATAAGCACTCTCTCTTTTGACACATCAGCTTTTGAAAAAAATAATTTTCTCAATTCCAAAAAAAAAAAATTAATTCATCAGCTATGACACAAATACAAAAGTAGTTTCTATCTCGAAAAGTCATTCTCTTACAATAAAAAGGAAATGCATTGAACTTGTAGTGTTACCACTTCGTAAAGCACACCCGAGAAAATTGAACGACGCTAAAATAAATTCGAAGAATCAAAAGCCATAGTCATATGTTATTATAAAATGAAGCGGCATTCCACCTATTTTTCATCTTTCTCTTACACGCTCAAAGAGCTCCAGAAATCAGATATAGCGTCATTGCAGTCACGTTCATAACCAACATTGAGAAAGAATTATAGTCTTCAAATAACATATCTAAAATGCAGATTTTTTGTGTTACTTTTGTTTTAGTGATTGTGGCTTTTGGTGTTTCAGATCAGAAATGCGATCAAGTACATGGATATAATCACTCTACGTGTCTACGAGGACGCAATGATAACCAATCCTTCCCTCATAGAAAGAGAGCTAGGAACAAGTTGTATCTAGCGTAATTACACAATATATATATATATATCAATATTCCTATTTTATGTATATATAAGAAAAAAATTGTGAGCCATTAAAATAATTATTTCTTGTTTCCATATTAATTTAGAGTTTTATGCGACATTTTTTGTTGTTCGCAAAATATTGAAAAAACCATAAATAGTTTTTGTTTATTGCATGCATGAAAAATTATGATATTTTTGTATTCGTAATGTTCTGGTGCCTAACAATATTAGGTTTAGAGCAGATGATATAACAAACGAAGATGAAGTTTTAGAGGCATTTTCTTTTCTGTATATAGTTTATGTACATCTTTTGTAGATATATAAGATTGACATATAGTGAATGCTTAACTCAATCTAAAATTAGCTATAAAATTTTCATACGTAGCGCCTTATTTTCTGTCACATAGACAAAATTATTTATGTATCAGGAGAATATAATGCCCAAACTTTATCATATTTATTCTATTGACGCCCGAACTTTATATTTTTTTAACTAAAAAATGAATATTTAGAAAGAAATTATTGTTTTTAATATATATTACCCTAAGCAGAACTCAAAGGATTTGAGATGACATTTAAAGCTAAGCTGAAACAAACAAACTCAATATTTTGTATTTTATTGTGTATCGATGAGTGTACGAATTTGTTAACTTTATTTCATTAGTAAAAAAACAGAAAATATGTAATAAACAGACAAATATATGTCTGATAATAATTTAAAAAGATAATGATTTGCGATTACATAATTCTATCATGATTTAAAACTTAAATTTGCACATATATATATATATTATTGATAAACTAAACTATTATATATATATATATATTACCACGTGTACACGCTATGTTTTATCTAGTATAAAATAAAATTCAAGTCAAGACACAAAATAGCTCTATAATTTTATTCAAATGTATAGATAATTTTGTAATACTAAAAGTTAAAACACAGTCAATAAATATAAAGTACATAATATTTGTGTTCATAATCATGTAACAACGCACCAAGCATTAAAAAAAAAGTTGCTACACTCTCATATTTTTAACAAACACACACACACACAGAACAGAGCAGATCGGCAAAAGCCATGTTCTCAACAAAAACGATCCTCTTTATCGCCGTCGTGTCGATTCTCGGAGCGTTTTCATTCGCAGCCGTCGATACTTTTGTCTACGGCGGCTGCTCGCAAGCCAAATACTTCCCGGGATCGCATTACGAGTCCAACGTCAACTCGCTCCTCACATCGTTCGTTAGCTCAGCTTCTCTCTCCACATACAACAACTTCACCGTCAACGGAATCTCCGGCGGCGACAGTTCCGTCTACGGATTGTACCAGTGTCGCGGCGATCTCTCCTCCGCCTCCGGCGACTGCGCTAGATGCGTCGCTCGAGCCGTTAGCAGACTCGGAAGTCTCTGCGTCGGCGCGTGCGGTGGCGCGTTGCAGCTCGAGGGGTGTTTCGTGAAGTACGATAACTCGACGTTCCTCGGCGTGGAAGATAAGACGGTGGTGGTTAGACGGTGTGGATCACCGGTTGGGTATAACTCGGACGAGTTGACTCGGAGAGACTCGGTGGTGGGTTACTTAGCGGCGAGTAGCGGTGGGTCCTATAGAGTGGGAGTGTCGGGGGAATTGCAAGGTGTGGCGCAGTGCACCGGAGATCTCAGTGGGAGCGACTGTCAAGACTGTTTGATGGAGGCAATCGGACGGCTGAAATCGGATTGCTCAACAGCCGCTTGGGGTGACGTGTACTTAGCCAAGTGCTACGCGCGGTATTGGTTGCGTGGAGGCCACTCGCGATCTAATGGCTACGGTAAAAGTTGCTTTTGTTTCTATTTTAAGATCGTTATTTCTATTTAGTTCCTCCCTATGATTTGGCAGGACCATTAATGCAGAGAATTTGCAAAATTTGTTTATATAATTAAGTATGCATGTTAAGTATTTCTCTATTTGGTAAACGTTCATATTTATTTTTTGATAATTGGGATTTAGGTGGGGATCGTGACAATAATGACGATGAGATAGAGAAGACACTTGCTATCATAGTTGGCTTAATTGCTGGAGTTACGTTACTCGTCGTTTTTCTTTCTTTTATGGCAAAATCGTGCGAGAGAGCTAAAGGTAAGTGAAATGGCTCATCCTTAACCTTTTTCATTTTTATATATACGTAACGTAATGGAACATAATCATCACAATCAAATGTTTTTATGATAAACGGATCCATATGTAATTGATGGACCCCAAGATATATAAAGGGTGCTATGGTGGATCCAACTTTTTTACAGTGTCGTTTCGAACAAATTTGAGACCCGTGCTATTAATTTACAATAGACCTTATAATATATATTTTTTAAAATATTTATATGGTGAACTAATAAAAATATTTACCATTATATAAGAGTGAAAGGTGAATAAACAATCACTGAATAATTAATTTAATAATTTTCATAAACAATGATTATTATATAACATTAAACACTTCAACTATCAAAAATATTTGAAAAAAATCTATCAAAAACCAAATGTATACGTTATAAACTACTTAAAAACAATGAGAATAAAATTAATTATGATAAAAAAGTTTTTGTAAAAACCTTCTATTATGTTAACACTTGATACTATATCTTGTTCTTAAAATTTGTTTGTATTTTTTCCATAATTTTTTTTTTAAAAGCAAATTTTTTAAAAATTATATTAAGTCTAAAATTATATTAGACCATGTGTTATATCCCGCCGGCTTTTACCTATATCCTCTAATATGTATTTTTTTTTAGGTGGAAAATAAACTTCGTTATGGCCTTTCGCCTCTTGACTCGCGGTATCATCAAACATATTTTTTAAAAAATAATTAAATGCGTAAAGGAGAAAGAAAAGCGAAGAGATTCTTCATATTCTCCACTCAAACCCTAAAAGATGTTTCTTTTTTGACCCACTTTAATTTAAGTTTTATTTTTCAAATGTAGAGAGAAAGCTCACGCCGTTAAGATCTGTATCCGTATCCTTGTATAATAACATTGATCCTATTTGGTAAATTTAATGTTATTTGTTCTATATCTAACATTTTTCTATATCTCCGGTATTTCTTTCTGAAGTTTTGGAGCGCCAACGATACGAAAAAAACACACAAAGTCGAGTTCGAAATATATGATAAATGGTGGGTGTAGTTGGTTGAATTTTAATGCTACTTATACAATAAGATATTAATTATTTAGTGTATAGAACTTTATAAAGTGGTCGAGTGGATATCATTATGTTTCAAATTTCATACAAAAGTAGGAAGAAATAACAGCAGAATACGTGGAACAAACGGCTTACGTGACACATTTTCTATCATCAATTATTCACCCTATAGTTTATATTGAAATTTGTTTTGAATGTTCCTTTGTATTTATTTAACTTTTAAACATTTTCTGTTCTCTACCTTATCCTAGGCCAAAAGAAGCAGCTATAGCCTACACGGCTACACTATTTTTATGAATCAAAAACTTCTTTTATGTTATGTTATTTTATACATGGAGTCATGGAGTGCTAAAAAGTATGTATGAGTGGCATGTGTCACTGCATTTTGATGGACCAATGTTCTTAAAGTAGCCGTAACTCTACTAGTATATTGTAGATAAAAAAAATTTCAAGTCTAATTCGAATTAAACATCAAATTTGTAATTTATTTAAAAAAATAATAATTGTGATCAGACTCAATGTATTCGAAATGAATGAATAGAAAAAGCAACGAAGAATAAAGAACAATTTTAGCAAAAAAAAAAAAAGAATAAAGAACAGTATCGTTTGGAGCATAGTGGGCGTAGATACTAGAAATGTTTGGCTGTTTTTCATCTCAAAGTAACGAGAGACGAGGGTACGTAAAATCTCAATTCCATTTACGCCATGCGAAGAGAAACACTGTTACGAGTTTGCTGGTGGTAAACAAGGCTCTTAACAAAAAGATTTATGCTTAAGCCCGTTTTTTTCAGAACTGGCCTGGATTTTATAATCAGTAATATTAGGCCCAAACCGGCCCAGTAATATTATGGCGCAGCAAGGTCACGTTTTCTTCTTGGGGAGGTTTTTAAATATGAAAAGAAGCAAAAACAGAACAAAACAATAAGTTTCGACGACCAGAGCTGAGCAAGATCATTTGTCTGATTCCTTCTTAAATAATTCAATCTTTCTAAATCTCAGAATTTGATTGAAGTTATTTCTCAGACAGATTCTTAGAGGTTGTAGCTTTTGAGATTACGGACAAGAAGATGGATGACGTTAAAGATAAGCTAAAAGGATTCATGAAGAAAGTCAATCTCTCTTCTTCCTCAGGCAAATTCAAAGGCTCAGGTAGAGTTCTCGGATCTTCTTCTTCTTCTGGACCCGTTAACCCGATTCAAAACCGGTTTAACCCTCCCCAAGCTCCGAATCCGAATCCGACTCCTAGACCCACCAAACCTTCTCCTTCTCCTCCTCCACCGATTGGCTCCTCTCTAGCTCCGTTGCCTGAGAAACCCATATCCTCCGGGTCAACGACAAATCCGGATCCTAACCCGGTTCGTCCTCCGCCACAAGACGGGTTCGACCCGTACGGCGCGTTGATCACGTCTTCGAACAGATCTCAAAACGGATATTCTCTCAACGTGTTCGAGTGTCCGATCTGTGGTAATCATTTCAAATCAGAGGAAGAAGTCTCCGTCCACGTAGAGAGCTGTCTCGGGAACACCAATGGAGACGAATCTGCATCTGAGAAGATTGGAAACGACGACGACAAATCCGAAATGGAGAAGCTTGTGGTTTTGTATCTCTCTGGGAAACCAACAGAGAGCTCGATTGATGTTTTGCTTAGGTTGCTTAAGAACATAGTGAAAGAGCCTGAGAATGGCAAGTTTAGGAGGGTTAGAATGAGCAATGCTAAGATTAAGGAAGCCATTGGTGATGTTGCTGGAGGCGTTGAGCTTCTTGAGCTTGTTGGGTTCGAATTGAAAGAGGAAAATGAAGAGATATGGGCGGTTATGGAAGTTCCTGGAGAAGAACAAACTCAATTGATCAAGAAAGTTGTCGGAATTTTAGAAAACAGAAAGATTGAGATTTCAGGATCTTCACCTCAGGTAAGTGTAGCAGAGGAACCAGTGGCTCCAAAGAAGATCGATAGAGAGGTAAAGTTCTCTGCTTTGTGACATTTTCTGGTGATTTCTTGATCTTACGATAGCTTGTTAGTTTTGTGACTTAGTTCTTAGAGTGTTTTGTTTTTGTGTCTTGGTTTAGATCCGTGTGTTCTTCTCGGTTTCTGAAAACGTAGCATCGAGAATAGAAGTACCTGATTCGTTCTATAGCCTCACGGCGGATGAAATAAAGCGAGAAGCGGATTTGAGGAGGAAAAAGATTGCGGAGTCACAGCTTTTGATCCCGAGATCTTTTAGGGAGAAACAAGCGAAAGCGGCTAGAAAGAGATACAAAAGAAGTTTGATAAGAGTGCAGTTTCCTGATGGAGTTGTGCTTCAAGGCGTGTTTGCTCCATGGGAACCAACCATTGCTCTCTACGAGGTTAGAATATGAATTACATCTCTTTAAATGGCACACAAATCTGGTTAAGACACAACTTTTGAATTTTCTATTATGGTTTTTGTTTTCCTCTCAGTTTGTGAGCTCTGCTTTGAAAGAACCGAGTTTGCAGTTCGAGCTTTTGGATCCTGTGCTGGTTAAACGGCGAGTGATTCCACATACTCCAGCCCCAGGACAGAAATCAAGAACCCTAGAGGATGAAGAACTTGTGCCATCAGCGCTCATCAAGTTTAGACCGATCGAAACTGACTCTCTTGTCTACACAGGTCTCTGCAATGAACTCCTGGAGATCAGCGAACCACTCTCATGATCATTTGTGTTCCACAGAAGATTTGGCTTGAAACCATAAAATATGGTGTGATTGAATAATATTCCGAGTTTGTGATTTGAGCACATTATATAGGGGTTACGAAAAATTTGTGTAATTTTTTGCACTAATAACAATCAAATTTGAAGATTCATCATGTCCAAAATATTGTTCTTTTTTTTTTCCTTCTTCTTACTATAACAACAAAACAAAACATTAGTGACTTGTGTCTATTACTCAAAATCACATTTCCATGGATACAGCCTTTCCCTTCTTCCGATTCCTTTTCTTGCTTCCGTTTATGTTAGTCTTCTTCTTCGGTTTCTCCTCAACCGGTGGCTGTTGACTCTGCAAGTGCTGAAATATCGAACCCATTGGATCTGCTTGGAAAGCTGGATGGTCTAGAACCTTGTTCAATCTATCCCCTTCCGTCAATCTATACACAGACACAAACAATACATTACTTTCAGATGCAAATCGCAACAACGAAAGTTTAACCATAAATGAAATGGAGACATACACGAGCTCTTGTCGTCTTTTGCAGTTCATCTTCAAGTCGGGTGCAGGAAGAGCTGACTTCTGCGAAGCATTAAACTCGGGAAGAAACTCCGATAGGGTTGAGAGATCATAAGCCTTCAGTTTCTTTTGACGGCTGCGAATTTTCTTCTTCTGATCAAACCGTAATTAGAATTTCACTCATTAGCAAATCATATGGCAAAAACAGAGCTCAAAGCTGTAAAATTAGCTAAACACTCCATAGTCGAATCAGCTTCAGATTGCAGTAGAGGAACATTCTGCAATGGGATATATAATGAAGATTTTCTATAAAAGATGTCTTTTTTTTTTTCCGAAGTGTTTACCTTCCCAATCTCCTTTTGGACAGACAAAGAAGTAAGTGTGTCTTTGACCTCTGCATTAACAAACACAAAAGTATTAGATAGTTTTAAGACATAAACACAAATTGCAATCTGATTATCTATGAGATATTTCTTCAAATTCGAGACTACCAATGCTTACTTGTGTAAAATTGAAGCTTCTTCTCAAATTTCTTATCAGATTTAGAAGCTGCTTCCGATCTGAAAGTGAAACAAAAACGCCAGAAGCTTGGCATCAGTAAATCAAATCCCATAATCAGGGCCCAGATGATACATCGTTTGAACAAGAGAATGAAACCCAAACCCTTTGCTCGGTTTGCCCATTCTGAAAGATCAGAGTGTCTTGAATCTTCAACGACTTCAAACTCGGGTTAATGGCGAATGCTGATCGAATCAGTTTTTAGGGTTTTAGCTGAACACAGAGAGAGAGTGGATTTTGAATCCTTGTAAGTTCGGATCTTTTAACCCGACCCGGATACTGGAATTTATTAGTATAACCGTAATGTTGGGCCTACCCAGACTTATATCTCCCAACCCATTATGAGCCCAAAGGAAAAGGACACAAGTCACACAATCAAATGAGTTAAATATTGATATTCCATATATCATTGTTTTCGGACAATACTAAATACTAAACACTAAACAGTAAACTTTATTTTCTTTCTATCTGACGTCAATTTGGTTCGAGTAACAAAAACAATATCTATCAGTTAGCATAAGACAATATATAAAAAACGAAGTCGAGTGATATAGATTGTTGAATATAAATTGTATTTTATTTGTTTGATATCAAAAATTTAGAGATACGAACCTTATTAAGACCCGAAATGGCAAGAGGAAATAACAACAACAAATAAAAAAAAGAGAAAACCATAAAAGAGAAAGACTGACAAAAGCAACAAAAAAATTCCAGCCTGTAAATGATATAGGAATCTCTCATATATTACTTTTAAAACAGAAAAGAAGAATGATTACTCGTGGAGTATAATAAAGAGTGAAGACACAAAATTAAAAGAAACAACCATTTTATAGAAAAAAATTTGCATAGATGACCGTTGAACTGAATTAACTGTGATTCACTGCCACTACAGCAGAAGTCTTTTTTTTTTTCATTTATTTAACCATGGAATTACACACACGTCCACAGATCAAAACTCTTCCGCAGACAAAGCTGAAGGAACATAAGACACTATCTCGGAAGTTAAGACGAACTACAACAGAAAACGAAAATACATGTAGAAAGTAATTGGTGGACTAATTGAACATCTACTTGTCGAAACATATTGATAGTTGAAACGCTAACACGAACTTATTATATTGTTTATTGTTCTGAAAAAGACCAAAAATCTTTTGAAACCACGAGTCAAAATCAAGGTAAAGCAATCCTCTATAACACATATTCTCCGCCACAAGAAGCTCAGGACCAAACACAACAAAACCATAAACAAGTGGAAGATAGGCAATATTGAAGAGACTTCCTTAAATTTGACAATTGAGATCCAGACAAGCTTAGCAATCTTCAAACCTCTTTCACGGCCTAAAAGTGCACCACCGTTAGTGACATACCCACATTTTGCTAAATCACCATTTTTTTATCTGTCGAATTATCTCTAGATACTCGGCCAGAGTATTTGGTAAACAAAACCATTAAACCTTAAAACTTCTTTCTACCTCAGTCCTAAACTATATTTAAAATTATTGACATTCACCATATAAATGTAGAATCTAATCCAACGACAATTACAAAAAAAACATATCAAATATCTAAACCTCAAATAAGATAAAAAACGCAAAAATTTAAATATAAATACAAACCGGACTAATGCTATGGTTTTGAAAGCTCACGGCCATTGGCTGGAAATGAGATTTGGGCTGACAAGATAAGATTAAGGAAAAAAATTAGAGAAAGCTTTAAGAAAAAAAAGGTTTATGCCTTGCTAATAAAGAAGTCATAAAAAACTAAAACACAGCAAAAAAAAAACACAAAACATGAAATTATTTATTTAAATAAATTTGAAGAAAAATATAGAATCCTAGAACATTTATTAAAAAGATGATTTCTTTTTTTTTATAACTAAAAAGGTTATTTATAAGTATAGTTTTTTAGACGACAAATAAAAGCATTTTTCTCCACCGAAATGGAGTATAAATTATTATTCTCTTTTCGTACGCATTACATCTTTTTCAGCAAATTAAAAAAACCAAAACTCAGAAACCCACCTTTAGGCTTCAGTTATATATAAATCTTTTGAAGCGAACCGATTCTTTCTCTCTCTCTTTTCTTTTTCTCTATATACTTTTATATATATATATATTATTTGTCTTGGTTGGATTTTGTTCTCGTGGGTTACTTCAGAGAACCTCGAGACTTGTCTTGTCTTTATGCTTCAGAAGCAAATCAAAGCATCTCCAAGATTTGAAGCTCCATCAATGGCTGCCCTTCTTCTCCTTTTCCTTTTCCTCTTTGCAAGTTCTGCTCTCTCCCAAGGTAAAAATTTCTGAAATTCCTTCTTATGAACCTTCAAATCAACCTAAAACCCATTTGTTGATTTTTCTAAGTTTCTTGTTTGTCTGTTTCTTTGTGTGTTCGTTCGCTGGAAGAGATCTCTCTGTTATACAATGTCTGTTTATACTTTCTAATTAGAAACGTGCTGTCAAATGCTCACTTCATTTTGTAAATCTTGGTTAATAAGTTCACTTTCTACCTAATGCAAGAAAGGGTGAGAATTTCTGGCTTTTTCAGTATATTTCTTTTTTTTTTTCAATTCGAGATTCTAGGTATTCTTCATTTCATCAAGGATTAACTTTTCCCCCAAAAAAAAGATGGGTACTTTATTTAAATCTCTTATTAGTCTTCCCATCTTTTCAATGTGACTGAGAATCTCAAGGTATTGCATCCCAGCTCATATGCTCCCAGTACTCTGCAATCTGAGAATTTATAACTGGACCAAACTACCCTTTGAGCTAGTTGAATCCATACCCTTCTTGCCAAGGGTTGTTTCGACTTTCCGACATCAGCCAATACCTCCTCTTTAGTGTTTCCACATATTTGGAGAAACCTTTTGACTCTTTGCATTAGCATTTTTGATTTTAAATGTTTATTGTGGACCGACCAAGTGTCTGATTTTCATGCGAATTCTACTGAAACATGATTTCGTTAATATATACATGCTATTAATGTTCGTTTTTTTCTTTGTTTGTTTAATATATACATGTCAGATTCTTTAATCGGTGTGAATATCGGCACAGAAGTCACAAACATGCCAAGTCCAACACAAGTAGTAACACTCCTCAAATCACAGAACATAAACCGCGTCCGACTCTACGACGCAGACCGCTCAATGCTCCTCGCGTTTGCTCACACCGGCATTCAAGTGATCATCTCTGTCCCAAACGACCAGCTTCTCGGCATCAGCCAATCAAACGCAACCGCAGCCAATTGGGTCACTAGAAACGTAGCCGCTTATTACCCCGCGACCAACATTACCACGATAGCGGTTGGATCAGAGGTCCTTACCACACTCCCAAATGCAGCTTCCGTCCTCGTCTCGGCCCTCAAATACATCCAATCCGCTCTCATCACGGCCAATCTCGACCGTCAGATCAAAGTATCGACTCCACATTCCTCAACCATCATTCTTGATTCTTTCCCTCCTTCTCAAGCTTTCTTCAACAAGACTTGGGATCCAGTCATTGTCCCTCTCCTCAAATTCCTACAGTCCACGGGATCGCCATTGATGCTCAACGTTTACCCTTACTTCGACTACGTTCAGTCTAATGGCGTTATACCGCTTGATTACGCGCTTTTCCAGCCTCTCCAAGCCAACAAAGAAGCTGTGGATGCCAACACGTTGTTACATTACACGAACGTCTTTGATGCGATCGTAGACGCGGCTTACTTCGCAATGTCCTATCTCAACTTCACCAACATTCCTATTGTGGTCACGGAATCGGGTTGGCCATCGAAGGGAGATGCTAAAGAACACGATGCAACGGTAGAGAACGCAAACACTTACAATAGCAACTTGATCCAGCACGTGATCAACAAGACTGGAACGCCGAAACATCCAGGAACCGCGGTTACCACTTACATCTACGAGCTTTACAATGAGGATACGAGGCCTGGACCGGTATCTGAGAAGAACTGGGGGCTGTTTCATACGAACGGGACTCCGGTTTACACATTGCGTTTGGCAGGTGCTGGTGCGATTCTGGCAAATGATACTACGAACCAGACGTTTTGTATAGCGAAGGAGAAAGTTGATAAGAAGATGCTTCAGGCGGCTCTTGATTGGGCTTGTGGTCCAGGGAAAGTCGATTGCTCTGCGCTAATGCAGGGTGAGGCGTGTTATGAACCGGACGATGTGGTTGCGCATTCTACTTATGCGTTTAATGCTTATTACCAGAAGATGGGGAAAGCTTCAGGAAGCTGTGATTTCAAAGGAGTTGCTACAGTCACCACCACTGATCCAAGTATGTGAACCTCTCAGCATAGTCATTCACTTCTTTGCAAAGAGAATACATGTTGCTCTGTTTCTGAAAATGGATTTGTGTTCTTCTGATTTCTTTCCTCTCTGCAGGTCGAGGAACGTGTGTTTTCCCTGGAAGGTAACTTTCTTCTTCTTCTTCTTCTTACAAAAGATTCATACTTTTTGATATTCGAATGAATCAACCTCACTGCTTTTGTATCTGACTTTCTCTACATTTTGCAGTGCGAAAAGCAATCAGACACTTGGAAACAACACCACGGCATTGGCCCCTTCAGCAAACTCCACAACCTCTGGCTGCATCCCACAGTACTATCACCCTCACGCTTCATTCACTGACTTAACACTCCTCTCCCTTCTACTGATCATTGCCTTAGTATTCTTGTAGAAACTCTGAAAAAGAAGAACAACTCTCAATTCTTGCTTCTTAATTATAACTTCTTTCTTGCAACACTTGAGACAAAAGAGCTCTGGTGGGTTTGTTCTCTCTGTGTCTACCCAGTTTTGTTGATCATCTCCTTTGACAAGGAGTTCATTAAGGGTAGCCTGTAGTGTTCAGCTTCAGGATCATCGATGTTTGTAACTAATTCCTGTGTTGAAAGCTTGATTCTTTCTTTTTTATTTACTACTCCATCAATGTCTCTGAATATTTCATAATCCAAGCTTTTTTTATACAACATGAACAAAGAACAACAAGTGTTTTAGATTTGATAGTCGAAAGCGTCATATGGGTTTGTACCTGCCCTATAGTAACAAGCTTGGCATTCAAATACAGGCCGAGCCGTAGCATCAGTGGTTGCAATCTCATGTCGCAGGCTGCTGTGACTTGTGCAGTAGGGTTTATTACAGAACCTGCACTTGGGAAGCACAAGCCAACATTCAAGACACAGTGAGTCGCCACCGCACGCTGCTTCCTGTACCTCAGTGTCTGGTCCGAGGCACACTGAGCACTCGACGCATCTAGGGATGCAAAACCAGCATCCCCTGCACTTGCGTTCGTTCGTTTGCCTCTGGTTCTTCAACCAAGAAAAATACATGATGTTAGTATTAGAGTCTAAAAACATTCCACTTATCTCTCTCTCTCTTGAATCTTCAAATTTACTTACACATGATCCTCTTGAGCAAGCCGGAATCATCCTGACTTCGTCGCATCTGGGACAGACCTCGACGTCGATTGCTCCTTCTTGAGGAAGGTAAGTCGAAAGTGCTGAGAGATGGTGTTTGGTGAGGCCATAGACGCCATTAATGTGAAGTGTCTCCACTTTGTGATTGTTCTTCGTCAAGCTCTCAACACATCCCATGATTCCTTCAGGGGTTAATTCAGTGCATCCCGGCACAATTATCTGAGAAAAGAAAGATCAGTCAGAGAAGCAGATCAATTTCTTCAGACAAGTAAGGAGAATTTTCCAGAAGAAATCAGCAAAATCCCAATTCCAGATAAATCTAAACTTATAAGGTTTCATTATGAGCCAATCCAATTTTTTCGGGAAGAAACTAACACAATACCGTTCTGATAAGAGGATTCGCGTCAATTACACGTCGAAGCCCCTTGTCGGTGACCCTAAGACATTGCCGGAGAATCAGAGTCTTCAATTTCCCGGCGGATTTCGAAGTGATTTCCCATAGAGTCTCATCGGTCAAACGAGAACTCAACGGTGGTTCAACAACGACGTTTGTCCATAACGCGGTTTCATCTCTGATCGCGTCTCTGAGCGACCGTGAAACGCGAGTCATAGAGAGAAGCTCAAACAGAGAATGAAGATAAGGAAGAACAATCAGTAAAACCTCGTGAACTGATCGCCATTGCTCTTCTTCTTCTTTCTCCTCCGTCTTCATATTATCAGAGATTTGCCAGTTTCTCAATTTTCGTTTCTCTTCTTCTAATTTTTGTTTTCTTCTCTTTTTTTTCTTATCCTCCAAGCGATGAAGCAATGCCACTCGCAGATGTTACCAAAAGAAGAACCAAAAAGTTTGAATATTATCTGCTCGCCGAGATCTTTTGGGCTGGTTTACTCTGAGCTCATACCTTGTGGATTTAGAATGTACTGGGCCTAAAGCCCAATTAAAATTCATTTACAAATGGCAACGACGACAAACGCGATCGATAGTGGTGAAGTTTGTCTATAAGAAAATTAAAAAATGTTTTTTTTTTTTAAAGTTTGCATACCATAAAGTCTAGGTTGGAATATGCTATAAACTTACATACAATCCACAACTATTCGATCGATACAAAGCGCCAATTACATTGCAAGAAGCTCTAAACAAAAGGTGATAGTAACCTATGTTGCTTTGCTGAAGCATCGAAGCCCTCAAATCAATAGCCTTTGGTACAGGATCCAAAAACAGATGGGGCACAAACTTACATTATATATAAATTTTATCAAATTATACATTGAACTTACATTATAAAGCAAACATGTTGTATATATGGGGCACTAGTTCCACCTTCTATCAAGCTAGGTCCACCGCTGACCACATTGGTAAAGGCAGGAGAGAACTAGATTACCTTGCTCTAATTCATAGCCTAAGGGCATCTTCTCACTATATATGCTTTGGGTATTACTTGGGTAACGTTATGGGGAGACTCGAAGTCAGCGTTTCATCTTTTGCAAGAATCTATTTCCTTAGCAAAGTAATATGGATGGATGGAAACATCATTTTCTGGCTCTGTTTATCAAAGACATCATCAGCGTAGCTCAACCTAAAGTACACACAATTTAAGTTTATGTTGGTGTAAAGAACTGCTTAGTGTAGTAGATGTTTTAGCAAAAGAAACTAAGACTATCTCCAGCAATGAGATTTAAGTATTTTTTTTTTATTCAAAGAAAGGGAATGAATTTTGATTAAAAAAAATAATAATAAACCCTTCTCAATCAGAATCAAATACATCGTTTATGAACTCCTTTTTTCAGGTTCTTAGCGAAGAGGTGGTTCATAGCTTTATAATGGGCCAAGAATCCCTCACAAACTTTTGATGGAGATGTTTTAATGTAAAATTTCAATTAATATACAAAATTTGTGTTATCGATGAAATGTTTTTTTGGTTAATAACAGAAAATTATAGTGATTTGGATTTGAGTGGTGAATCATCTATACCATTAACAGTTGAGTTTTAAATTATTTTCCTGATATATAATTTCTGTAGACTACTAAAAAAACATATGCATGACAATTTTTGGTTTTTCAAGAACAAACCACGCCTTTAAACAATAATCATTTTGTGCTGCCATAATTCACGGCGTTCGAACGTTGGATATGATTATAGGTGGTTAATTATCCTTTTGACTTTTTCAGTTGACCTGAAAGTTTAACTTTTGAGTAAAAAGCAACAAGAAAATCCAATACTCCCATCCAAAATCGCGAACCCTCAAACCAACTTTTTTCATTCATTATTAGTCAGTTTCTTTTATTTTGGTTTGTTTGTCAACATTAACATACTGGTTTTAATCAACACCACGGCTAAAACATCATTATTTCTTCTCAAAAATAATTTGATCGAGTTTGTTGGTTAAGACAAAAAAAAAAGGATGTCAAAGATGGTTAGTTAAATAGAGAGTGCTTTTGGTACAAAAGGGAACGTCATAGGAATAAATGTTCACATGTGGACCATCTTTATGTTCCCATCTAATTTTCATTTTCCTTTGCAGAGTGTAGTCGATTTTGAGCCAATCTCGCCACGAATCTCTACAAAGTTAAAGCCAGTCATTAATTAGAATCATCATTATGTATTTCATTTCATTGTGTTTTTGAAAAGGTGACTAAATCAGAAGGGACCCTCCTCACAGAAGATAATGTCAATAGCCGTCTTCTAAAAGAAGACAACAGAAATTGTTACTTACCCTCCATCACATTCTTAACCAACACTCTTCAAAAGGCCAAATAAATATTATTAAACATCATCTGGAAGATTATTAATAAGCGTATATCACAAACGAAACGTAAACAAAAAACGAGTATGCGTGTAAACAACAAGTCCGCTACATCCCCACTATATGTCTATTGTCATTATAATTAACCTAAAGCATTTGCGCTTTCCAAAAGAATACCATAGTGTGGAATTTTATGTCTACTTAAAAAGCATGGTTGGTCTATTACCATAAGAAATTATTTTCAAATTGTTAGTCTCCTATCAACATGCTAATCCTATACTATGCAAAAAGTTTAAAATTTAAATAAGAAACTTGTACAAGTTATCATTTACACGTTATATATATATATATATATATATATATATATAGTAAAAATGTGGAACATAATTTTAATATGGAAATGCAATCGGTCACTCTACTTATCATCAATTGGTTATGCCATACAATCTAGTATATACTCAGTTGTTATTTGAACATAAGAGATCAAAACTAATTGTATTTTCTATCAATTGAATGGGAAAAGGTGATATCTTAACGTGTACTCTTGTGAACTGAAACATACATAGATTTTCCATCAACTAATTTGGATATGTATCATCTTAACCTTCAGAACATATGTTCGAACTAATTTGATAGATTGTCTCGTTAATTCCACATAATTAGACCATTACAATTTTTGTATGAAAATGTTGAAAATTTATGTACTCGACAACAAGACGTAAACAAAATGAATTTCATGATCATGATGATGCCAATAAATGAATCAAAGATTTTGGAGAAATTTGAAAGATGAATGGTGTTTATTAATTGTTGCGTGACTAAATATTTTCTCTAACGAAATACTTTTGGTACGGCAGATGAAAACACCAACCCACGATCGCAAAATAAAGAAGGTAGGCGAATCTCCAAAGAATCTCCGAACTTTTGGTTGGTCCCATTCGAATAGTAAGGTTTATTTTTGGTCAAGTTTTATTACAAGTTTATGTCCACCATTAATTAGCCTTAACACCGAATACGTAACTGCAAAACGTCGAAGAATTCCATTGTACACGGGATTCTCCGATCCTTATCTCCAATATATCGGGCATATGTGATGCAATATAAAACAATTGTCACCTATATTAAGTTGCCAAGAAAATTGTGAACAATATTGTTCGATACGAGTACTCAGAACTTGGCAGGTTTTGTCCTAATGTTACTTATTCTCCAACATTTTGAACTATTAATTATTTTGTTTTGTGCAACCACATTTTAAAGCTAATGTACTTAATTCACTGTATTTGTTTGGAATCATTAAAAATACAGAACCAAGTATACAGCTCCGTAATATGAAACTATATTGGTCTTATACTTACTTATAGCCTAAAAGGCTAAAAATAATCCGTGAATTCATCACGTATCAGACAAAATGATTAGAGGCAATGAAGGGGCGGATATAGTACTTAAGGAAGGCGTGGATTGGATGCACTTTCCCCATTAACATTTTAAATATTTGTAAATTTTGATTGAATAAATGCAAAAATTCCTTATCTTTTCCCCCATTAACTTCATTATCCGATTTCGAAATTGCCCACACTCATTTAAGCTTATTTCCATGAAGTCCTCGATTTCCTTTTCTTTTAGAAATTAATTCCTTTCTATGCTCTGAATCAGTCACCTAGCTATCTTAAAATAACTACATTAAATATATTGCTAGATTCCCCCCACTGGTGGCATACTAGTAAATCCATAGAACAAGGGTGGGTAAAATTGTTAAATCAAACCCTATCCTTAAAGCCCTATATAAACCGCCAATCACTCCCGTAAACTCTTTACAGGAGCAAACAAAGAAACAAAAAAAAAAAAAGAAGAAGCAAGAAGCTCGAAAAAAACAGTGATAATGGTAAGCCAAAGTCATACGTCGATGATTCTCCTCTTCACCATCTTTCTCTTCATTTCCTCATCAGTCTCAGCCCTTCACGTCCCTCCACAACTAAACGCAACAACGAACGATCTTGATTTCATCAAAACAAGCTGCAACGCCACGACATATCCAGACGTGTGCTTCAAGTCTCTCGCCGGCTACGCTTCCGCCGTTAAAGACAGTCCGGCGAGGCTAGCAAGACTCGCAGTCGGAGTTTCTCTTTCTCAGGCCAAATCCACGGTGGCTTTTCTCTCCAATCTCTCACGCACCGCTTCTCAAGTCAGAGACTGCGTTTCGAGCGTGGAAGACGCAATCGACTCTATGAGAGACTCTCTCCAACAACTACGCGACATGAAACGCGGAAAATCGGGAGAGACGTTTAGGTTTCAGTTGAGTAACGTGCAGACGTGGATGAGTGCTGCGTTGACTGACGAGGAGGATTGTACGGACGGATTTGAAGAAGTGTATCATGAAGAAGAAGATGTTATAAAGACGACGGTTTGTGATCGTGTCCAGGAATTGAAAAGGTTCACGAGTAATGCTCTTGCTCTTGTTAACACTTATGCCAACAATGGTTCTCCATGAGTTGAGAGAGACCATGAGGAGTTTTAATTAACTTTTTAATTTCATTGTCTATTTTGATTTTTTTTCCTTTATTTTTGGAGCAAAACTCAAAACTGTCTCTTTCGATAATTTGATATTTTGTGGGATTAACTTTTAATTTGTGTCTTCTTTTGATAATTTGATATATTATGGATTTTTATTATAAATGTATATAGCGTGTGAAAATTAAAGTTAAATTCAAGCTTCTAAAAGGTAGTTAGGGTCAATTCTTCATTGCTTCGTTTCTATATATGTGGACATTCTTATGTTTTATCATTTATGATTGTATTAAATTTGGAGTTTTGTTTTAATTTGAGTGTAATGGGGGTTTTTGTAGTGGTTTTCTTAGGTGGTCTTAATTCTTCAATATGTGAATCTATAGATATGGACCATATGGTCAAAATAGTAACTAGAATTTACATTTACAATTTAGAAGACTATAAAAGTATAAAGCTAAGCCCCCATCCTGGCTTTTGATAGCTCGTCTCGGTTTGCGAAGGCACTTAAAAGTGTAACACAAACCTTTGTCCGATGCTCGAGCAAGGCCGAGAGAGGGAGAGAGACAAATAAAGATAATATAGCCCCCACAAATAAGTCTCAGTTTTCTCAAAAGAAAAGAATCATATTGTATAATGTAAGGCTTGATTATAGTTTAAATCTCATGCATTCTCAAATATGGTACAACATTTTTATGACTAAACTGCACATATAGGAATGTGGATACAGTGGGACGGATCGAGTAAGTAGGTGTTGGTGCACTTACCCCCGTTAGCTTTTTAATAATTATAAATTTGCTAAGTAAATTTCGGATGATTGAAGAGATTAAATGCAATGTTCCCTTTATCACCACTCGTTAAATATTTGTTTCTTTTTTTTTTCCTTATTTTTCTAGCCATCCTAAAATAACTGCATTATATGTTTTCTTTTTTATAAAAATGCTTAAATAAAAGGATTAATTTACATAACATATTATATGCGATGATACAAAAACGTATCTAAAACAATTATAACAATTTTGCCCCCAATATTGCTAGATCTGTGTGTCTGTGTATATATACTGATATCCATATATACATTATGCATATATAGATGAATAAAGTAGATATAGATCACAATCATATGGAGTGGTTATAAGTTTTGGTGTGTTTTTTCTTCTTTCTCGACCCGTGAAATGAGTAAGACATGTCCAAGGAGACCAAAATGGATGTGTTCGTACTCATTTCATATATTCGTTGTTCTGTGTTTTAATTTTGTTAATGGGCCCACTCACAAGTCCTTCCAAAATAAATTAAAAAACGTCTAACTTTTTTGTTCACGAGATTACACTGTCCAAAATTTCACACTGGTATTTTTTTCACTACATGCCGGTTCTTGCGTACATATGAATTGGTTTTACTGGTTATGAGAAAAGGATATTTAATTAGATCGTTGGAACTGGGGAGGTTTTTTATACTATAGTTTCTCTTAAGCAACAATATTCCAAAGATGTATGTAAATCATTCCACTGCTTGTAGATTTGACTATTACTTAAATGTTTATATACTCTTAACTCAAATCATTTTTTTTTTTTGTTACAAAGGTAAGTTGTGTTACTTTTACTATTTCGATATATATATTCTCAAAACCCAATTCTATCTTTATTTATTTTGATGTGATGAATTCCGCAAACCCACCCCTTCTCACAAAAAAAAAAAAAAATTCAAATAGTGCATACAATTACAAAGGTAGGAAAGGTATTATGACCCAATGAAGGATTATACATGTATTTGTACAGCTAGATTGTCTTTTGGGGCAGAAGAGGCTCAAACATGTTGAAATCATTAGTCTGAAAATATACATTTTCAACTTTTTTTTTTCTTTATCACTTCGGCCCAATATAGGTCCATAAATTGATTTAAGGCCCTCTTCTCTTCTAAGTATAAAGCAAAAACAACATTTCTTTCTCTTCAATCGGGAAGATTAATCAATCCATGTTATTCATCACTCATATTAATCCAAATGTTTTCAACTTTTTTTTGCTATCTTTTGAAACCTATAGCTCCCGCCTAAAAAGAACCAGAATTTTCGATGTCTAATTTTGAAATTCCGCTATCAATTTCGGGAACATTGAATTGTTTCTGCTTTATACCATTTTACAAGAAACAAAGTTTCCTGAAACACTCAATATTAAAACAAATAAAATACTCCACCACATAATTTCACCCAAGCGTTACTTTAGAAGAGGGCAAAGACCCGAAATTTACATCACACCCCACATGCAAAAAGTCGAATTACATTCTCCAGACGACAATTTCTCTACTAAAACCTCTAAAATAACAAACACATCAACACACAAATTAAAGATTACAAAATAAGATAAGAAAAGTACTAAATTAAAAGAGAACTGTCTAGAATCTTTGATTAAAGTTTCTAAACAAAGCTTATTTCAGTTTTGATGAAGTCTCAGAGCTCGAGCAACTCAACAGCCAACAGGCACCATCACAGGTTTCACTTTCGGTGGCCTTCCACGACCTCGACGCTCGCCGGTAGGCTGAGCCGTCGGTGCCTCATCAGCTTTAACCGTCTCCGAATCCGTCTTCGCCTTCTTCGGTGGTCGTCCTCTTGGCCTACCGGAAACACTCGGCGCCTTAGATTTCGCCTGAACCGACGACGGCTCCGACGAAGAAGAATCCTTGGACTTAGGCGGACGACCTCGAGGCCTCGGCGGAGAAACGGAAGGAGCTGGGACCGGCGCGAGGCTTGGATCGACCTCAGGTTTGGGTTTCGGAGGACGGCCACGGCCACGCTTAGGCGGAGCATCCGGATCTGGTTTCATGTAGTTGTTTTTCGCCATGACGATCTGGCCGGAATTTTTCATCTGGTTGAGATGGTAGTTGAGAAGCGTCGTGTGAGACGGAGGTAGAGCTGGCTGAGTTGACTCGATGTGCTTTGAGATCGCCGTTTTGTTGCATCCGTTCGCGTCGTTACATGCTTCGATCGCTTCCATGATCATCTGTTTCCAGATTAAACACAAATATTTTCAGATCTACGAAAAGAAACGAGTCACCGTAAAATCGAGAATACAGTTTCGAAATCTGAGAGCATACCTGAGGATACGGTGGGAGAGTGATGGAATCCGGCTGTGTCTGCGGCGGCTGCTCCGGCAATAGAACTTGTTGAGGATCAAACCCATTCTCCATCGTCATGTCAAACATGAATCCACAGAGAGAGAGAGAGAGAGAGTGTGTGTGTGTGAGAGAGAGGTAGGAGAGAGAGCACTGTTGCTTGAATGGGCGCTGAAGCAAACTAACTGTGTGGATTCAAGGGATTTAAAAAAAAAATGAAATTGGTAAAAGTGGTTTTCCTGGAGACTAAATAAAAAATTGATTTAGTTGAAAAACCTGATCGGACGGTTAGGGTGTGAAGAACACAAGAGAGGATCTGACGGTTGTGGGACAATCAGAATATTGTCCCGCAGGATTGCTGACGTGGTTGAAGGTGATAACTGATAACTTTTTGCAAGTTTACGAATTTCTCCCTGATTGTGAACTTTACGAAGAATAAACCAATTGGGTAATAATTCGGTGATTCGACTCATTAAAGTCAACACGTGTTGAATCATCAATGGACGCAAAGGGAAAAATGAAATGAGAACCTTAGACAAGACACGTCATCTCGGATTTTAGCATACAATTACGGGAAGATAAGGGGCACTAGTTCTCTCGTTGAGCGCACAAAATAACATTAGTTGCAAAAAATAATTTTGAGAGTGCAAAGAAGGGGATTTACTCATATATATGCATATATCCCAGAAATATATCATCGTTCTACAAGCAATAAGAACAGAGATCAAACCAATCATGAGATTCCATTACTCACAAATAAAAACCATCTCGCTCTCTCCCTCCACCAAAACCAATGAAGATACAAACGTGAAAACATGATCAAAGGAGGCCAGTGCTGCGGAACGGGTTATTTTGTTGGTTTACCGCGAAATCACCAAACCCGCTGGTATTTGGCTGCTGCGAAACCGGGTTAACCGGGAATTCACCAAAATCACCAAATGGATTATTATTGGTAGGGGGGCTGGGTGCTAGCTGCTGCTGCGGCTGCTGAGGCTGAGGCTGATGATAAGTTGGTTGGTAAGCACCGAACGGATTGTTGACAGCTGGCTGCTGAGGTGTCGGAGTGCTATTGGACGATGCAAAAGGATCCTGGACCTCAAATGGGTTGGGAGCTGGTGCACCGTAGACAGGACGCTGGGAAGCTATGTAGGCTCCATCATCGTATAGACTGTTCAGTGTAAGCGTATCCAAGCCTCCAGCCTAAACATTTTTTGATGCACACAAATAATGGTTTTCAAGATTAGCTTACAAATTATCTATAAACATCTTACACTATAATGACTTATTTGCTAGTGCAAACTGCAACAAGTTCTACTCTGAAGACTATTATTCAAATATTTCAGATTTCTGGCCAATTTTTTTGTGGAATATCCAAACTCCAACGCTCCAACTACCCAGCCAAATCTTAAAGCCGAGGACTAACTGTTTTTAATTTGTGATCTACTGTTTAAAACATAAACAAATAGAAGAATGCTTTACCAATTGCCTATCAGTGGCTGCAGAGATATCGTTGCTTGGTGTTGTTACCAAGGCAAGCTCCCATCCTGAAGGATCATAATCGTTTGCTTGACCAAAACGAGGCGTTGAAGGGTTACCTGGAAATAGCGACAAGGAACCAAAATGAGTTACACAAGTAGATATAACCATCTCCAGACTGGGAGAATGTTAATGGACATGTAATCAGAGAGGGTCTAACAAAAAGCTTACCATCAGTTGGAATAATGGCTAAAGCAAGTGCATTTTGGTTCTCGATCGCTGATGCATCAGGACCAGCAGTGTTCAGACCCTGCGTGGAAAATTGAACATGGACAACCTGAGACTAAAGAATAGCAATTGGAAACGAAATTGAAATCAACACTCATAAAGGAATAATAGGATTTTCACCAGTAGATCATCTGTATCAATGATGTTCTGAGTGGTAGCTGCAGGAGGAGGCGGGGGAGAAGGTTCAGTCTCTTCAGGTAAAGGAACGACATCATCTGAAGGCAACATTTCACGTACTTCATGAGACGGTTCACTATCTTCGGCAGGAAGTCCATCATCAGGCCTATAAGTTAAAAGCTGCATGTAGACCATTTCATTAGCACATAAAATGCAGAGAGAGAGGCCAAAATTCTGGAGTCACTAATATGAGAAAATATTCATACCAGGGGCTCAGCTGGGGCATCGACAGCACGCGGTGCTTCTTTAATATACTCCTCCATTGTCGTCAGAAAAGATTGTGGGGGCTGGAGAAAACAAAAATAAAGTAGTCTATTAAGAAACAGATACAAGCAATAATTATCAATTTAATTTAGCACAAATGTTCCATCTGGTACCTCTCTTAGTACAGGAAACTGAAAATTCCTTGCGAGTTCCAATCCTTTACAGGCTTCATAGAAGTCAGAAAGGCTACGAGCCTGAAAGAATAAATTAGCCCTCGTTAGACAAGACAAGACAGTGACTATACAAGTGAACTCAACGCAGAGAAAATAGTCCAACAACATTACCTGCTGACCCGCACGCTTGTATATTTCAAGGGAAGTCATGGCTTCATGTTTTGGCATTTCAAAGAACTACATTAAATGAAAAACTGAGCAGTGAGAAAGGAAAGAAGATACTGAGACATGATAACTATGACGGCAAAAAACAAACTAGACCTACCTTGTCAATGAGATTGATAATTCCGTCATTGATAGCACAGTAGACTTTAAAACTCTCCTTCAACACCTATCAATCCATCACAACGAAGGTAAGAAATATTTTTCGAGCTATGCTCTTCCAAATGGAACAGAAAGCTTTCGCAGAGCAAAACACCAACAACTGTCCAGTTGTGGAAATGTTAATTCTATGACCAAGGATCAATATCACGTACCAGGGCAAGTGCATATTGTATAACATGATTGTGGTTAGCAGCGCCTTCTGGCTGAAAAAAAAAGTAAAGTGGCAAGCCACTGCATTGATCAGCAAATGTAGCCACAACACAATGCCACAAACTATCAACTACAAAAAAAAGTACCCTGCATCCGATGAGACGATAGAGAAGCTGCTGCAAAGCTGGCAACTGCTCCAAGAGTTCTTCACCATCTAGATCCCTGGTTCTACTGTACCCCTGCCAATCCGCAATATCCAACACCAAAACCATCAGAAACAAAAAAAAAAAAAAAAGTTGTATCGCAACAAAGAACAAAGTAAACGAACGTGTTTGATACCTTATCCTGCCCTGGGGTAGATTTTGGAAGACGTTCTGCCTCAGTATCATATTTTAAAACCCTGAAGCATTCAAGCCGCTCCTCAAGGAATAATGCATAAGTTCGTACCCAAGCTGAACAATCCCAGGCTGTGAGGGAAACAAAAATTTGCCAGTTACCGTTCCCACTCAATAGAAACCTCTTTTGATTTCAAAACATGCACGCAAATGTAGCAGAAACACTGAATTGACTCACCAATAGGGCTTGAATCATCCTTGAAATTAGAAAGCTGCAGAATTCGACCTCTCTGCGAAAAGTTCAAGAGCTCCTCTCTAAATGTCGGGTCTCCTTCCCTTAGAAGTCGGTGAATCACAATTAGTGTTTTCAGTGCAACCTGTTGAAGCAACACAATAGAGAAAACACATAAAGCGATCAGTTCATGAGCTGCCTAACTTCAACTTCAAAAACAGAGCAAAGCTTTTGACTGGAGAGAATAGTCAGTACCGTCCAATTTCTGGTTTTATGCAAGCGACGGGAAAGGGCGTGAATGCAATAGGCAACATCTGCACGAGCACGGGTCACTGATGTTGCAGCGAAGATTTCTGCGAAAGTGAGACAATAGAGAAACCATTTCAATGAGCAACAATCAAACCCAGATCTAAAAATTCGCCATAAAAGTAACTGATAACACGAAAATGAATAGTAATCACTCACTTCTGAGATGCCGATCTTTAGGAGGACACTCGACGTGATTAGTAGCTTTGACTATGGCAACATCTAAGTCCTAAATCCATGAAAATTCCAGAAAACCAAAACCGAATCTACTCAGAGATTTTTCTTGTGGAGAATTAAGCATATAAACAAAAATCAATCAAAGAAATGGTTATAAAAATAGAGGGAATCGGAGAGCGCGTACGGCGTAATCGCTGTTGACTCGGACAAGGCCGACTTTGGTGGTGTCTTTTAAGGCTCCATAAGCTTTTCGCCATGACTGAAGCGTTCCCATCGGAAATTACAGGAGACTCGGTCAGATCTCACTCGCTCCCGAAGATGCCGGAGATTACGTGTCTCAATCTCGAACCTTCTTAGATTTTTTTCCCGAGAAAACCTCCGCGAAAAATCACGGGAATTCACAAAGAAGAACGAAAGAGAAAAAGAGAGAAGCAAAGTGAAGAAGCAAAAAGGGGACGCGAGATTGGAATCGTTCCGTTTCAATTTATTTTTCCTAATTTAAAGTCAATATTCTCATACCAAAAAAAATAATAAAGACTCAATTTATGTGATATTGAGTTTACAATACCATTTTTTATAGTTTTTTTTTCAACTGAACGTTTATAAAATTTATTTCTATAAGACTTCACGAAATATGTAAATAAGGATGGAATTGATGTTTTTGTTGTCCAAAATAAATAAATGAAAAAGATGATGTTTAAAAAGAAAGGGATGCTTAAAATAATCAAAGAGAATACAAATAGTATTCATAATCATTCAATAGAAATCATAATTAGAGCTCACGCAAAGCATAAATGGTAATGATATATCTGGAAAATCTGACAGTACTAATGACCCAACTAATAAGAATCGAATCTGCGCCTCTGGATTATAATCAGGTTATAGCACATTTTACATATAAAATCACAAAGCCATGTGTACCTATGCAATATAATAGTATTGTACATAATACACATAGAAGCTTTACAGACAAATTATAAAGATGATGATTAATTTTCTATTTAATAAAAAAATGAAGAAATGCGATGAGAGAGTGAGAAATGTTGGCCACCAACCGCTAATTACTTAAAATGGCCAGCTTCATAGATTCTAAATTTTGACTCACCGTCCCTTGAGTAGAGAGCGAGAGTGTATTCTTTTATGAGCAAATTGGTTGGAAGGGAAGTTTATTGGATTAAGATTTCTATTAAATTCTTGTGTTATTCAATGAAGTATTCCATCAATTCTTTTAAATGTATGTGTTATTGGATCTAAGTATTTGTAATCATTCTTTTGAAATGCTTCAAAATCTATTATTATTGGATCCATGAGTATTTTAATTCTATTAAATATCTGTGTTATTCAATATTTGGTGGATTTAATGGTAACATCATTTACAAAGAATTGAATAGAAAATTGATTGTAAAATGTATAGAAACAATTCTGTGCTTTTATGCTCTGAATTGGAATGAATTATGAATTGGTCGTAATAATTTTTTTTTTCATCCAAAAGTAACAATCAAAACATTAGGGGCATTCTCTTTCACAGATCTTTTCAACTGCAAAACGTTATTCTCCTGTCCACTTCCACCTGGTCGTACAAATTCTAATCAATATATAATATTATATATCATAAAATCTCTAGTTATCTATACATATATCCTAAAATCTCTACAAAATGGTATTTGAATTTCAAATATTGTTCATCATAATTTCCAGTTAACCATATATCATAAAATCCCTACAAATTAGTATAATTTTTAAAAAATTTAAAAACTCAAAACTTATCTGTTATGTAATTTCCCTTCTATATATATAACATTGCATCTCTCTCTCAAAGCAACAAAAAAAAACAATACCACTAAGAAAAAAGGTATCGTTTTTTGCATTCTTGAAAAGAGTAGTTCTTGTAGTCAATTACATTGTTTTGTATACTTTTACTTATAATAAATTGTTTTCCATTTTTCTCTACAGGTCTTCAATCTCTCAATTAATGTTTTTTCATATGTTCTATCATATATATATATATATATATATATATTATTGAATTATTTTCACACATGCACATGTATGTTTATGTACTTTAATGTTCATGTAATTTTTTCTTAATTAGATGGAAACTGGAGAAGCTTCGCAACCAAAGAAAAAAGGTGGATATTTCCCGTGGACATCCCAGGAAAGTCAATTGTTGAAACGTTTATTGGTGGATGGTATCAAACAGGGATGGCGCGACTCAAATGGTTCTATAAGCAAATCAACGATTGAGACGAGGATACTACCAGTTCTAAATAAAAAACTCGGCTGCAGTAAGACTTACAAAAACTATGTAAATCGAATGAAATCTTTGAAAAAATGAATATCAAAGCTACGCAGAACTTCTCCGATGTAGCTCTGGTTTTGGGTGGGATCCCATTTTAAAACAATTCACTGCTTCGGATGAGGTGTGGGAAGAATATTTTAAGGTATTTTTTAATCTCTTAAATATTATCATTAAAATTTCATAATTTTTTTTTCACTAATGAATATGTCACAATGATTCAGGGACACCCTAATCATGAATACATGCGGAGTAACACTTTTGAAGACTTTGAAGATTTACAAATCATTTTTGAAAGTGCTATTGCAAAAGGAAACAACGTGTTTGGACTAGGTGGTGATTCAAATGCTGCAACTTTTGAAGTTGAAAATGATGTTCAAGAAAGAGAAGATGTTCATATGGAGAATGTTTGTGAAGCTAACGAAACATCATATGAAACTCCTAAAGAAAAACTACCTTCTAGGAAGCGAGTCAAAACCCATGGTAATCCATCAGAGTCAATTAATCATGATGATCGTTCTGAAAAGGTAATAACTGAAATGATTGGAGTTAGCACTAATCTCATAAATCTTATTCAACAAAGAGAAGAAAGGCATCAAAGAGAAGAAGATGTACGAGAAACTGAAAAAAATAAGAATAATGTTTGGGATGCTATTAAAGAAATTCCCAACTTGGAAGAGTATATTCGCTATGATGCGGTAACTAAGATTCATAAGCTGAAGATGAAAGACGTATTTGTCTACATGTCCATTGAAGAACGTTTGGGTTGGATTCTCCGTAACACCTAGTCACCTAGAATACTAATTTTTTAGGATTTTGGCTATGCTTTGGCTATGCATTTGATAATAAATTTTAATAATTGTTTCAGTTTATTATTTTTATGTTTTCTTTTTTTTCAACAAATATGTCATTTGAATTTTAAATTAATAAAAGTTTCATTTTGAATAAATAATCTACTTTCTAATTGAATCTAGGTACTTTGTTAAATAGAATTTTACGAGTAACAGAAAGGCTCGTAATCTACTTTGTTAAATAATCTACTTCATCATAAGGCTCGTAATGGGCTAAAAATTAAATTGTGGTGGACCATTGTATTTGAAGAAAGAATTTCTAAAATATAATCCCAACAGAATAGGAATATTTTTTGCACTAATTTCAAAACCAAAAGATATGTGCAGACGTGTGTATTTGTCAACATTGCAAGATTTAAAAACTATTTTAGATTTCCAAATTCAAATAATAAAACCAATAACATTTTTTAAAAATATAAAAACTGTTTGATAATTTTGGCTAACAAATATGAGACGATCCCTTTAAAATAGTATTGTTTCTAGTTAATCAGTATCATGCATAGAATCCCTAAAATATAGAATATAATTAGATTAAAAAATTAAAATATTTTTGAATTTGAAAACTTGTTACGTAGACTTGATACTTATATATATAGCCTTCCCTAGCATTTATTTTCAGAGAAAAAGAAAATCATTCAAACAAAAGTATAAGAACAGCACAACATCCATACTTCGTAAATTAATTCTTCATTTCATTGTTCTTTTCATTTGTTGTATATTTATTTATATATATTATATTAGATTCTAACTGTTGTTTTTTTAACAGGTTAATTTTGATGGATCCCAATTCATATGAAGAAGACAACACAAGAAAAGATAATGAACGAACAGAAAATGATGAGTTTGACACAATCATATCTTTAATGGTGGTGATGATGGCTATAGGAGCTCAATATCAAATCTCACAACAGTTTCTCATGGGTGATAGTTGTATTGAACGTCCGATTCATCCACCAGTCACGAGGCTCGGAGGAGAATACATACAAAATGTATTAAAAGAAGATCCTCAACATTTTCGGGTATTGTACCGTATGTTTCCAGATGTATTTTTGAAATTTTCAAAAATACTTAGAGAAAAAGTTGGTTTACAAGACACAAGATTCATATCTGTCGAAGAGATACTTGGTATTTTTATGCTTACAGTTGGGCAAAATTCAAGATATTGCTATGTTAAAGACACATTTAGAAGATCCAAATTTGCAATAAGCACCAGCTTTAATTGTATTTTAAGAGCTATACTTGTAATAGCTCCAAGTCTAATGGTGAAACCAAATAGTTCAGTGCCTATGAAAATCAGAGAAAGTACACGATTTTATCCATATTTTAAGGTATATTATTTCATCTCTTGTGTTATTTATGTTTAAATTTTTTTTTTGAAATTATTTTCATCTTTTGTGTTATTTATATTTTAAATTTTTTTTCAAAATCTAATTAATCATTTTTTCAGAATTGTGTTGGTGCGCTAGATGGTACACATATACCTGCAACAATAATTGGACGTGATGTGGCAAGCTACCGTAATCGAAAAGGAGAAATATCACAAAATGCTTTAGCTGCATGTAACTTTGACTTGGAGTTCATATATGTTCTTAGTGGATGGGAAGGTTCAGCACACGATTCAAGAGTGTTAAGTGATGCTTTGACAAGAAGAACAAACAAATTTCAAGTACCTAAAGGTAAAAAAACTTATAAATTAGATTACATATCATATGTCTAATTATTAATAGTGTATTTTCATCTTAATTTTTAGGAAAGTTTTATCTAGTTGATTGTGGATTTGCAAATCGACTTAATTTTTTGGCTCCATTTCGTGGTGTTCGTTATCACCTACAAGAATGGACTGGCAAAGGACGTGATCCTAATACTGCAGCTGAGTTATTCAATCTTCGACATGCTAGTTTGAGAAATGTTGTCGAAAGGATATTTGGAAATTTTAAATCCCGTTTTGTGTTTTTTAAATCTCAACCTCTTTTTTCTTACGAGAAACAAGCAGGATTAGTATTAGCATGTGCAGCGTTGCATAACTTTCTTCGTAAAGAATGCCGCTCAGATTTAGGTGAATTTCCCGGTGAAGAAAACACTACCAATCAAGTTGATAGAGATGATCTGGAGACACAAGAGCAAGACAGAGAAATCGCAAATAATTGGAGAAAAGCTATGGCTGAAGATATGTGGAGAGATGCTACAGGTTTAGAACATTCTTAAATATTGTTGTTTTTTTTTGGGTTTAATTTATGGAAATTTAATAATAATGTTTAATTTTTTAATAAAATATTTATATTTTCTTACTCAAGAAAACTAGAAAAAACTAGTTTGTACCTGTTTACAAAATAATGTTTAATGTTTAATTCAAGATTTTTGTGCTCAATAACTATATCATCATTCACTATTATCTATTATTACATTTCAATGCCATTTTGATTTAAAAAAAATCGAATAATTCGAATAAATATGACTCAGAAAACAAAATAAAAGAAGAGAGAGAAAACAAAAGAAGTAAAGAGAAGAGAGAGGTATCGTGAGAGAAGAAAAGAAAAATAGATTTTTATTAAAAAATATTATTTTCTCTTTCCACTTTTTGATTTTTTCCTTTTCTAATTCATTCACTCTTATATATTATTTTAAATAACAAAAAATACAATAATATATATTTTAAAAATATTTTGATTTTTTTCTACACATTTTTAAATTTAAATTTTTTAAAACAGATAATATTTAAAATTTGTTATATATTTCAGTTATGTATACATTAAACATGTAGGCCATGAATGTTTGAGTGATTTTTAGATTTTAGATTGTGGTTTTTGGCTTTAGTTATTTGGTTTTCAGATTTTAGTTTTTGATTTTTCTGTAGATTTTGGTTTTAAAAAAAACTTGAATGGTGGATTGTTTAGATTTTGGTTTTTGTCTATATAATACATATATATATAAGACCTTGATTTATATCTTTTCATATTTAAACTCTTTTTGTTTTGTTTGAAGTGTTTAAAATTGCTAAAATAAATATATATATTTTTTCAATCAGAAAATATATTTCCTATATTTTCTTGTGTACAATTAATTATTTAAATCATGTTTTTATACTTTTAAATTTTATTTTATCATATACTTAAAACTTAATAAAATAAATATATCAAACTCACAAATTTTTATAAATAGGAACTTAAATAAAAATGCACATACATTATGTTACGAAGTTAGAAAAACAAGCACATTGTCTACATAAATGCATATGAGATTTGATTCATGTGTAAGTTATTAAATTGAGTATATTAATTTATTAATAAATTTCTATTATTTTTCAAAAAATAAAATAAATTTATTAGATTTTTTGTGTGTATAATATGAAACTGGTGATTTTATGTACAAAATATATTGAGCTAAGACTTATCATATATATATATATATATATACTGTTAAACAAAAAAAATCTCGACATAAAACTCCTAAATAGTAGATTTAGTTTTTGTTTGAAAATTGGAAGTTATTTTAAACACTAGTTTTCCTAAAAACTAAGGAATCAATTTTGTCAAAATTATAATTGGATATTGAGATTTGATTCATGTGTTAAAAGTTATTAAATTGAGTATATATTAATTTATTAATAAATTTCTATTATTTTTCAAAAAAATGAAACTGGTGATTTTATGTACAAAATATATTGAGCTAAGACTTATCATATATATATATATATACTGTTAAACAAAAAAAAATCTTGACATAAAACTCCTAAATAGTAGATTTTAGTTTTTGTTTGAAAATTGGAAGTTATTTTAAAAATTAGTTTTCCTAAAAACTAAGGAATCAATTTTGTCAAAATTATAATTGGATAAAAAAATAAATTTTTGAAAAACAAAAACCAAAATCTATTCTAAAAACTGCAAACATTCAAAGACATTAGGCATGGTATTCAATTGAAGGTATTCAGTTATGGTATTCAATTGAATGAATACCTAATAAGTGTACATTGAATTGTGAATATGTAATAATTGTACACCAAATGAATGATGAATACCTTTGAGTGAATATTTTTGGGTGTATACCAAATGGTGAATACCTTTATGTGTACATCAGATGAATGAATATCAGTGAATATCAGTGAATACCAAATGTTGTACACCAAATGAATGAATAGCAAATCGTGAATATCAGTGAATACCTTTACGTGTACACCAAATAAATGAACACCAAATCGTGAATATCTAAGGATGAATACTTTCACGTGAATATCTTCAAATGAATAATTGATAATTGTATATCAAATGGTGAATACTTTTAAATTTGTATATAATACAAAAAAAATCAAATATTGTTTGTTTTAAAAAATTCAAATTTCAGTATGTGTTAAAAAAAGATTTTTATATTTTTAGTATTTATATAAATTATTAAATATTTTATTATTATGAATAATTTACAACAATTTATTTAAAAGAAAAAATAATCTCAGAAGAGAAGAAAGAGAAAATAAAAACCCTTATTATAAAACTACACATAATTGCCCAAGCCCAGAAGTCCAACAACGTTATTTGTGCAAAAAACGACTGCGCTTTATAATTGAGAGTGAGTTGCACGCGTTAGAGAACAACTTTTTCACTCAGGGGTTTCTCTTTCATCCTTTCCTTTAATAAGGGTACGAATGCCATAATGAAAAAGCCACTGTTCAAAAATGTTGAAGATTGCACGTGATATCAGAAACACACCCATTCAGCTAATTAAAAACTTAAAAGTACCCTATTTCCCAAGAATCTCTTCTTTTATTCACAGCAACAGAATGATATTGTATATTAGCTCTTGGTTGTTTTTGCTGCTACAAACCCAAATTTTGGTAGAACATAACCAAAATGAGATGTAAATTAAAATTCGTTTAGTGTAAACTTTCTTTTTAGTAGCTGAACCGGAGCTGCAAAAATTATATTGCTGAACCTTTGTTTTTTGCGCGCGGGCAAGTGTTTATGCATACACCATTGACCATTCTAAGTTTCTAACAAAGATTTAGTAGAATGTTCACAGAAATATCGCGTTATTTAACGAATCACCAATCAAAGATGTTGGAGCTTTTTGACGTTTGGGTTTTGGTAATATATCAAGATTTCTATCATATGGTATATAAGGTAATATTGTAGAATCACATGATCAAGTCATCAAGTAAAGGGAGGCTAAAGGGAAGTTTGATAACTCCACAAGCTACAAGCAGAGACAAAATCCATATGGGAAGAATCCATTGAATTGTAAACATCAAAACTGGTTTACCTGCAAACATTAGGAAGGAGATTATAGATTACTACTAATCATACAATAATATATAGCAATTGAAAAGTGAGAAGAATAAAACTAACCGGAGGAACGAAACTTAGACTCGGTTCGATCAACGAAGATTTCGCCGATCTCTCGTAGCTTCTTCTCGAGTTTTCCTTCGAATTTATTAGCATGACCCAATAGCAGCTCATCGAATACTGTATTCATATCCATTTCCCTATCAGAAGAAGGAAACAGATTTCAGATTACAATGGTCAGATATCAGAATCGTAATTGTTTAGTTAGATTTACCCTTCGGAATCACGATATGATCCAGAGCCAAATGCTCGTTCGATCTGAGCTATCGAGGGCTTCTTGTCTCGCCGTTGCTTCCGTAACTGCTGATTTTGGTTTCCGGTTTCTGTTCCGACACTGACGCTCGTTGGTTTCTTGGTAGGTCTCGGCGGAAGAGGAGATGGTGAGTCATTGGTTAGAGACGCAATAGCTGGTGAAGCTCTGGTCATGGAGAAGATGCTGGATAAGACCACCATTGCCTCCTCTTCTCTTTGTGTGGTTTTCGCTTGATGAAATTATTTTTATCTTTTCAAGTATCCCTTTTTATTTTTTATTAAACGTTTCTATATTTCATTTCTATGAAAGAAATTTAAACATAAAAGCAAAATTAAGCGCTAATCAAACATTCTGCATTTTGAACTGATTTAAAAAAAAAAACAATGTCGAATAAAATTGTAGACGTTAAGCTTTTGGATATTTAGGAGAAAGCTTCTAAATGATTTTAGATGGTGTAATTTATTAAAAGTTCAAAGCTTCTCAAATTTTAAAATAACAAAATTTGTATCAGGAGTCCAAAACGCACCTGAAACGGCTAACATAACGCATAAACTGCTTTACATGCTGCCTACACACATTTAAATTTCCATTCCTATCTAAAAATATAATCACCACAAAACAAGTATGTTTAACGCATAAGCGCCGGTTAGACTAAACACGATTTCTTGAACACCAGCAAAATGGAGATGAAAAAAAAATAGTAAATAGTATACTTAAGCCTTAACGTGTGAATTTGCCAAACATTGTGTTGTTTTACATGAATAAAGTCAAGATTTGGTCAGTAGAAGAAGCCTTTTTCTTTCATACCAAAAGGAGAAAGGTGTGTTTAACTAACGTTTCTTCCGTAATGACTTGAAAAAAGTGGTTAAAATTAGTCATTTAGCATACACCTATCATTTTCCCAAGGCAAATCGTTCTAAACCAAACCCCACCCACTCTTAAACAACAATACCAAATCACTAACAAATGGAATCACAATGACACAACAGAAGAAATGATCCATCATTACTAAGAAGCTACGAGCTTTTAATTGTTAAAGCCAATTAAAGAGGAACCATTGCAAAAAAATGGCAGATTCCGACATAGAGACCAGCAGCAACCACAACAGCAACAGCAGCAACAGCAGCAACAGCAACCAGTCAGCCTCGTCAACGACAAGCGTTCATGTTTCAGCTCTAGACGGGATAGTCAACGCAAACTCGCTCTTCACGGTTGCAGTCTTTGTCGGGATAGCTTTCGACCAACCGCGTGAGCTCACACTCACGGACAGGACCGAGTGCAACGCGGGACTAGACGTGGAAAGAGACCTTGTTGTGTTCGAAGTCATCTCATTTGCATTCTTCCTTTTCTCCTCCCTCGTGGCTCAGGGTATGAAGCTAGCCATCAACTTGTTGAACAGTAAAGAAACGGACGAGGTTTTTAAAGCGAATATCAATAGTGATGTGCTTCGTCTAGGTGTGGTTGGTGCAGCTGGTGGATCTATCTTGGGATGTGTTTTTCTTCTGTTGTCAATGGTTGAAGTTATTCAGCTCCGTCTCGGTCTGCTTTCTTGTGGTGGCTCATTGGCGATTCATACCGTGTTGGTTCTTGTGGTCTTGGTCTCTTCTGCTCTTAGTGTTTATATCTTCACTGTGTTTTACTCTTTCAGGAAATGATGGAATCTTTTCATATATTTAAAGACCAGATACAAGTTGTAGAGCAACGAATAGTTGTGAAACCAGCGATATAAGTGCAGTCATGTATGATGTATCTTGGTACCTGCGTAAAGAACGAGATAATGTCTAATAGTCAAATTATAATTAGAACATGATTATAATCAGTCAATAACTTCTTGATCGGACTCAATGCATCTGATCAAAAATCAGAGCTGCAGGCAATAAATAAGTTTTTATCAAAGAAGACAAGCCAATTACTTGTAAGTTCTAAACAATTGAAGTTGTGCAATTTAAGTTATTTTTCACTCCATGGAACTAGCAAGGACTTGAATAAATTGGTGATCATATGGTTGAACAATATTGAAGATTATCTTAGCATTCAAAGCAGATTGAAGATATCAAACTGATTCAGAGAGACAAAACGAAGACCACAAACACTGAGATTCAAACAGAATTTCACAAGCTTCGACACGCGAATATGGCAGATTATAAACACGAATTATATTACAGATTTGTACTCTAAACTCAAAATGCCTTTGATCCAATCGCTTTCAGCGATAACCAAACTTTCAAAAGTCAAAGACATTCGCAGGCACACATTACGAGACTTTCCAATTACTAAAACATACCTGGACTCGAAACTCCGACGAGATTCTACGACTTCGCGGGATCGATCGGTCAGTGACCGCCATAGTCATCGAAGCTCTCTTTGTCTATCTCTCCAAACCCTTCGGTGTAGCCAGTAGCTCTGTCGTTGAAACTAAATGACATAATTACCCTTATGGCCTTATCCATCCGATCTTGAATACGACAGCGTTTAACTGTTTCTCGGGACGCTTGTTGATAACTGAACGACATCGTTACATCAGGTTGTCATAAACAAGACTTGGTGGTATTAACACATTTTCAATCCACATTACAAATAGGATTAGCAAAACAATATGATTTGATGTTAAGTTGATGGATTGGAATCATGACTATTGTCTATATTTGGTAAATCTAAAGTGATTGTGATTTCTTTTGATTTTAAAATTACATTACCAAAAGAAGAAGCTAGTTATCAAATCATGTTTGACTTTCGTGCGTATAATGGTATCATCACTTTCACGTAACACGTTAAATTATTGATTGTTTTATGCACTGTTTTTATCGGATTCTGAAAGTTTAAACGAAATGATGTTACTTGTACTTTCAAAGATAAAAAAAAAAAACGTTGTGTAAACTCTTCTCCCCTAATTTTGACGTCCATTTTGAATAATTAATTTTAAAAACGACGTTCTTCCGGTTGTTCTTATAAATTTCTGCAAAACAAAAGTGTAGTGAATTTACCCGCCACTCCATTTCGTCACCATACCATTAACACTCTAGCTGCAAAAGTTATATGTAAGTATAGAACACAAGGAGCCATGTCTTGCTCGCAAAATTATAAGCTAGGAGAAGTATACGAGGTTGTTTGTGGAATAACTTGGATCTAAACTCTAAAGGTGAGATGAGAGTTTTCGTTAATGGTGGTCTTTAGTTTTGTGAACTATATAGTAGCTACTTTTTCACGAAATCATAAAGAATTTCCGAACAAATTACTGATGGTATATGGAAACCGTTGCTCCTATATAAATAGAGGATCTTTAATTAGTGTTCGTAACAGACTAACAGGTAAACTCAACGGGTGTACCACACGTCCACTCATTAAATTAAAGAGAATCGAGAAGCATAGTCGGCTTTGACTAGAAAAATGTCAAGCATGTGATTCTATTTTCCAAGTTCCAACCTTTGGAGTCTTTATGTATTATTTTAGGGGTCAATTTTGTATTAAAAATTACTAGTAGTAATTCAGTTGGTTGTAAGTACTTGTAGCCTGCATTATAGTTTGAATTGGTTAAAGGTTTGATTCTAGCCTAATATATATATATATATATATATATATATATAGAGTCCCATGGTTATCAGGACCGGCTCTATCGGGAAGATTCCGACTTTGAACATCGACGATGAGATTGACCTGCTATGGTTTCTAACTTTTAAAAAAATTATGGAACTAAACTCGTAACTTTTTGGTTCTAGTAGAAATTAGAGAGAGAAAAACTCTACGACATTCTTTAAAAAAAAAAAAAAAATTTCTACGACAATGTAAATCCTCGAGAGGCAGTAATAAATATCTTGTAAATTTATTTATTGGTTTTTTAAATAGCTAGTATGAATGAACTCGTAATTCGTGTGCGTTCGAGCTTAATATTCTTTTATTTTCTATTGTTATGGTGATTTTATAAGTGATGATAAATATTTTGTTTGGGAATCTCAAACAGTTATCGTAACACATGATTCACACATGCTAATAGTGAAGTGATAAACCATATCAGGAGAAATAATTGAAGGGAAGATAGGGCAAAATCTCGTGATGAAAGATTCCGAGTCTTATCAAATAGATTTCCGCATGTCGCCTTCTTGGGCCGCAATCTTCTACATGTCCGCATGTCGGCAAAAAACTGTCTTTTTAATTCCATTCATACCCGCTTTTATTACTTTCGCTACATGTAATAATATTACTGTTATACCATGATGTAATAAAACGAGTTATTGTTGAGACAAGTCATTGTCTTTTTGATTGGCTTGGGGGAAAATACAGCGAATTATATTTATGTGCATAACTCCTTAAGACAACCTTCTAATTTATGTGGACTTGATGCGTCTCGCACCTGAAGCCAACGACAGCAAATTCTTACTCCTCATTTCGCTTCCTCTTATTGTTTCTTTTGTGCGTCGTCATTTATGAACCAAGTTAAAGATGATAATAAAATACTCTGTATTAAAAAAAAATTATCTTGTTTTGACGTCGTAGATCTCAAATCTTATTAACTCAGAGCACCGTGTCCCCCTTTTGCCCAACCGATCCTTCACAAAAAAAAAAAAAAAATTACCATGCACGTGTTTTTATGAAATGTAATCTATATATTTAATACATTATGTATACGATTATACTCTATCAATATATATGTACTTAATATATCGAGAAACAAAGTTTCGAGATGTGAATGTGAAGTTCACATGGGCATAGTTTGTTCCCTAGATTCCGTGAATTAAATTCTTTTTATTTTAAAAAATATTCTACCTTTTTATAAGATCTTAAAAATGGTAAAACAATCCACTTACACAAAATGTAATGTTGGGTGTTTTCAGTATTATTAAAAACATCTAATCTTGTTTATTGTTTTCCAAAATTTGTTTAGGAGAAAAGAAAATTTCAAAAACTTTTCCGGTTGATAATCTTTATTTTACTGATAAAACGAAGCATTTCCATTTGCATTGTGTCTTTAGAATGTAAAACGAAATACTTTTCCTAAACAAATTTTCTCAAAAATTGATCGCAATCTATTTACAAGGGTAATGTTAGTTAAATTAATATTTCATTCTATAAAGCTCTATATCGCATATACAACTAAAAATTACAACAAGACATGCACAATAGTACTTATTACCATCGAATTTTCAGATGGCTGATCTTCCCCTTAATCTTTTGAGTTTAATTCAAAAAACTAAAATTTGGATAATGTTATCGTTTCGTTAAAAATTACAGTACACCTAAAATCGTGTTATCTTATGATAATTATTAATGGAATAATTGAAGAGTCGTGTTATTTTCCTTAATTTATATCTGAATAATACAGTATGTACTCAAATATCTAAAAGGGGAGCTAGTGCCACCTGGCAAGGAGACAGAGCGTGCAGTTCACCCTCCGGATAGACGGTGGTAATGAAAAAGGTGCTCACTTTCATGCTTAGGAGACACGTATGCAATTTCCAGGCTGTGTATTGCTGTCTTTCTTTGACGCGACTTTCTCTGCTTCTTACGCCACACGCGCCTCCACAATATATATCCACTCTGCACTTAACTGAATAATACAGTATATAACTTAAAATTTGAATATTTAACCCCAAAAAATTGATCCATTCACATGAAAGTTAAAAATTCTATTATAAAAAATACTGAAGATTCCAAATTTTACCTAAACCTAGCATCATTTTCATAATAACCTTTTAATCTTTTAAGCTTAAATTTCTTATAATTATACAATCTATATATGTAATTATTATCCATTTCTTTAGTATATATTTTACCTCGTATAATTATAAATATTTAGATTGAAATGAATATTGAGTCAAAACGAAACTAACAAATATCTTAACCTAACCCTAATTATAATATATTGTTGTGCATATATATAATTATTATTTCGTTTGTTTATTTGATTTTAGTGGTTACAGTGAATGAACGGACTTATTAGTGTATCATTTTTTTTTTGACATCATTATTTATCTATCATCATTCAAAAATTGTTTAGTAAAAATAAAAATTGTTTAGTAAAAATAAAAATTGTTTAGTAGTAAAAACAGAAAAAAGGGGGTTATCTTCTCCGACCCATTTGCATACTTTTCGTCTAGGGGGGGTCTGTAGCAGTCTTCTATCCGTCCCGAAACTAAAACAATATAATTCGTAATGGAGCTTATCCCGTAATTCAATATCTTATATCTTATGTGAGGATATACATCACTTTCATAACCCTACAAATTTAATTTGAAGAAAATTAACCTCACAGCTTACATAGACATATTTGCAATGTAATTAAATGGAATGTCTTACTACAAGCACAAAATTATACATTAATAGGATATCCATTAATTTTATAGAAGTTGGGTCCATATTCATTCTTTATTTTTTAAATCAGGAGATCTTTTTGAAGCGTATTGTTGAAATTAAATTATAAAAAACAAATCATGTTACTGATAATCATGAATTTTCTGCATTATTGAAATGACTGAAAGGCTTTTGCTATGCTTTTTTGTAAATGCCTTCAATCACAATTGTCAACTTTTATTTTGTATACCTAATGTCTTAAATAATTCAAAGTTCCTACAAATTAAATGAATAATAGTTGATTGTAGTGTTTTGATAATTTGAGAAAAGAAAAAGGAATCATTCTAATTCTGGTATTCATGCAATTTAGGTGCCCCTACCAACTATGAGTGGTCTCCTTCCCACCTCATGTCAATTGATGGCAATTCATATTTTTGTTTGTACAATTACAATTTCATAATTTTATTATGTATGTTTTTTTTCAAATTATTAATAGCATTTTTGGTATGTTTTTTATTTTTTCTGTTTTGCAATAAAGGCACTATTTTCTTATGACAGATGATTTGATACAATATTCATTTCCTGTCGTCCACCAGAAGGATAAATCAATGGGAGAACTTGATTGCAATCCATAAAGGAAATACGTATGAAAAATTAGACGTGTACTATTTTATGGACTGTGATTCTATCTGAAATGATAATTAGTCATTAAATAGATCTTAACGAAGCATAATGACGCCCATAGGACAATAAACTCCAATCTATGGCTGAAGAACTTACTAAATCCGAGTTAAAAAGTCATTTGATTAACAACAAAGTTTCTGTTTCTTTGAAGAGATCCCGATCCCTCTAAAACAACTACTTTAGTGAATTTCATTAAACTTCATGTGCTTTATATATCCTACAATATCAATCAACCTATCTTGCGATAACTCGTATTCCAGGAAAAAAATAAAGTTTATTGACCATTACAAATCTCTATTCGAATGAATTATTGTCAGATCAATATCCAAGATCCTAGGGCCGACATTTAGATACATGTTCGTTTTCATAATTTCATGCGAAAATCAATTATAGACGGACCATCAAATCAGGTGAGAAAAATTAAGTTAATATTTTTTTTTATTAACGGGTCGAATCAGAATTATCATCTTTATGGTTTTTTAATTTCAAGAGTTTCAATGGGTATAGAATATTTTATTTATATTATTAGGGAATAATATGTTATGATAAATATTTTTTATAATAGTGTTGATGTATTTAAACATAGTTATTTAGCGTAACCACCACATATGTGTCTGCTGTTATACGTACATTTTGATTACTTATATATACGCATAATACACTCGGTATCATTGATGTGAATTTTTTTTTTTTGGTCATCCATTGTTACGTTTATTTTTTACTATGTCGAAAAAAAGTTAAATAATTCTAAGCTTGTGTAAAAAATCATAGGTGATAAATCACCCAATCCACCTTCTTTGTTTTTTCAATCATCCGTTGTTGTGATTATGATTATTATTTATACTTATTTTGCCTTTTGAATTAGTAATCCCGATAATGTTATCGAATTATATTTTAAAATTATTCATGAATATAAATTTGAGTGGACCTGATCTTAATAGCTACAAGTCTATAACTATGTGAGGTTTTATCTGTACAGTAACAAAAGATGGTTTTAGTAAGCGAAAGTATAAAAATGTGAACAAAGTATTTACACTATTACTAAGAAAGTGACGTAACATCACATTATAACATGTATGGTGTAAGTTGTAACCATGAAATTAAAAAAAAAGGATGGAGATGAAAAAGAAAAAAAAGGACGATCCGTAAAAACGGCCGTCAACGGAAACAGACTCAGGGCCTACCGTCTAGATCTAAGAAAATAGGACACGTGTATGGATCACAGGAAATAGTGGGGACCATAAATTCGAACGGCGTATAGTTATCGAAAGCTATATACACCTTCAATGGATGGTGGGACCAAATTACACGTGGAGCCATCACGTGCTGTCAGTTCGAGTTTCCCGAAGGGTACGAATATTATCTTTAATAAATTCTATTTTTATAAACATCTGATACAGAAGGAAGCCGTTAATGACGGCGTTAAGTAATGGACGGGGAATCTCTTTTTTACTTTCCTCATGAATGATTTGACATTGACGGACCGCAGCCGTTATGCTTAAAAACGGGATTTGTTGTCGCACGATGGTTCCAAAACTCCATTAAATCTTGTTAATTGTTCGAGATACTAACTTTCAATTAATGTTTGCGATAATTTAGTTTAGATACCGAAGCTGATAATACTTGCAAAACGTGTGATTGTAAAGCACAGTAGAAGATTATTACACAAAGTTAAATGAAAATGGGTGACATTGTGTGATGTGAATCAGGTTTGTGGGGTTACATGTGAATCTGTATTTACATGCAATATCATAGTCTGAAGCTATTTATCATATTAAATAGTTGCAGTCTTACGTTAATGTTAATTTTAAGGGCTCCCTACTAATATAAGGTTTGCATTGCATGTTTAATTTATACAATTGAAACTTTAATACGAACAATGTCACCTGAAATACTTTTATATGTATTTAATTGTTACATTATTAGGTGTAGTCTTCGTAAGTAAAAAAAAATGCTAGTTATATTATACTTTGACTTTGACAGTAATCGTAGATTAGCATGTTCACTAATTAAAGATTGGCCTAATTTTTGTTTTCAATTAGAAAAAGATCGAAGATACAAACCGATGATTTAAATTAATTGTGCGCCTTTTGGTAACTAGAGGAAAACTATGGGCATTGTTCAACTCGCAAATCGAAATGCATTTGATTTCCTAAACCCCAATTACAGAATCTTTCTTCTTCTTTTTTCGACTACATAATCTTTCTTTTATAAATATAAATTCCTGTATATAAACTGAGTACAGAATATGTATAACAACGTAATTACTGTAATTTACTATTGTTATTAAAAAAATTACTATTGTTCTTTCTGATCGTACACATTTTAAGACTGATGTTTTCGCTGGGTGAGGGTTAAAACGAAAAAGGCAATTCAGTCAAATTGCTGGAAAAGTAACACAACAATCTGTTAAACTCATTTCATACGGAGTTCAAATCAATTTTTTAAATAATAAAAAATCTGCCACTGTGATTTTATTTTTCATTATTTTTTGAACACCGGGACATGGTTGGTTGAATTATTATTACCATTGAACCTGGGAACTAAAACAGTATCATGAACTGAGTTCAGCTTTTGTATGAATTAAATTATTCACTGGAAAAGCATCTTCAGTTCTCCATCCCTCAAAAGAATCAACTAAAAAGCCCTAAATCTGTATTTTAAAGATTTGACAAAAGGTTAATGATTCTCAGTCTTGTTGATTCTTTTGCTCAACATTTAAAAAATTAATTTAAATGACCGTTTAAATACAACAATTTAGTAGATCCACAAAAATTTCACTAATCAATCAGGTCCTGTGATTTATTAAACCTGAAATCAGCCAAACTGAAAAAGTAAAAATCTCTTTTCAAACTGCAGAAAGTGAAGTAATTTTTGTTTTGTTTTTTACACCGGTTTAAAGTTTTTATTTACCTTAAATATGCTACAGTTATCGTACTACCAAAAATTATATAATATTTGTATATTCTCAGCCTTATCGCTTTCGAGGTGTAGATTTTAGCCCTCATGATTCATTGGTCGTCGAGCCCATCACCACCATTATTTTTTTTTATAATTTCTAAAAAAACATTTTTCAATTATCTGATATTTATTTTTAGTAGTATTATTAGTGGTTTTGTATGATCATTGAAGTGGTAGTAGCAGTGAAAAACAAAGCAATCCCCACCCAATGGTCGATTGCTTAAGATTCTTCACCTAGTCACATGTTCCTCTTCTCTTCTTCACCCTCAAAAGAACTCACAAAAAGCAAACCCTAGATCCGAGATCGGAGACAAAATCAGACCCAATCAGAGAAGAAATGAAGAGAGATCTTCATCAATATCAAGGTCGTAATACTCGATTGTCCAGCCACGGGACTGCAATCGCCGGTTCTTCTTCTTCCTCCTCGTCTTTGCCGGCGGCGGCTTGTGCTAATAAAGACAAGATGATGATGGTAAAGGAAGAAGAAGACGGTGGAAACATGGATGAGCTTCTCGCTGTTCTAGGTTACAAAGTCAGGTCATCGGAGATGGCGGAGGTTGCTTTGAAACTCGAGCAGTTGGAGACGATGATGGGTAATGTTCAGGAAGATGGTTTGTCTCATCTCGCGACGGATACTGTTCACTACAATCCATCGGAGCTTTACTCGTGGCTCGATAATATGCTCTCGGAGCTTAATCCATCGGCGGTTCCGGCGTCTGGCTCTAATGGTTTGAATCCGATTCTGCCTTCGCCGGAGATTGATAACTCGTTTTTCACCGGAGCTGGAGATTCTTCGGCCATTGGTGGTTTCTCGGCTTCCGATTATGACTTGAAAGCCATTCCTGGAAACGCGATTTACCGGAGATCTAATCAATTCGCGATCGATTCTTCGTCTTCCTCGAATAATAATCAGAACAACAAGCGGTTGAAATCATGCTCGAGCCCCGATTCGATGGTTACGTCTACATCAACGGCGGCGCAGATTGGTGGAGTTATCGGAACGACGGCGACGACAACCACCACATCGACGGCGACTGAGTCAACTCGGGCGGTAATCCTGGTCGACTCGCAAGAAAACGGTGTTCGTCTAGTCCACGCGCTTATGGCCTGTGCAGAAGCCATCCAGAGCAACAATTTGACTTTAGCGGAAGCTCTCGTGAAGCAAATCGGGCTCTTGGCTGTGTCTCAAGCAGGAGCCATGAGAAAAGTGGCTACTTATTTCGCCGAAGCTCTCGCACGGCGAATCTACCGTCTCTCTCCGCCGCAGAATCAAATTGACCACTCTCTCTCCGATACTCTCCAGATGCACTTTTACGAGACTTGCCCTTACCTCAAATTCGCTCATTTCACGGCCAATCAAGCCATCCTCGAAGCTTTCGAAGGCAAGAAGAGAGTCCACGTCATCGATTTCTCGATGAACCAAGGTCTTCAGTGGCCGGCGCTTATGCAAGCCCTTGCCCTCCGTGAAGGAGGTCCTCCGGTGTTCCGGTTAACTGGAATTGGTCCTCCGGCGGCAGATAACTCCGATCATCTCCACGAAGTTGGTTGTAAATTAGCTCAGCTTGCGGAAGCGATTCACGTCGAATTTGAATACCGTGGCTTCGTCGCCAACAGCTTGGCCGATCTCGACGCTTCGATGCTCGAGCTCAGACCTAGCGAAATCGAATCCGTGGCGGTTAACTCCGTTTTCGAGCTCCACAAGCTTCTAGGCCGTCCCGGCGGGATCGAAAAAGTCCTCGGCGTTGTGAAACAGATTAAACCGGTGATTTTCACGGTGGTCGAGCAAGAATCGAACCATAACGGACCGGTTTTCGTAGACCGGTTTACTGAATCGCTACATTACTATTCGACTCTGTTTGATTCCCTAGAAGGAGTTCCGAGTAGCCAAGACAAAGTCATGTCGGAAGTTTACTTGGGGAAACAAATTTGCAATCTCGTGGCTTGCGAAGGTCCAGACCGAGTCGAGCGACACGAAATGCTGAGTCAATGGGCAAACCGGTTCGGTTCGTCCGGTTTTGCGCCGGCGCATCTCGGGTCTAACGCGTTTAAGCAAGCGAGTATGCTTTTGGCTCTGTTTAACGGCGGAGAAGGTTATCGTGTGGAGGAGAATAATGGATGTTTGATGTTGGGTTGGCACACTCGGCCGCTCATAACTACCTCCGCTTGGAAGCTCTCGACGGCGCACTGAGTTGACTAATGTCTCGAAGCCGACGGTGATGGTATGGTGAATTTGACTCGGTTATTTGAGTTTGAATCAGTGGACCGGTGATGACATATGTTCGGACCAGACCAAAACCGAACTGAATCGAACCGCTTTGCCTTTTATTTGTTTATTTTCACCTGTTTAAAATTCTTATATCGTTTTTTTTTTGTTTAGGTCATTTTTAATTTATGCTTTTTTTTTGGGATGAATCAGATAGGCAGAGTATATGTATTTACTAAATATTTATATATTTTAGAATAATTCATTCTCGCTTTCATAGCATAAAACAACATATTCTCTTCTCTTTTTTTTTTGTTCTCGTGGCTACAAAAAAGTTATCTTAATAGTAAGTTAATAACTAGTGATACAAGATATTTTAAACTTTTAATGAATTTTTAAAGTAACATTGAGAAGGGTTGAAAGCGAGAGATGTTTGATTATTAGCAACAGTTCTAACTACTTAGGGATATATACTTTTTTTATTATAAGGTTGGGAAACCTTTTTAATAACGTGGAGTTTGATATAACAATTTTTGCTTTTTTATTTTATTTCAATTTTCTTATTGGCTGGTATCGCAATATCACATGATGGATATTGGGTAGGAATCTACTCAGTGCCGTTAGAGTGTTAGGGATCTAAAACAAATGACAAAAAAAGAATTTTCATTTTGCTATAATCATTTCTAAAAAAATATAAGTTGTAAATCAGATTTAAATATTATTTTATAAGATATTAGAGATTACTAATGTTTTTTCTTAATTTATAATAAATTTTCAATCACAAAAAATACATATTGACTAATATACTAAATAAAAATACAAAAAATTGAAAACCTTAAAACTTGTTTAATATTAAGGGAGCTTAAGGCAAATGCCTTATTTTTTCTTCATTAAGCACGGTTCTGGATTTTCCTCATCGGTGTATAGAAAAACAAAGAAATTATATGAGTTATGGTGAAGATATTCTTTAGAGTTTAGACCTATAGACTTCACACTGTGAATTTGTGATACATGTTAAAAAGATTTTATTTGCCGACCTCTGTAACTTACCAACGTTGTTTGGTTAAGTATGAATAAACAAACTCTGGTACAGTCATAGACTTATACATATTTTTTATTTTTTTGGGTGTACACGTATTAAGTGTATTACTATCTTTTTAAATCCAAAATCTGGTAGATGCATATCTGTAAAGTGCTTAATAGTATTTTAAACCGCCGTGTTAGTTATCTCAAATGTAACCCACACATTATAGCTCCATAATCTAAAAAAAAAATACTCAAAATGTTACGAATTTTTTTATAAACAAATGCCCTCAGCCACAGGCCAGCTCAGTTGATCAGAAGGATCGAACGGACCCATATCATTATTTGAATATAGAGAGTTACTAATCTAATCTTATCTCAAAAAAATGCAAGACATTTATTTTAATTAGATACAAAGGAAGGTCCCACAGCATGAAATGCTTTTTGACCACCAAGTTGCCAACTTGCATGTGTGCAAATTCTCCTTTGACCCCACGCTTGATTTTTTTTTTCCTTTCCTCTATCACATCGAGTTTCAATTTTATATTGCAGGTTGCATATATTAATCTATCATTGTCCTTCCAAATATTTCATCACAGTATTTTATCATTAATATTATGCAGAAACATTGAATATCGGCAATTATTTGTCTGCAAGATTCGATATTTCTACAACTTTTTATAATAGTGTGATTGTGTGAATCGAATTTCCATTTTCCTTCCTCGTAAATGTTATTTTTGTATAATAATATTGGTAGCTAACATTTCAATATTTCTATGAATTTTTTTCTTCCAAAGCTATTAAAATCTATAAGTAACACTTTTTGATAAATTGATAGGATAGTTATATGAAACAAGTGTACCAGATTTTGTTAAACTCGTATCAAAGTAGGTTAGAGTTAATGTAATTTACACCAAAGTAGTCAAAGCCGATTAACATAAATAATTTACACCAAAGGATCGACATTCCATATGTATAGTTTTCCGAAACAAGGTTCGTGTAGTCGGTCCATTGATCTGTATAACGTCAGAAATTTATTTGGGACAGTAGGCGGACCAGATTGAATAATGCTACATCGTTTTCAATATTATCAAAAGACAAAGGAGGCACCGAAAAGCAAACCGAAAATATATTACTCACCTTTCTATTTATAACCTTTTTTGTCAACTTTTATTTCTAACTTTATAAGACCACTATATTATACGGGTTACATTTATAGACAACTTAAGAACACGGTGAAAGTGGTTAATTACATGCAGATAAATTCCAGGAACATTTTATCAAACACAAACAAAATACAGTGAATAGCTTTAAAAATGTGTTTCTTTCTTAAAAAAAAAATATAAATTTCTAGGGGTGTTCTAAAAAAAAGCAAGGAAAATATATATATTCGTGAACATGGGAATAGATCGGTGCATGTCAAGGACCAGTTAGATGAATGTGACATTTGATTTTTTATTGACCTAATTCCGAGTTAACCACATTCGTACAGTTCATTATAAATTATTTTTACGTTCGGACGAACAGTTCCATTTAATAATATTACCTTTGACTAATATATGTTATTTTTTTCAACAAAAAAATAACAACTATATATACATATTATCATATGTTTTTGGGACCAAATTTAATGAGTAATTAATACGGTTGACATCCCAATCCGCCCTCCCTTGGGAATCAGACGTAAACCGACGATATCAATCCTAACTCCCCCAACCGCCCCTCTCAGTGAGCCCAACACCCTCTCTAGACCCGTGGGCCCAACGTCCTCTCTATAAGCTTGGCCCAACATCCTCTCTAGGCCCGTTGGCCCACCACTGTCCGACGGTCGGGAGTCGTTAGTCTGGAAGGCTCGTAAGACTTGTCTACTGTCCCTGCAATCACCACATGATATTTCCCCGTGCTTTATCCTCACTCGCATGGTACCACAGAGAACTTCCCGGTAAGTAACCCATCCTGAGACTACTCCAGCATCAGCACGCTTAACTCTGGAGTTTTCTCAGCACACTTGACCGGAAAAGATAAGTGCACTTTGTTAACATAGGCAGCCAAATCAATTCTTATAAGCCTTTCCGACTACCCAGAAATCGGGGTGTTACAATTCTCCCCGACTTCCAAGGAATTCGTCCCCGAATTTTCCCTTTACCCCTACAGTGCTTGTACCAGGATCGTTCACCCTGGTACGGTGTGAGGCCACATGACGACTCCACACACGAGGTTGGGTGTCGGCTCTAATACCACTTGTGACATCCCAACCCGCCCTCCCTTTGGGAACCAGGCGCGGACCAGCGATATCAATCCTAACTCCCCCCAACCGCCCATCCCAGTGAGCCCAACGCCCTCTCTAGGCCCGTGAGCCAAACATCCTCTCTATAGGCCCGTTGGCCCAACGTCCTCTCTAGGCCCGTTGGCCCACCATTGTCCGACGGTCGGGAGTCGTTAGTCTGGAAGGCTCGTAAGATTTGTTTACTGTCCCTGCAATCACCACATGATCTTTTCCGTGCTTTGTCCTCACTCGTACGGTACCACCAAGAACTTCCCGGTAGATCACCCATCCTGAGACTACTCCAGCATCAGCACGCTTAACTCTGGAGTTTTCTCAGCACACTTGAACGGAAAAGATAAGTGCACTTTGTTGACATAGGTAGCCAAATCAATTCTTATAAGCCTTTCCGACTACCCAGAAATCAGAATGTTATAGTTACACAGTATTATGAGTCATCAATCAGTGGAAACTGAAAATAGCATTTCAACTCACTAAATCAGGATAAGTATTAATGCCTCTCTCATTTTATAGATACACAGAGAACTTTCATTCGGAGTTACTTGTACCATCAACATTATCATCTATATATGTATTTAATTTACCAATTATTAATTTCGAATGCAAAAGAACTGCATTCATTCATTAACTGAAATATAAAAATATGAGCAAAAATGCCATAGCAAGAGGATTATCAATTGCTTGCCAATTGCCATACTAAGGGCAACCTCAATGGGAGAGACCCATCAGAGTCTCTAGACCTATATTATAATTGTTTTTAAGCTAAAAGTGAGATTAGAAACTGGTTTTAGAAACCTTTTGTTTTGGACTATGCAATGGGAGAGACCAAAAAGTAATAGAAACCTAAACATCAACAATCTGTTGTTTGATTTTATCACTTTTCAATAATCAAGTTAGAAATGGAGGTGTTTTGTGGTCGGAGAAGTGGAGTTGTTAAAAAATTGAATCATCAATTTTCGTTTATGAGATTTTATAAACTCTCCTATACTTTATTTTAATGAAACTACAACTTACGAGTAACAGAGTAAACCTTTTCAAATCTATAAAAAAAGAGGCAAAAGAATGAGTTTCTGGCGAAAAACAGATCACTTGATCTTCTTCTTCGACCTCAACTGCAAAAGAATCAGGAACCAGAAGTTAGTAATTCATCACGCAAACGCAGTAAAGCAAACGAATCCAAGGGAACTGAAACTAAACCTGGTTGCTGTGGCCACACTTCTTCTTCCTGCAGTTCACAGCCCTTGGGTGCAGACGAGTGTAACACCTAAATCGAAACGTTACTCAACAATGAGAAACAACTTCACACAAGACTTGGATCATTTACATCAAAGAAGGCTCAATGATACCTCCCCTTAGCCTCGGAACAAGATGAATAGTGGATTCCGTTTACATCCAAAATGTGAATTGAATCAACAAAGAAAGAACCATAGCTTTAAGGAGGAAACCCATTTGACTAAATTTCATTCTTCCAGAGATTCCAACAGAATTGATAAGAGATCACAATAACATTTCAGAAAGCTAAAAGCCAGGGTCACTCAAGTGGATGGATACCTTCTATATCCTAGATCTTGGCCTTGACATTGTCGATCGTGTGGGAGGACTCTACCTCGAAGGTTATGGTCTTTCCAGTGAGTGTTTTTACAAAAATCTGCATCTTTGCCTTCGTCTTCTTCGCCGCAAGACTCAAAAATGCGAAGGTGATAAAATAATTTTTTTTGGTTCGCCTTCCCTTTCGCAGTCACGTTTCGAACCAATGAGCCCCTGTCTGAGAACCGCCGACAATCGGAGAAGCTGCCGAAGACAGATTGTGTTCTCCTCGATTTCGTCGAAGAAGAGAACAAATGGAAGAAATGAAAACTATCGTGAAATCGGGAAAATGAAATGACAGAGAAAAAAAAAATAATTTTTTCTCCCAAATTATTTAACAATAATATCTCGCCACGTGTGGGAAAAAACGTCTTCAAAAATCTTCTAAAGTCCCCTAATAGAAGACGTTTCTGCGAAATAAGAAACACACCCTCAATTGTTTATTATTAAGTTTTTGTTAAATACCCACTAAAAACTGCGTTAAAAATGCTCTAAGAACATTCTCAACGCAGTATTTAATGCGTTTCTTACAGAAACTTATTAATATAAATATTAAACTCGGTCTCTTTAGATTACAAAACGTTTCTTATTTGGGGACAATTAGAGTAAAATAAGAAACATTTTTACCTCCACGTGTCTACGGAATATTGGTTACAAAAGTAAATAACAAAAAAAATTTTGGGATCTTTTTTCTCCCCTCGAATATTTTTTTTTTCGATTCGTTCTTGTCTTCTCCGTTGAAGGCCACGAGTATTTGATTCTTCTCCGACGGTTTCTCCGACAGTGCGCGGTTCTCCGGTGGCTCTTGGCTTCCAAACCGCAATCCCTCTGTGACGGCGCTCCAGGTAAGTGTTCCAAACCCTAATCCCCTCTCTCTTATGTGGTTTACTCGGTTCAATACTGTCTTTACACGGAGAAACGAGTGAATGTGTAGGAACAAATTAATGTTTTGACTCGCTATTGATCTTTGGGTTAGGTGGTTGTCCACTTATGGTTTAATTGAAATCTACTAAGCGATTAGAGCCCGTTTCGTGCAGATATGTGCAATCTCCAATTCCTGGGAGTGGTGGCACCGGAGGAGAGAGCATTGGTGACAGGGGGATAAACTCTCAGAAATTGACTACTGATGATGCTTTGACGTACTTGAAGGAGGTCAAAGAGAGGTTTCAAGATCAAAGGGACAAATATGATATGTTCCTTGAGGTTATGAAATATTTTAAGGCACAAAGGTAATATCTTTCTAACTTGTCAAACTGATTTTTTCTAGCTGGAAGGCATCTAAAGACGTTCTTCATCTTGCATTTACAGGACCGAAACATCTGGTGTGATTGCACGGGTGAAGGAGTTGTTCAAGGGGCATATCAATTTGATTTTCGGGTTTAACACCTTTTTGACTAAGGGATTTGAAATAACACTCGATGAAGAAGAAGCTCCACCAAAGAAAACTGTTGAATTTGAAGAAGCCATACATTTTGTAAATAAGATTAAGGTGGGGAAAGTTTCTCATATATTGTTTTCTTTTGAACTGACCTTACACCTTGTAGATCATTGTACCAGTCTCCTTTTTGCTACTGCAGAAACGGTTCCAGCACGATGAAGATGTCACACTGAAATTTCTCAAATTTTTATAGCTCTGATATCTGTTTGTTAGGTATCGACTCTTTTTGAGGACCACCTGGATTTGCTTGAAGAGTTTACTAGGTTTTTGCCTGAGTCTTTGGCTTCTCATTCAGCAGCCCAGTCGAATGTTAATAGAGAAGGTATGTTATTGTTGTCAGGTCCCTCATTTCTGTGCTGATACGTTTTCATCATCAGGATCACCGACGACGAGAAAGAGCTGTGGCTTCTCGGGGTGACCGTGATCATAGTGTTGACCGATCCAACCATAATGATGATAAAGCAATGGTTAAGATGCACTGAGAGCAGAGGAAACACGTTGATAAGGAGGATAGAGAAAGGAGATGCACCGAGAGCAGAGAAAACACGTTGATAAGGAGAATAGAGAAAAGACGATGCACCATGTTTTTTTTTAAATCTCTTAAGAGTTTCTATCGTTGTACGGACTAAAACTAAAGGTTTCTAATCCAAGTGTTTTAATCAACTTTATGATGAGATAATAATAAAATATTGACTAAGAGATCCATATGGGGTTTTGCGTTAATGATGCTCTAAGATACCACAAGATGTGCGACATGAGGCGATGATGGTAAATAGAGTTTTGGATTGAGGGAGCAATATGATTAGTCAAGACATGTCGAAGTTTAGAAGTAGTTCTGTAAAATAGTGTAGTTTAAAAACAAAAGTTTCTTCTTTTTAGATGTTTTTTTTTGGGGAAGTTGAAATGTGATTGTAGTCATGGACTCATAATAGTTATTAGTCAACTTCTCCTTTCACCATTGACCGAAAATAAACGTCATTTCTTAACTATAGAGTTTTATGTTTTAACTAATATGTCAGCCCAAATAAAAACAAATGGGCCGAGAAAAGCCCACAAAATAACGGTCAATTAAAAAGGGGGTCGATAGAATAATCAATTAAAACGAATAAACAAGTTTCGCGCGTGTTCTCGTTTCACTTCTTTGGATCTCTCTTTCTTCTCCAAGAATCGACCAAGAATCGAATTTCAGAAAATGGCAGGTCTTCCTGGCGGTTTTAATAAAAACGATGCTGCCTATCAACTCGTAAGACTCTATCAATTCGTAAGATTTCATCAATCATGCATCGTTTTCCGATGATTTTTGATTATAATCTCTCTCCCTTTGTTTCTTCTTTCTCTGTTCTGTTTTAGATTGATACGAAAATCGCAGAATGCATGTCAACGTACATGACAAAGGAAGAGATTGTGAAACATTTACGGGATCAACATAGAGTCCCACCTGTATCAACCCAAAAGGGTAAGTTCCTTTTTCACCGAATCAATTAATGGGGCTTGAAGATGAAATCTTCGATAATTCGACTCTTTATTTTGTAGTTTTGTATGATCTTGAACAAGCGAATCCACTTCAATTCGAATCCTACTATGAAGCTTGCAACGAACATCGGATACGTCAGATGATTGATCTCCTTCCAGGAAGTAAGCAAATAGAACCCAGAAACTGGTTTTCATAAAGAACATACTTTTTTGGGGGTTTGGTGAAGAAGTGATGGTTTTAAGTTTTTGTTTGTTTGAATCTCTTGTGATTGTTGTGTGGACGTAATTCACCTTTTGAAGGGATCCTTGTCTCTAATAGAGAGTATCTCGGGATATACATAAGAATATCTGGAATAAGTAAAGTAAAGGAATAACATATAGAAGAGAAGGAATATAGAAGTAAAATAAAGGAATAACATATAAGAGAGAATCTATCTTTAGACAATAACAAATCTTAGATTATCACAAATCTACTAATATAACAACGGAATATGTCAACAGCTCCTTGGTCACCAAGAAAGGGCACTACAAGACCTACAATACATCATCAGTTTCCTTCTACTGCTTCTCGCTGTAAATAAACTTGTACTTATTCCTTGAGTTTATCAGTATCACTGTGTTGACCTAATACAACTTGAAGAATTTGTTTGTTGACATTGTTTTTTGCTTCTGTTAGCAATGGGGACTCCTGCAAATATCCAGAGAGATGCTGATGCTCATGCTGCTCCATCATCATCATCACAATTCTCTGCTACTTCTGATTCTGGTGTTGCCCCACGGCCAATTTCTCCCAGTAATAAATCAACTCACTTTTCCCTCTGTTTCTTAGATTATCACAAATCTTTACTAATATAACAAAGGAATATGCTAACAGCTTCGACGCCAGGAATGGACACTACAAAACCTTCACTTTGGTGGAGGAGACAGCAACAGCAACGGCAACAGCAACAGCAACAGCAACAGCTTCTTTCTACTGCTTCTCGCTGTAAATAAACTTCTACTTGTTCCTTGAGTTTATCACTGTGTGTACCTAATACAACTTGAAGAATCTGTTTGTTGACATTGTCTTTGCTTCTGTTAGTTATGGGGACTACTCCACGTGCCCAGAGAGATGCATCATCATCACGAGTGCCTCCTAATGCTGGTCATGCCCTAATCCCTTATCAGCAGATTCCAAGTCAAACCGGACAGCCACTTTATCCCAGTAATTAGTCTACTCTCTTGTCCCTCTGTTTCTCTCTTTTTGCCTTCCTGAATCTCAAACCTTGTCCTCTTTCTTTTTTTTTTTTTTGTTTGTCTTTGACTTCTTTTAGCAGCTGATATTTGGAGGGAGCTTTTGACTATTATGGCTCAGATTAAGAGTAATACAGACCAGATGCTCGCACTCATGACTGCTGGACATGGATTTGGACCACCACCACTCATGAGACAGCGAGTTGGGAATGACCAAATGATGCGGGATCAGAAGGTGGACCAACCATCACCCCCTAAGAGACGGCGAGTTAGGAACGCGCAAATGATAGTTGTCAATGAACGAGAAGCAGCGGACCTACAGAACCAGGACGTGGACCAACCACCACCCCTTGTCAATCAACCAGTAGCAGTGGGCCTGCAGCATCAGGAGCAAGTGAGAGAGCAATGAATCAGCAGCGAATTAGGAGAAACAACCACCACAATAAACGCATGGACATACCCGGAGTCAAGGCATTGAAGATACATTGACAGAGAGATCAGATACTCACATACTCACATTAGCATAGTTTTTGATTACCAGAAATCATTGAAGAGACATACAGTATGTCGCTATGATGCTTCGTTGCTTACTTTCTCTATCTCATCGTATTCACTACAAGTAGCAGTTTAAAAAACTTTGTATATTAGTTTTTCCTGTTTTGTTGCTCGGCTTCTCCAGGCTTTGTATTGTTGGTCCCAAACCTGAAACTGTGGGCATAAACATGTTAAGAACATTTATTCTATCAAATCTCATTTCATTTATTTTGTGGCAAGATACAACAACATAAAGAAACCGAAACACAAGTCTTGTGATGCCTAATCCTCTGATAAACGACTAACGAAATACGATTTACAGTGGAGGAAAAGGGCAAATGGTCGAAGCTATTAAGAGACTCACACCCTTTGAAATGGTGGCAACCGGTGCTTGGCTTGAGACAAGTAGTGTTGAATTGTTTTGTTTCATATGGTGCAGCTTTCTTTTGTGTTTCATTCTGCAAATAAGACAGGGGCTATTAGTGTGACTAATATAGACAAAACATGAGTTCTTTGATGGAAATATCAAAACCAAGCTACTACTTAAAGGAAGAAGCTTCATCACCTTCTCGCTTAATTTAAACAACGGACAACAAACGACAGATTTAAATATAGACAAGGGGATTAAAAACTTTATCACGTTAATAGCTTCCTAAGAGTTTTGCACTGGGACCAAGTAAAATCCATTAATACTACAAACTTAAGAACATTTCCCTGCCAGTTTACCCTAACTTTTTCACAGGAGTCCCTGTAAGTAATCCTCGTCTCCAAAGTTTACGGCTACTTCCAGATTCCAAAATCATTGTGTTGGTCTTACATTATCATACAACAATCGATGAGATTAAGAGAGTCTATGCTCACCATGGTTAAATCCAGTTAATGCACTTGCAATACCACAGTACACCTGTTCCAATATGTTAAAAAAGATGCTTATAAACATAAATGACCCTCGCTTGATCTGATATGAAGCAGAACACATGAACAAATAGAAACTTCGAACTGGCACTTACCAAGTCGAATATTTTTTTTTTTGTTTCGAAAATAATTTTGCACCTTTTAAAATCTCCAAATCACCATCAACACTTGCCGCGTTTTTGGTATCAGTTTGTTCATAATTGTTTTCTTTATCTCCGTTTCATACAAGGTTTGAACTCAATTCATATATCGATCAATTGTGGCGCTGCTAGTATTGGTATGACTAAAAGAGTCCTAAAAGGACCAAACAATCTTAAATACACACAGGAAATGAATCTTACACTACAAATCAACAAAAACAAGTTTTGGTTCAGAAGAATGAATTCGTGGTTAGAAAACAAATTGCTGGAGATGAGAGAAACAGGTTACAACTGGGTCAAACTAAAAGTGGGAAATGGACAAAACTAGTCGATCATTGGTCGGAAATCGGTCGCCATTTGGGAATCTGATTGAATTCTTAAAGCCAAAATGGGTGTCTCTATGAACTCTTTCTATGATCAGAGAAACCAGGTGATATTCCAATCCTCTACTCTATCATCCATTCAACTTGTAGAGGATACAAAAATGGCCAAAAATTACTACACAGTGAAGGTCTACAAATTGGTACCTTGTGGAAGAGTGTGGTTTTGGTATCCCCAAGCACAGAGTTGACTCGTCTATTCGGCTATGAACTCATCGACAGAGCTTCAGATCCGTCGCCTCAATCCTTTCCTCCATCGACACAATCACACAACCATTCGTAACTTGCGAGAATCTAACTCAATTCTTCTCAGATTTGCTGGAAATTTGCTTCGATTGGGGTTTTCTCCACTTTCTCTCCGGTTTTATGTTTCCCGGTTTGGCTTTGTTGTATGCTTTCAACAATTTCTCTTTTAATGGAGAGTAAGAGATAAATATAAAAATCTGTTTGATAAAAAAAAAGTAATTCTTGAGAAATCTTAATGTGGAAAATAATGTAGTTTGGAAAAAATATAGTTAAAAAGACACTGTTTTTTGAGATGTTTTTTTTTTTTCCGGGATGTCTATACAAAATGCAATTCTGAAAATGACTTTCATCAAATTATTTTATTGTTGATATCATTTATATTTATTAAAAAATCAAGAAAAAGTTCAGATATGTTTGATATGCTCTCGGAAAACTTGGGACGGGTCTTGATTTATACCGACAATCGCATTGATTATAACGAAGAAATAGGTTATCTCTTATTGATGAAGATGTTTAGATAATTTGCGATGCATGGAATCAATGGACTATGTTACCAAAAAAAAAAAAGGATTGCAACTAATAATTTTCTTATAATCACAGGGAAGATGGTAATGTGAGATAGAGGATGATCGATGAAGGACAAAGAAAATAACAGAGTTGATGCAATGATGTAGAGTGCACACGCCTTATATGCAAAAGGAAACAAGGTGTAAAAAATGCATGCCACATACGGTAAATTAATTAGGAGGATTTTTTTTATAAAAATCGAGACTTCCATCTGTTGTTGATTACCTGATTACTAAATTGATTAAAGAAAAGATTTCTTTCAAAATAATTGTGTCAAATTTGAGTTCTGATATAGGATAATGACTAATTAAACATGATTTGAGTTTGATTATATTTAAACTCAAATCATGTAACTAACCGATCTGAGTTCTTATATGTACAAAAATTATGAACTGTTGTGTATCTAAAATGGAATCACAGTAAGATCAATTAACATATGACCTATCCAGTGTAGGTAAACGTGTATAATACCACGTCTAGTCGCGGCATAAATGTATTACTATATAATACTTTCTTTCATTATAGTTGATTTTTTAGGTTTTTTTTTTGTTTCATAATATTTGATTTCATACATCTAATTAATGCATGTTTCTTCTTTAAATTGAATGAATAATATTAATGCATGTTGCTTTACTTTATTAATGCACAGTTAAAAAAAAATAATAATAAAAATAATGAAATCAGTTGTAAAAATAATTTAATTAACAAAAATAAACAATAAATAATTGAACATTTATAGCTTTCTTAATCTGTGTGTAAATATTCAGAAAATCAACTATAATGAAACAAAGGGAGTATATAATTTTCTTTTTAATATTTACGATCCAAAAACACAAGAGAACATTTTATATAAATACAATGGTAATATTAATATCACCAATCCATCACATGAATATGTAAAAAAATCCAATGAATTTTTAATAGCTAGCTTTTGCGTTGAATTTTTAATAGTTGTTTAGATATAATGGATTACTCATAATCTCACTATAATAAAAGGGAATTGAAATGTGGTTGTCATTAGTCAACTTATAGTCATTAGTCAACATCTCCTTAATTTCACCATATAACGTCATTTCTTACTATTGACGGTAGAATTTTATGTTTAACTACGATATGTCAGCCCAAATAAAAACAAATGGGCCGAGAAAAGGCCCTAAAATAACGGTAAACGGAATTAATGAATCTATTTAAAAAGGGGAGTCGATAAAATAATCAATTAAAACGAGCAAACCAGTCTTGCGCGCGTTCCCGTTTCACTTCTTTGGCTCTCTTTTTCTTCTCCAAGAATCGAATTTCAGAAAATGGCAGGTCTTTCTGGCAGCAGTTTTAAGAAAAACGATCTTCTCTATGAACTGGTAAGACTCTATCAATTCGTAAGATTTCAACAATCATGCATCGTTTTCTGATGATTCATGATTATAATCGTTTTCCGATGATTCATGATTATAATCTCTCTCTCGCTCTCTGTTTCTTCTTTCTCTGTTCTGTTTTAGATTGATACGAAAATCGCAGAATGCATGTCAATGTACATGAGCAAGCAAGAGATTGTGAGACATCTATGGGATCATCATAAATTCGAACCTCAATTAACCGAAAAGGGTAAATTCCTTTTCACCGAATCATTAATGGCGCTTAAAGACGAAACCTTCCATAACTCGACTCTTTATTTTGTAGTTTTGTATGATCTTGAACAAGCGAATCCACTTCAGTTCGAATCCTACTATGAATCTTGCAACGAACATCAGAGGAATCGTGAGCTCCTTGCAAGTAAGTAAATAGAACCCAGAAGCTGGTTTTTATAAAGAACATGGCTTTTTGAGGGTCTTGAGGCTGGTGAAGAAGTGATGGTTTTGGGTTTTTGTTGTTTGAATATCTGGTGATTGTTGTGTGGACGTAATTCACCTTTTGAGGGGATCCTTCTCTTTATATCAATAGAATACTGTTAGAGAAGAGAAGAGAGGATCTATCTTAGATAATAACGATTCTTAGATTATCACAAATCTTTACTAATATAACAAGGGAATATGCCAACAGCTTGGAAACCAGGAATGCCCATTACAATAGTGTCGACTCCCATTGATATCAGGAGCAAGTGAGAGACGACAATGAACCAGCAATGATCCTGAAGGATCAGGAGAAACAACCACCACAATAAACGCATGGACATACCGGGGAATCAAGGCATTGAAGATACATTGACAGAGAGATCAGATACTCACATTAGCATAGTTTTTGATTACCAGGAAACATTGAAGAGACATATGTTGCTATGATGCTTCTTTGCTTACTTTCTCTATCTCATCGTATTCACTACAAGTAGCAGTTTAAAAAACTTTGTATATTAGCTTTTTCTGTTTTCTTGCTGGGCTCTCCAGGCTTTGTATTGTTTGTCCCAAACCTGAAACTGTGGGTATGAATAAGTTAGAACATATATTCTATCAAATCTCAATTTGTTTTGTGGCAAAATACAACAACAAAAAAGAAACCGAAACCCAAGTCTTGTGATGCCCAATCCTCTGATAAACGACTAACGAAATACACGATTTACAGTGGAGGAAAAGGGCAAATGGTCGACGATATTAAGAGACTCACACCCTTTGAAGTGGTGGCAACCGTTGTTGGGCTTGAGACAAGTAGTGTTGAATTGTTTTGTTTCATATGGTGCAGCTTTCTTTTGTGTTTCATTCTGCAAATAAGACAGGGGCTATACGTTACTTATTTGTGACAAATATAGACAAAGCATGAGTTCTTTGATGGAAATATCAAAACCAAGCTGCTACTTAAAGGAAGAAGCTTCATCACCTTCTCGCTTAATTCAAACAACGGAAAACAAACGACATTGTGTATATAAATTTGTCAAAAATAACCACACACAAGATTTATATATAGACAAGGGGATTAAAAACTTTATCACATTCATAGCTTCCTGAGAGTTTTGCACTTGGACCAAGAAAAATCCATCAATACTGCAAACTTAAGAACATTTCTTTACCAGTCTACCCTACCTTTTCACAGGAGTCCCTGCAAGTATCCTCGTCTCCAAAGTTTACGGCTACTTCCAGATTGCAAAATCATTGTATTCGTCTTACATTATCATACAACAATTGGTGAAATTTAGAGCATGGTTAAATTCAGTTAATGCACTTGCAATACAACAGTACACCTGTTCCAATATGTTAAAAAAGATGCTTATAAACATAAATGACCCTCGCTTGATCTGATATGAAGCAGAACACATGAACAAATAGAAACTTCGAATCGGCACTTAAAAAAGTCCAGTTTTTTTTTTTGTTTTGGAAATAATTTTGCACCTTTTAAAATATCCAAAATCACCATCAACACTTGCGGCGTTTTGGTATCAGTTTTTTCATAATTGTTTTCTTTATCTCTGTTTCATACAGGTTTGAACTCAATTCATATAACGATCAGTTGTGGCACTGCTAGTAATGGTATGACTAGAAGAGTCCTAAAAGGACCAACCTTGAATACACCCAGGAAATGAATCTTACACTAAAAATCAAAACTCGAGAGAGAAATCATCAATAGAGAGATATGTACTCAAGGTCTGCATATACATGTTTATGCCGTATGTAGAAAATATCTCGGCTATGGGTATCAGATAATATAAAGGGATATTCGTCACAAATAACACAAAAACAAGTTTTGGTAAAAGCAAACAAATTGCTGGAGATGAGAGAAATAGCTTACAATTGGGTCAAACTAAAAAGTGGGAAATAGACAAAAAAAAACTCGAATTTTGATCAGAAAATCGGTACCCATTTGGTGTCTCTATGAACTCTCTCTATGATTACCAGGTGATATTAACAATCCTATCTATCATCCATTCAACTTGATGAATCCTGGGTTGTAGAGGATACGAAATACTACAATGTGAAGGTCTACAAATTGGTACCTTGGAAGAGTTGTGGTTTGGGCTATGAACTCATCGACAGAGCTTCAGATCCGTTGGTTCAATCCTCTCCTCCATCGACACAACCATTCGTAACTCACTACAGGCTTCTTCTCAGATTGCTGGAAATTTGCTTCTCCACTGGTTAATCTCTCCAATGGTGGTGATTAGGGGTTCTCTCCACTTTCTCTCCTTTCGTCCAGTTGATTTTAAGTTTATTATGGGCTTTGACCCAATAACACTAAGGCTTTGGCTAGATTTTGCCGTTTTTTTCTTTCTCGTCTGTAATTTAAATTTTGTTCAAAAAATAGTAACTATTTTAAAATGTTAAATTACTAGGGAAATCTAAGTCCTAAAAACTAGTGTGGGCAAACCCAAATATAATGCTTTAGTTTTATTTGTAAAAAACTTAGGTGAAAAAAATTATTTTCACACAATGATATTATTATCATAAATCTTAGATAATCACAAATCTTAGATTCTAACAAATCTTAGATTCTAACAAATCTTAGATTCTCACAAATCTATATTAATATAACGAAAAATATAACAAAGGAATACGCTAACAGCTTCCGGGAAATGCGAGTACAAGACCTATATAATATAAGAGAGGTTCATTTGATAGGAGGGCGACAAAAAAGCAAGATCAACAACGTTCTCGTCGCTGTAAATAAACTTTCTCCTTGTTCCTTGAGTTTATCACTGTGTACCTAAGACAACTCTAATACAACTTGAAGAATCTGTTTGTTGACATTTTTTTTTGGCATCTGTTAGCAATGGGGACTCCTCCAAATATCCAGAGAGATGCAGATGCTGCTCCATCATCATCACAATTGCCTCAAGAACAATTCTCTGATACTCCTGATTTTGGTGATGTCCCACTGCCAAATTTTCCCCGTAATAAATCTACTCACTTTTCCCTCTGTTTCTATCTTTTTGCCTTCCTTTAATCTCAAACCTTGTGCTCTTTTGTTTTTGTCTTTGTGTTTGACTTCTTATAGCAGCCGTTTTTTGGAACGAGCTTTTGACTGCTTTGGCTGAGATTAATAGCCATTTGGTTCAGATTAATAGCAAATTGGGTCAGATTAACAGTAATGCCGATCAGATTTTTACACTACTGATTGCTGGACATGAACTTGAACCACCACCCTCCAAGAGACAGCGAGTTGAGAAGGAGCAAGTGGGAGAGGGCAATGAGCCAGCAACGAACCTGCAGGATAAGAAGCTAAAACCGCCACAATAAACGCATCTGGGAATTCTAGGCATCCAAGATACATTAGATGATTGACAGAGAGATCAGATTCTCACATTATTAGCATAGTTTTTGATTTTTAGACTGACATAGACACATATGTCGCTATGATACTTAGTTGCTTAGTCTCTTTTATCTTATCTATTCACTACAAGTACTAAGTTACTAGCTAAGCAGTTTTTGTAAACTTAGGATATAATAAGCTTTTTTTTCTGTTTTGTTGTGTGGGCAAGAACAAGTTTGAAAACATATAGACTATCAAATCTCAATCCATTTATTCTGTGGCAAAATACAACACTTGCGATGCTTATTCCTCTGACAAGAAAAAACCAAAAAAAAAACAGAAGTTCAGAAATCCAAAAAAAACTTCAATCTAATGTGAAGGAACCATAAGGCCTAGAGACTTGTTGAGCCATGCCTTCCATCTCCCAGAGATCTTCCGGATTGTTGTCGTTTCCACAGAGCTTCCATGGTTTTGAGCTTCTGACTTCTTTGACAGAACGAAGCTCCTTGATCCAGTTAAACCGATTTTCCCCCATGGATTGATTGCTGAAATGATAAAAAAGCGTACATATTTAGAATCAGAGCAAAAGAAGCAAGAAAAGCAGAGTAATAAACTGTTCTAATCTCACCTTCAGCTGCAGAGTAAGGACAGTAAAGTAGGAAAAAGCTGGAATCTGATCCGAGAAGTGGAAGCCTTCCTTCACGAGCATAGCATCTGAGAGCATAATCAATCACGTTGGCTACAGTTTCATCTTCTCTGACTACAAAGCGAATCGGCCCAGCACTTCCTAGGAAACTTATGCTAACGAGGAACCTGTTTATCTTCAATTTCTGGTTTTTCTTCTGCTTATTGATATACAGCAACATATTAACCAAAAAAACAAATCTTTAATGCAAAAAACCAAGGAATCAGATACTCTGATGTGAGTTTTTTTTTTAGTTCTTCAAGGGTCGACGCCGATGCAGCGAAAGTACCAGCCTTCCTTGCAAGAGCCAAATGTGAAAGCAGATGATGCGGCGGAGACGCGGAGGAGAAAGCTCGCCCTTGCGGTGGTGCAATGGGAGAGCATAAATTCTCTGGTAATCGGAGTTGTTTCTACCATTCAAGACGCTGCAAGAGTAAGACGAAATCTGCAGAAGAAATCTATGATTTAGAAATCGATGATTTTAGGAGGGAAAACGAAATTTGGGGGAAAACAAAAAATCAAATAGTGAAAATGGACCTGAATAAGAAAAGCCGGAGTCTTTGATCGCTTCGATTGAAGATAAGTTTCCCGATTCAAAATCCGATTGAAGAATGTTTCGGTGTCGGAAATCAAAAAATTGATGCGAAAGAGAAAGTGGATGATTAGTGAGATTGAGGAATGGGGTTAAAATGGAGAAACTAGGGTTTTGATGCAGAGAAGAGGAGATGAGAATGGTTGACCCGATTCTTCATCCGCAAGCAATGCGAACCCTTTCAAGCACCGAAACCGTCTCTCCACTCTCAGCCAATTCCGAGGATTCAAAATCACTCTAATATTGTTTTTTTATAAAGTTTTTTTTTGTTTTGGTCAAGAACTTCATTAAATTAGTTTTTTTTTATATAAATTTTAAAAATTCTTAAAAGGAAAATTGGGCCCGTTAATGATGTCGTCAAGCCCATTATTATGGTTTTGTGATATTTCATCAACATTGAAAAGTCAGCGATACATATTATTTGAAAAAAAATCAATTTTGTTTAGTCCTAATTTTATCCTAGATTAATGTGGGAAAATCAAATATTATTAGTTTTTAATTTTATCAACAAGTCAGCGAGACATTTCTTTGTATGGTTTTCCGTTAGATATAAATAAAACAAGGTTAACTTGCCAAAAGGCAAGCATTTTCTTTGTTTGTTTAGGTAAATAAGTTGTCATTAAAAGCTCCAAAAAAAAGAAAATAAATTTACTTTTAACATTTGGTATAATTTTTCGAATTCTGTATCAAGAATTCCGGTTCGAAAATGGATATCGTTGAAAAAAGGGCAAAGCTTTGAATTGGTTTTAGATTTTAAGAATTGTAAGCAAATTGGGGGAGAGAACGTGTTGAATAGTTGGGGAGGAGAATCGAAGCACCTTCTTCGTCTTCGTCGTCGTCTTCTTCTTCTTCCTCTAATCATCCCCAATTCTCTTCCTTTTTATTAATCCTTCCTCTTGTTTTCTCGCTTCATTCTTCTCCAATCCATGGATCAAAGGCCTCTCGGATTGCTAACCATTCACGTCAAAAGAGGTATTAATCTCGCGATTCGCGACGCTAGAAGCAGCGATCCTTATATTGTTATCACCGTCGCCGATCAGGTTCTTCCAATTTCCTTCCTTTGGATCTCATTTTGAAATATCGATTCATTTTGTCACAATTCTCATTTCTTTCTCCTGGAAATTTTTGAAATTTAATTTCGAAAAACATCGCCTTTAGATTCTCAGATTTCAGTCTCAGATAAAGAAATTATTATAATTATGAAATTGAAAGATATATCACTTTGGATTCTCTGTTACTGCCTTATAAACCGAAATGAATCATCTTGTAATCTGGGTTTTCTTTCAAATTCTCTGTTGTTCACCTATTTGTGGTTTTAATACACAAAGCAAAAATGAAATCTTTCAGACATTGAAGACACGTGTGGTGAAGAAAAACTGCAATCCAGTATGGAATGAAGAAATGACTGTTGCAATCAAAGATCCCAATGTCCCAATCCGCTTGGTAAATCGAAATTATTCTCTAGAGATTTTCTACATGTTGATTTCAGACAAAAGACAAAATCTTGTTCTGTTCACGAGTTGAAAAACATTTGGTGTTGTTGAATTTTGTTCAGACAGTGTTTGACTGGGACAAGTTCACTGGAGATGACAAGATGGGAGATGCAAACGTAGACATCCAACCATACTTAGAGGCTCTGAAAATGGGAATGGAGCTTTTGAGGCTTCCTAATGGATGTGCAATCAAAAGGGTTCAGCCATCGAGGCACAATTGTTTATCAGATGAGAGTAGCATTGTGTGGAACAATGGTAAGATCACACAAGACATGATTCTTAGGCTTAACAATGTCGAGTGCGGGGAGATTGAGATCATGCTTGAATGGCATGAAGGTGCTGGTTGCAGAGGTGTGACTTCCTCTTCCAAAGGAGGCTCTTCCTCTACCTAAGACATGTTCTCTCTTTTTTTTTTTTGCTTTCTTTCTATGTTGTCGATGAATGATCTGTTGTTGTTTCAATATGTATAAGTGATAAAGCATGTTTTTGTTTGATGACCATTTTCAATGATCAGGAAGAATCTTTGGAGAATTTGAGACTTTTGTATCTGTTCATTTGAATATCTTTTGGAGTGTTTCAGTTTCTGTTTTGGGATATGTTTTTTTTTTTTGGTTGCAATTTGCAATTTGCGTTCTCGTTTTTTTATGAGGCACGGATGAGAGAATTCAAATGGGCTTATTCACTTTATCACTTATATGGGCTATTATTTTATTTTCAGCCCATTCAAGAACTTCGACAGCAACTGCATAACATACATAGTCCGTATCATATTTACTGGGATTTGACGTAATTGTGAGTAGAATTATTGGCTTCATGGGGTCAGATAATTTAATTGAAAAATCAATACGATTTGGTAGTGGTTGCCTGGTCAATTATATCTGCATGGGCCATTGTAAACATTTGTATATTGATTGAATATATAAAAAACATTATATGTAACACAATAATTTAAACATACATTAAAAACAAGTGTCCATTCTTTGTCCCCTCCCTCTCTGAATATATGACGACTACGGATTCTTATATTAATTTACCACTAAAATAGTAAAATGAACAACACGAGATTATATTAAACATAACGAATATATTCATTCGTCGTCTATAAATATATGTATACATAGTCATCATAATTCTGATTCATAGATTTATATTGGTTCAAACATTAGACGTTGATGCTTTATTTGCCTTTATTCGTATATCTGAATCCATATCTGTACAAAATCATTTCGGGAAGAGTAGTCCACATGTTTACTCTCAGATAAAATCATGTTTTTTTCAACCTCACATATGTCATTTTGGCCAAAAAGAATTGAACTTTCAGAACAGAACCTGTACTATACGTGTTTTTTCTCCATCCAGATTGGCTCCACACCGTATACAGTATACTGTACTCCGTTTCTTTTTAAAGTTTTGGTTAAAAGCACAAAAGTCAAAGATCTTATTCTTACACGAATTATATATTTGTTTGCTTTTTACATTAAGACCGCATTATTACTCTTTAAATTTTAAAAAACCATTAGTAACATAACATACATATGAAACCTTGCAATTAATTACCATAAAACATCAAAGCATATTACAAAACGTCAAAACCCAAACGTAGAGGTAGAGTTATAGAAATTAATGTAACCATATACAAGAGCCCCCATGCTTTATTAGATTGAGAACGTCATAAAAAGAAACACACATACACATATATGACGGTGATGATGATAGTTCAACTTAAAGATAGATAGATAGGATCGAGGAGGGGATTTTAAGCTTTGAGGACATGGTTGTCCATGTCAGCAGCCATGCTCTTGACGAACTTCATGTAGTTGATGGGCTCAGGCGAGTCATCGGTTCGCTTCTCCCAGATCATAGTAATCTTGCAGACGATATCTTCAGGGGACTTTTGAATGAACTGAAATATGACGTCATACACCTTAAGAGTCTCCATAACGTGACCTTCGAGACCTCTGAACGTGACCGCCATATTCTCATCGTCTATCTCTCTCCTCTCCTTGAACACCTCCGGTTTCCCATCTTCATACACAAATTTATTTACAAGTGTTTGAGTGTTTCATTCATATACACTATATATAACATGGCAATCTCATTACTAGAACCCTAGTTTTAAGACGTAATTAATGTGAGTGTGTTGTTACCGCATGTATAGTTCCAAATCTTGATGGCTCCATGAGAGTCCCATTCGCCGTCGTGGACGGTGACACCTTGGATGTGGTGGCCGATGGCGTCGGGGAAGAGGTGGTTCTCATTTCTCCACCGCTTGTAGTGTTTCTCCGCCGATCCTTTCAACGGAACCTCCGTCACATATGTTCCCGACGTCGCCATCTCTGATCTCTCTCTCTCTCTCTCTCTTCTTTGTGTTGTGAGTAAAGTTTTTTTTTTTTTTTTCTGTTTCTTTGGTTGATGAGATATTCACTTGTGGTCTCCTTCGTTTATATAGAGAGTGTACCGGGTAAAACGAAAAAGTTTTTTACTAAGATCTCTCATCTTTTACTATCGCAATAACGAGTAAACGAGAAAGCTATGGCCAATCATCTAGTTTTTTACAGTGTGTAAACAAGTAAAAGTTTGCTTTAGTTTAGTAAATGTGTCGTGATTCACGTGTACCAAGTTCTTATCATATGATGATTCGCATTGTCATTACGTTTGGCAACATGCATTTGGAAACCAAAAAAACAAATTAAATGCATGTATTATCGTCATCCATCAATATTTTTTTAAAAATATTTCATCTTAAATAAATTATAATATTATTGATCTGATTTGTTTTCGGAAGTCCGAATGTACACTACCAAATATAGAAGTATGCATACTAGTTTTTAGTGTATTTGGCTTTCATTACATGTCCATTATCTTGGACCGTCCCCGAAACATATCTTACATTGCCTAGAAGATTTTTTTTAAAAGAAGAAAAATCCATATTTCAGTGAAGCAGGGAAACAATCACTTTCGACTTTTCTATAAAAAACATATAAAATATGTAAATCGGATAAGAAACCTGATTGAAAATGACCGTTTAATGTTATCTTATAAAAAGTTGTTTGAATACCGAAAACAATGGACGAATGAGTTGCAGTAAAAAAAGTATTTTTTAAGACTAATCAATGCATGCATAAGTGGCGGAGCTAGAAAAAAAATCCAGTGGAGGCATTATAAATTATTAATATATCAATATTTAATATTTAATATAAAAATTTAAATACATATGAGAAAAATTTTAGTAAATAAAATTGATATGTACCGTCAAATAATTTTTTATTTTATAAAATACTAAAAAGAATTTTGAGTAATAATTCTAAAATCTACATCAGTTTTATTTTCCAACCACCTAAATCCAAATAATACACTTAGCATATAATTTGAAGTTTCCTAAAAGTTTAGAAAAGTGATAAATGATTTAGTTGTGCACAATTTTATGTGAGAAAATAAAAATAAAAAAAGTAATTTAGCTGTGCACAATTTTATGTTTTATACTTTTTATACTTTAGGAGTTATTGTATATCTTGTAACGAGTATAGTTTAATTGAGTTTTCTTTGAATGAGTTATAGTTATAAGCAGTGGCGGAACCAGAACATTTTTCCATTGGGGGTAAAACATATTTAATAGGAGCATATATATTATTTATTATGGGGGCAACTAATATTATTGTTACAAATTTACACTAATTATTTTTTTTTATTGGGGGCAACTGCCCCCAACTCATTGTATATACATCCGCCACTGGTTATAAGCAAAATTTTAAATATACTGAAAGGCAAGTGAGTAACTAAAAACTGAATGGGGGCAAAATAGAAAATTAGAGTGGGGCACTGACTAGAAATTCAAGTAATTAAGAAATGATTTAATAATTTGACTGGGGGCACTTGCCTCCTCCTTGATACAAGTAGCTCCGCCCCATGTGCATTAGTTGGTTTAATAGTTGCTATTTATAGATATACTGTTTATACAGTTAACAGTTGATCATGTATATAAGCCATTATTAAATAAAAATACATGAATGTTTATTCTAAGTAAAAACAGTGAAAATTATCAGGATTAATACAAAATGCATATAATGACCACTGTCCTCATCATCTATCAACAAATACAAAAAATTATAACCCTCCAATTTAAGAAACCTTAAAGTGACAAAATATTAATTAAATATTTTCTTTGTATAGCAAAAAAATTGGTAGAAATTTAATGAACTTTTTGAGAAGAGTAAATGCTTAGTTGGGAGTTGAATTTTGATGATGAAGGAGCAGCTGTTGCCAATGAGAAGCATGATCGAGCAATTTCGGCTAGTAAATGTGAAACCATATGTAAAGGTAGGAATATGAGAGATACATTTATGCTAGAGAAGGAAGACGACCTGATGAGACAGATATGGAAAAGACATACAAGAGATGCGAGTTTTGTTTCTGACTATAATTAGTTAATTACAAATGCATATACGTTAGAAAAACAATTGTTAATCCTTAGGTCAAACAAAAAAAAAACTGTCAATCCAGATAAGCATATCTTTTTTTGAAGCTAGCAAATCAGAGGAAATCCTATAGATTGAGTTACTATATAGGCAAAATGCAAATAGTAGATCATCCGTTGTCCCCTCTATCATATAACCAAAATGAAATCCATTGACCAATATCGCAATTAATCACCAAAATTAACAACATCAAAGCAGGTTACAAAACCAATTAAGCAGTAATAGTAAATAATGAAAATCACCATGCAAGAGCCCCATTTATTTATATTGATTTCACACGAGCGTACACACACACACGCACAAAGGCAGCCATATATAACGGTGGTGATATATTTACTTATTTAGGCTTCGAGGACGTGGTTGTCCATGTCAGCAGCCATGCTCTTGACGAACTTCATGTAGTTGATGGGCTCAGGCGAGTCATCGGTTTGCTTCTCCCAGATCATAGTGACCTTGCAGACGATATCTTCAGGCGACTTTTGAATGAACTGAAATATGACGTCATACACCTTAAGAGTCTCCATAACGTGACCTTCGAGACCTCTAAACGTGACCGCCATATTCTCATCGTCTATCTCTCTCCTCTCCTTGAACACTTCCGGTTTCCCATCTTCATACACAAATTTACATACATGTGTTTCATTCTTCATTAAGCTAGCACCATATGTATAGAATAATATATATAATAATATATATATTTGCATTTTTAGAAAAAGAAAAACATCCGATAGGAATTCAGTCATGTTTGGTTATTAACTATATATGTTTCTCTACATTTTATTTGAAGCAAAACATTCCAATGTGAAGTCTGATTATATGGTAAGATAGATTAACTATAATTAACCAACAATAAAAGCATGCAGAGTTCAAACATAGTGAATGTATTAAACTGAGAGAGAGGTGCGTTTTATTGATCAAACCCTATAAACGCTTTATTCCATATAAACTCTATACCGAAACCCTATCGGACATGGAATATATATATGTATATTTTTTTCTATTTTTTTATCAAGAATAAATGTATTTTTTACCGCATGTGTAGTTCCAAATCTTGATGGCTCCATGAGAGTCCCATTCGCCGTCGTGGACGGTGACACCTTGGATGTGGTGGCCAATGGCGTCGGGGAAGAGGTGGTTCTCATTTCTCCACCGCTTGTAGTGTTTCTCCGCCGATCCTTTCAACGGAACCTCCGTCACATATGTTCCTGACGTCGCCATCTTTCTCTCTTCTTTAGGTATTGAGAGTGAAGTTTGTTTCTTTGTTTTTTCTTTGGTTAATGAATGAATAGTTTCCGTTGTGTTATCCTTCGTTTATATAGAGAGAGTAAGGTCAAAACGTGAATACATGTTGTTATTATCTTTCATTTGACGATAATGATTTTTTTCCAACGATTATTATGTATTGTCTCGTTGTTCACCTCGTTATTCACGCTTACGATCGAAATTCTTATAATAGAATGATAATTATTAGTTTATGGAGAGAAAAAAAAAAGAATGACAAGTAGTATTAGGTTTGACAAAATGCAATAATGCATACGGCCATCCATATCTATCACCGTCATCCATATCAAGAAATATATATAAAATATATGATCTTAAGAAAATAATGTATTAATTTTATGGTTTATTTCTGGAATTCTAACGTGTACTATCTGGCTTTCAAGGACGGGTTCATTAAAACCGTCGGCAAAAGAATCATAATTCTTGATATGATGTGTTCCTCGAAGTCCGAACGTCCACGAGATGAAGATATGGTGGATTCTTTGCGAATAGTGGCTAAGCATAACAGCATTACTCTTTGAAATCACTAATTAACAGGGATACTTACATACTTCCATATATACTATGTAAGTGAATATATATATATATATATATATATATATATATACACATGAACAATTAATCTTACATTGAGCACATCCAGCCGCTCCTGCAATTATCAGCAATAATGAATCTTTTGACTCTCCTTTTTTGGAGGCTACTCAATCTTTATTAGTCACTATTATTACTATTGCGCAAGAACACTTTACTGTCCATAGGGAAAGTGAGAGCATTTGTCTCAGCGATTTTGGTTCAACTAAATTTGTCTCATTGATTTGTCAGATTCAAACAAAGATGAATCCGATTCAATAGATCTTATGACACTTTTCAGGAAAAGAATCCTTAGAAAGAGATCGATTAAACCATCAACCAAGGCTAAGGAGATGGACTGACAATGTACTGGTTGTAGAAACCAAGGACGTGGGAATGGAGATGGACTTGGCTAAAACTCTGTACTTTCCTAAGCACTAAACTCGATTGAAGTGAAATATTCCAATGTTTCTGGTTTATTATTTGTACCCCCTAATATCCCCTAATATCACTGCTTGTAACCCTTTCCTAATAACTGTATGGTCACGGTCATAGCTTGTAATTTTATCTAAAAAAGACGAAGAATAGAATATGTATACATTGACCTCGAAATGTAATCACCATAATTAACAACATCAAAGCATATTACAAAAACCCAATAACAATATTAATAGTAATTAATGAAACCATACAAGAGTCCCATTTATTATATTGATTTAACCATACAAAGACACAAAGAGACGCACACACACACAAAGAAAGCCGCTTATGACCGTGGTGATCATGATGGTTCGAAAAGGATATATTTAGGCTTTGAGGACATGGTTGTCCATGTCAGCAGCGAGGCTCTTGACGAACTTCATGTAGTTGATGGGCTCAGGCGAGTCATCGGTTCGCTTCTCCCAGACCATAGTGATCTTGCAGACGATATCTTCAGGCGACTTTTGAATGAACTGAAATGTGACGTCATACACCTTAAGCTCCTCCATCACGTGACCTTCGAGCCCTTTAAGCGTTACCGCCATATTCTCGTCGTCATTCTCCCTCTTCTCCTTGAACACCTCTGGTTTCCCATCTTCATACACACGCGTAGACATTTGTACATATTCATTATTAAGTTAGCACTACATGCATGATTGGATAAAAGTTTTCTTTTTCATTTTTGTAAAATGTTAATTAGATAAAAAAAAAATCTTCATAACAAAACATGTAAAGTAAGTGAATATATTAAATTGTGAGAGAGAGCTGAGTTTTTTTAATCAAACAATATAAACGCATTATTCAATATAAAGTTTACTGAAAACACTAGTTTTTTTTAAAAAATAATCTACTGAAAACCCTAATATTCAGACATGAATTATATATTTATATATATTTTTAAAAGTAAATGTAATTTAATTACCGCATGTGTAGTTCCAAATCTTGATAGATCCATGAGAGTCCCATTCACCGTCGTGGACGTTGACACCCTGAATGTGGTGGCCGACGGCGTCGGGGAAGAGGTGGTTCTCATTCTTCCACCGCTTGTAGTGTTTCTCCGCCGATCCTTTCAGTGGAACCTCCGTCACATATGTTCCTGACGTCGCCATCTCTCTCTCTTCTTTGGGTATTGATTGAAGTTTCTTGTTTGTTTTATTTTGTTTTGTTTATATTTGGTTGGTGAATGAATATTTTCCGTTGTGTTATCCTTCGTTTATATAGAGATTAGAGAGCGTCACGGTTAAAAAAAAAAAGTAAATACATGTTGTTATCTTCATTTGACGAGAAAAAGAAAAAAACTATGCCCATGTGCATATTATTCATGATTACGAATTTACGAGTAAGTGTAATTTACTAAGTTAAAACTAATTGTTATTTTGTATTATCTCGTAATTCACGTTTACGAAGTTCTTATCACAGAATGATCACACAAATAAAAATAATATGTATTAGGTTTGACAAATTACAATAATGCATACCAGCACTATCTTTCATCGTCATCCATATCAGGAATATAAATAACATATCTAATCTTAACCAAATGATTATTAATTTTATGAAATTCGAATGTGTACACTATCTGGCTTTTAATTACGCCTTCATTGAAACCGTCGCCAAACAAGACATAACATGCCTAAAATATCATAGTCAAGCCAGTGAATCATATCTTAAGTGAGGCCGATAACAATCGCTAATTCGCTATCGTCTTTCTACAAAAGAGGTAATAGGTGAATTTAGTCCGATAGGAAACCTAGCTGAAAATGACCGGCTACCCATCTTTCCAAAAGTTTTTTGTTAACATCTTTTAAAATGTGTTTTATAAACCGAAAAGTGAAATGGATTACTTTTACTTTAGGGATAATCAATGAGTTTTTTAGTTAAACCGCGTGGATTGATGTTAATTATATCTTGTTAGTAGCTAAAATTATTATATAGGCATGTATAATCTTAGGCACTTTTTATTTTTGTAATTTTTACATTATATTATTACTTTAACTCAATCAAAACTTTACCAAATGCTTTTACACCAAAAGATGCAGAGTTTGATTCCCGGAAAATGCAAATTAAAGGAGACAAAATTTAAGAGATTTTCAGCATGGTGTAAAGAAAGCTTTCAGTCATGGTCTAGCGTATCAATGTTGTTAAGGATCCATCACAAGAATGGTGTCAGATAGAACCATTGATCATAGATCTTTTTTTTTTTTCATCTGAATATATATTTGAATTGAAATATTGAACGTGTTACAATATCCCTGAGGATACCAAAAAAGACAGGATCGAGGAAAATCAAACCAAGATGAACAACCAGTATTACTACTATGCAACACTACGTTGATTAACAAAAAATTCCTTTAACCATCTCGGGAATCCATAAGCAATATATGATTGCCAACGATCCTCTCTTGTAACACTTTGAGCAATAAGGTTGGCTCCACCATTAGCCTCATATGGTTCCAGAACCACTTTCCACTCTAAAATGGAGCCTAGAATTGATAATAACTCCTTGGACTGATGTTTGAAGGATGGCCATGCAGGAGGACGATTAACAGCACCAATAAGCTCATCAGATTCAGCAGCAAAGATAATCTTAGTGAATTTCAGAGATTTGATGCTATCAAAAGCCCAAAGCCAGCTTTTGAGGTTTGCATCAGATTTAGAGCCAATATTCACAAAGGATCTTCTTCCATGACACAAAACCTCTCCTTTTTCATTTGATAGAACCCACGCCGCTCCTCCACATCTCTTCCACTTATCCCACGATGCTCCAATATTGCATTTGACCCACTGAGAAGGCGGAGGAAACCAAACCTTCCGATCCCTATGATCCCTTTCCTTTGATCTACAATCTTCCTTCTCTGTCAATTCCTGGGCTTGGAACCATTGATTAGAATCCTCTTTAATCTTCCCAATTGTATCGAGGATATGAAAGTTCATTCCTTCAAAAATGAAGTTGTTGCGATTCTTCCATAACATCCACAATATCCAGGGAAAGGATCTTCTAACCTCCAAATCCACCTCCAAACACTTTCCCATCTCCAGCAAGAAAAATAAGTTCTGATACTCAGAAGCTTGATTAAATCCACATTGAGGATATGGAAAGTTGGAAAGAGCCCAGATTTGTCTCGCCATCGAACAAGTAAACAGAATGTGATTAACCGATTCACCCTCAAGACCACAAATTTGACACCTAGAGTCCGCCTTCATTCCCCTCGCTAAAATCTTGTCAGCCACCGGAATAGCACCACTGATAACTTTCCATAAGAACACCTTGATTTTAGGAACAGTTTTCAGAGCCCAGATTTTGTCTTTCAGCGGATTAAGAGAGGGAAGCATAGAGGCTTCTCTAATTGCATCACTTCTGTAAATCTGACAGGCTAGCCAATAACCTGACCTCACTGAATATTCCCCACTTCTATTGTGTTCCCAACACCAATAGTCCTCCAATTCTAAGATTGGCTTGATCTTCAAAATCAGTTCAATATCACGAGGGAAGAACAGATCATCGAGTTTGTCCCTATCCCACCATTTTGATGTTTGGTCTATAAGGTCTTCAACCCTTAGATCAATATTTACCAGAATGTTCATCATTAGCGGAGCTCTCATACCACCATCATTCAACCAACAGCTGGTCCAAACACTAGTAGACTTACCATTACCAATCATTGGTCTAAGCCCTCTACTCAGAAGCTCTCTACCATGGATAATGCTTCTCCAAGCATAAGAAGGTCTTAATCCCAATGCTGCATCTAAAAATCCATCATCCCCAAAATATCTACTTTTCATGAACCTCGAAAATAGACAATTTGGTTCTTGGAGGATTCTCCAAGCCTGTTTGGCTAAAAGTGCTTGATTGAATATTTGGATATCCTTGAATCCAAGACCACCTTGAGCTTTAGGCAAACACATTTTATCCCATCCAGTCCAGTGAGTTTTACGAGCATTTTCTTTGGAGTTCCACCAGAAATCAGACATAGCACTAGACAGCTTCTTACATGTACCCTTAGGGAGCTTAAAACAGGTCATCGCAAAGACAGGCATTGCCAAAGCAATAGACTTTAGAAGAATATCTTTACCACCTTGAGAGAGAGATCTAGCATACCATCCAGACATTCTCGATTTCATCTTATCATGAATGTATGACAGCATATCAATCTTGGACCCACTGAAGCATTCCGGCAACCCCAAATAAGTACTTGCACCACCTTCATTATAGATCCCAAGACATCCCTGAATTTTGCTTCTCATAAAACCACTCACTTTCTTTCCAAAAGTAATAGAAGATTTCTCCAAATTGATGGTTTGACCTGTGGCTCCTTCATAAGATTTAAGAATCTCTTGAATAGTTAGGCATTGATCTTCGCTAGCTTTGCACATGAACAAGCTATCATCAGCAAACAAGAGGTGGTGAATAGCAGGGCCCGAAGAGGAGAATTGAATACCATTGATGAGACCATCTCTCTCCGCTTGATTCATCAGAAAAGTCAGCCCTTCAGTGCATAACACAAAAAGAAAAGGAGAGAGAGGATCACCCTGTCTGATTCCCCTTTGAGGTTCCACCACCCCATGAGCCTGTCCATTGATGATGACCGTGTAAGAAACTGATGTAACACAGAACATCACCCAATCAATCCATTTGGTATGGAAGCCCAAAGCAGATAATAATGATCGCAAGTAGCTCCACTCAACTCTGTCATAAGCTTTGGACATGTCAGATTTGATTGCCATGTAATTCTTTGATATTGAACCGTGAGTCCTCAAGCTATGAACAGCTTCATGAGCAATCAGAATATTATCACTAATCAATCTCTCAGGAACAAAAGCTGATTGATTCGGTGATATAATTTCGGACAGATGAGGTTTGATTCTTGACACCAAGATTTTTGAAATAACCTTGTACAGCACTGAGCACAAACTGATAGGTCTCATGTCAGACATCAGAGGAGAGTTGTCTTTCTTCGGGATAAGGCAAATCTGGGTAAAGTTCCATTCTTTAGGGAAGGTTCCACCTTGGAAGAATTTCAAGATTTCCTCGGTGACTTTAGGGCCAATAATTTCCCAATATTGTTGGAAAAAAATTCCTGTCATTCCATCTGCACCAGGAGCACTTGCTCCTTTGATCGCAAAAAAGGCAGCTTTAACTTCTTCTTTAGAGACTTCACTTATCAGCACTCTGTTAAGACTTGATGTGATTCTGGGCTCAAAACCATCGAAGAAATCATGATCCTCACTGGGGGAAGAGGATGTAAAGAGATTCCTGAAATAATCAACCGCAATTTCACCTTTCGATGCTTTATCAAAGTGTTGGATTCCATTACTATCCAACAGCATCACCAAACTGTTCCTAGATCTAGAAGCCTTAACAGAGGCATGGAAGAATTTAGAGTTATTATCTCCTTCCTTTAACCACTTGGATCTACTTTTCTGCTTCCAAAACAATTCTTCATCACGGTAAGCTCCAACAAGATCCTTCTTAAGATTCTCCATTGTGAAGAAGGAGGGAGTCAAATCCGAACACTCTTTTTCCAACTCAGATTGAAGCATGTCAATTCTCTCTCTAGAATTAGCGACATTATCTCTTTTCCATTTACTCAAGGCACGACGACAACGGCGGATTCTATCAGCAACACTGACATTAGAATTAGAAGAATTGTCATTCCAAGCTAGAGTCACCGCTTCTTTAACAAGAGGTTGATGAAGCATTCTTTTATCAAATCTGAAAGAGCCACGATATGATTCTTGTGAAGACATCAGCGATACCAGCACCGGTCTATGATCAGAACCTCTTTTATCCAGAAAAGCTTGATTAGCTGCTGGGAACATCTTGAACCATTCCTTGTTCCCAAAGCATCTGTCCAGTTTGCATTGAACCCACAATTGATATCTCCTACCACCCCATGTGAATCCGTTACCCGTGCTTGGTAATTCATCCATGTTACACCCAGACAGCATATTGGCGAATGGAATAAAGGAGCTATCAGCTCTCCTTCGACCTCCTATCTTTTCATCATTGCTCAATATTTCATTGAAGTCGCCAATCATGCACCAACTTTCTTTTCTCAGAATACCAATCCTCAAAAGTCTTTCCCAAACTCCTGATCTGAGACTGAAATTTGGATTTCCATAAACACATGTAACATAAAACTTGAAGGATCCCAACTGTACATGGAGATCCATGACGTTCTTATCTACAAACTCAATATTTACCATCACTGATTTCTTCCAGAACAATGCAAGTCCACCACACTTGCCGATCGGATTCACCGTATAAACAAAGTCATAACCCAACCACTCCTGCATATCTACAAGAACATTCCTTGAATTCATTGTTTCCATTAAAAATAAGATATCCGGGAAATGCTTTTTGCGCATCTCCATCAGCCGAGGAACTGTCAAATCTTGAGGCCGCCCCAATCCTTGGCAGTTCCAACTCAGAATACTCATTGGATATTGGACAGTCCCTCATTTGGGACCATCTCATGAGTATTTGGCTTCGCAGCTTTGGAGACTCCTTCCAATTTTTCTTTATCTTTTCTCTTCTCAGTGATGCCTTTAATCGTACCTTCCTTTTTCTTAACTTCTTCTCCAACTAGATCCGCCAAGGCTCCATTAATCTTTCTAACTCTTTTACCTGGTCTCTTCCTTGGTTTGTTCACTTTCATTTTGGATCCGGAAGGACTAGCCCCAAAGGAGCCACCCCTGTTACCCGTAGTTCCAAAATGAGAGTTAATAGAACCATAACCCTCTTCATCATTTGGATTAATTTTATTCAAAGTGGGATTTCCCAGAGCCCAGCTACTTCCTGCTCCTGATAGCATCGCTGAAGACATAAGCTTTTGGCTATTCGGTTTAATCATTTCTGATTGGGTCGACGCGTCAGATGAATCATAGCCAAACACAATCCCCTTCCCTTTAAGAGTGTCTCTAGTAATTACCGGAGGAGGTTCAAGTCTCAATATCGATTTTTGTGAAGCCAACGAACATTCAGCATCAGCAACCGATTTCTTGACCCTTTCCTCTCTGATTTTCCTTTCCTCACCTTCCACCACCATAAGATATTGACGCATACCTTCAAGAACTTCAGCAGCAATTTTTGGACGACCCAAAACTGGATGAATTCCAACTTGTTCTTCCTTAAGAACCCCATATAACGGGTCATCCTTTTTCAAGATCAACTCAGGAATCTTTTTTTCAGACTCACGCCCCAATCTTCTATCCACTGCTTGATCAAGTCTTTTCTTTATGATCAACGGACAAACACTCTGCTCATGAGTTAATCGCTGACAAGAATAACATCTTTTCTGGACTCTCTCATAGAAGTATTCAATTGAAACCTGACCTCCACCCTTCGGAAGGTTGATTACCTTCGATTTCCTAAGCGGTTTAGACACATCAAATCTTATCTTTACTCTCACAAAACCACGACTTTGAGATTTGGTTGGGTCGAAAGCAACTTCCACCACTTGACCAACTATATCCCCAAATGCTGTAATAGCTTCTTCAGTGTAATGGTTAACCGGAATATTGCGGATCTGAACCCATATTTCCACAAACTGCAGATAATCACTTGGCGGGTGGTCCACCCATTTTTCCATAGCTAGAGCCCACTCGTTGAAACAGTAAAGCCCTTTCTTCATAATCTCTTCCATATCTTGTTCAGTTTGGAAGATAAACTGAAATCTTTCTTTAGATAAAGCCACTCCACGGACTCTATCCTGCTTTAGCCATTTACGAGGCATGTCAAGAATGAGATTCGCCATTTTTTGACAGTCAGGATTAAGAAGCCTTCCTATCACACTGAATACATTCTTCTCACAGGAGCTATACTCAGGCAGGTCTAGAAGATCAAATGGGAGGTCCTCTTCTTCAAGAGACATCGCCATGAGAGCTTTATCCATCGCTGCTGACATCTTAACCTCACAGAATAACACCAACAACAACCACTTTCAAACCCTCACGACACCTGCTATATACCACTTTGAAACAGCAAGATTTCAAGAAGGTGGGATAGAGGATTTTAAACGGAAGGAAAGATATAATGGATTTAAGATCTCAAGAACAGCCACAAACACTAGGTCAAGGGAAGGATTCCAGAGAAAAAGCTCAAAAACCAAGGTAACTGGATAAGAATTAACAAAGGGAAAGTGTTTTTTCCACTCAAAAGCTCGATCTTGTTAAAAAGGAAACCCTCTAACACAGACAGAGAGACTTGATGAAATCGTCATTTTGCTTTCTTTTTAAAGAAAATATGTTTTCTGTCAGCTATACAATCACTTCTTGCCGTACCTCATCAATACGCATAATTTAAATTAGTTTTTTTTTTCATCTACAAGAGCTTGCTTTCTAATTTTTAGAAAATATGAAATAAAATGTGTAGCTGATTTTAAATTTTGTGACAGTTTTTTTTGGATTCTTAACATAGTATTTTGATATTTTATTAACATAGCTCCAAACACACATAACATATTTGGAGTTTCAGTAGACACATTAATTCCAAATATTAAGTTAAGAAAAAAACAAACCCCATAAACTCAGAGAGAAGAAGAAAGAAAATTAATTGTTTGCTACCCCAAAAATTAAAAGTCTTAATAAGCCATTGAGCAATGCAAAAAGGCTACTTTTACCTCTGGTTCAATCCACTAATGAAACTACTAACCACTGCAATTAACATAATCTAAACAATTTTTTTTTCCCCTGCAAGAGCTTTCCTCTCTATTCTCATTTTTTAACGCTGAGTTTATTCAGATAGGAAAATGGGTTACAAAAGGAAGAATACCAGTAGGTACCCTAAAACCCATGTTACAGACTTGAGAAATAGAGTACTATAACTAATTTACCTTTAAAAAACCATATAAGAGAAGGGCAAAAACCATGGACATAAAAAAAACAGAGAGGAAAGACCAGGTAAACAGAGACCACTCAACTAGCCTTAGCAGCCTCATCAGCGATTCGATTTTGCAACAAAGAAGTTGAGCAATGTAAGAAGCATAGCGATGGTCTCTAGTCACAGTGTTTGCAATATCATTTGCTCTCTATTCTTTAGACCAAAATGTAGAGAGTTACAAAAACTTACAATGACCTCAACAAAACGTTAGCCTCTCTCTCTGCTTAACTCTTCAGACCACAATTTTCTGCGTCTGTAGTCATCTTTGTGTAATGAAACTCAATCTGTAAACGGTGATGAACATGAACGGTCGAGGCTAATCCTTTCTTGATATCTTCTTGCAAATCCCTAATCGGTATTGCGGCCAAGAAACTCTTAATATACTCTTTACATGACTCTTTGCCTCTGCACACAACAATCTCTGATTCTGATCCATCAAGATTCTTGCTGATGATGGTTTTATCGTCGAATTTCAAAATGTAAGCTTGATCACAACCTTCATAGAGCCTTTCTCCAAATGTGTCAATGATATAGTAAGCTTCCTTTTCAACTTTCAGGACGAAGAAGTGATCATTCCAACTCACAATATAAACATCACTCTCATCATCGAGACTAAAAATCTCATCCCACATACTATCAAATGACATTGCTTGTTGCAGAAACTCGAGTCTTCCCTCGTTGGTCATCCCTTCAGGCTGGAAAAACCCGGTATAGGATTTCCCGTTGACAACAGTTAAAGAAGACCGGACCTTTGCTTGTAGCACAGTGTCTAGATCGAAATGCTTGTCAGGGAATCTCTGCATGTACGTTTCGTTTTCGCAGAGTTTTCTCCACTCTAACGAGCCTTCTCTGATCAAACTATCGAACTGAGACTTACTCGGCATGAGATTACCGTTCTTATTAAACCAATCAGCTATAACCGCTACAAGAACGGTGCATGCACTCTCACCACCTGCTTGCTTGCTTCTCTGATCGATGGAAGCAAAAATGACATTTGTCTTAAGCTTCATATGTCCCTCTCGGCTTATCACTTCTTTTTCCTCCCAAGTTCCAACCGCAAAACTCTCTTTTCCATCATCTCCGTTGCTCCTCTGCAAATAAACATATGCAAAAGACTCAGAACTTGAAGCACTTTAAATAGGACAACTTCGTTGTGGTTTTTGTCTAAAAGCTTATTATTCCATGTGGTATGTGTGTGCATGTGACATCCCATTTCTAAGCAGGTTCAGTTTCAAGCAAAAAAGGCAAGAAACTCTGTGCAAGTCAAATCCTGAAACCAAAAACACAACATAGTCTTGAACGTGCAAAAACGGATGCAAGTTTCAGAACAAAAGTTTGTGTTTTCGCCTGAAAACCTAAGATTGTGTTTTGGCACAACCGTTACCAAAAAATCCTTTGTTTTTCTACCGTACCAGGTTCTTAGATGCACAAGTGCTATTAGGAATCGCTAGTCTGTAAAACTCCCAAGAATCACTTGCTTCCGTAATAGATTCTTGACCAAAAGGATTCATCTTGATGAAATCTTGAACGTTTTCGGCTTCCACCAACTTCTCCAGATAAAGTCTCAGATCACCACCATTACCTGAATTCCAGTGTAGAAGATTTTCAAGAACTAAACAACAAAGATTACTGTATTCTTGCTCTTCTGTATAAGAGATAGATTCACTAAAAAAGTTTTACCTAGAGATGCGTCTTTCTTGTTCTGATGGTGGTATGAGTGAGGAAATATTGCAGTATATGGCTGTTAAATTCCATTCAAAAAGGGTTAAAACATCTATCAATAAGCCAAAAAAATTGTTGTTGTATAAGAAGATGCAGCAAAAAAAAAGCTTACCGGGTTTAGCAAAGCCTTGTAAGGAGAATCGTCGAGCAAAACCGTGTTGGTTTTGTTGTAATCACCTGCTTCCCATGGAAGTTTTTTATGTTGTTTCTCCCAGAGCTTGTTTAGATCCTTGAACACAACAGGTTTGTGCCTATTTTCAAGGGTCGTAAGAGTGGTCTTAGTACAATAAGACATGTCCTGCAACAATGGCAAAATTAGATAAAGTTAGTTTCTAAAGAAAAAAATAAAAGAACAGGAGAAGGCCTGTAAAGAAACACTTACCCAAGAAAACAACAATTTACTCTTCATATCTCCAAGCAAGAACTCAGTGATTCCTTCAACATTTTCTCTGTAAGTTATCGAAATATTTAATCTATTTACACATATGATCTTTTATATATGGAAAACGTGTGAACTGTGAGTAACGTTCTTACTGCTTTCTCGAGGACCAGATACCAACTTCAAACTTGTCAAAGCAGAACTTGAGAAATTCTTCGCAGAAAGGTCTCTTAAAAACTTCACAAAAACAAAAAATGCAGACAAGTAAGTGATATTTCAATTAGTAGAGTATTAGTGTGGACTTGCAAAAGATTTTAAAACTTACTTGCCCTTCTTTTGATAATAATGTCCGGTTTAGAAACTGCGGGAGTAGAAACTATATCTGCAAGCAATCCGTTAAGATCAAGAACAAGAAGTTTTTTCCTAGAGACAGATCTTTCTTTGATTCCATCTGAAGCAACACAAGCAACTTCTTCCTTCTCTATCGCATCTGATGTAACAGAAGCTTCGTTTTTCTCTTCTATGTTTGCATCACTTGCGACAACATCATCAGCTTCTTCCTGTTCTATCTCCAAGTCTTCACAAACATCTTTCTCTTCTTCAATATCTTGTAAACCGGTTTCAACATTATTGATTCCATCGTCTGGTGCAATACAAGTCTCTTTGTTAACATGATCAACCACTGTTTCTTTTCGTTCATTCCCATTGCTAACATCAACCGCTGCTTCGTTTTGTGACAACATGGGATCAACGTTTCCTACATATTATCAAACATATAATCAGTAGTCACATTAGAAAACCAGTCTTCAACACAAGCAAGAATCCAAGAAAAGATCATACACAAAATATCTACCGAGACTTAACAATATAATTAGTTTCACTATAAACTGAAGTCCCGAAATGCATACCAAAAGAGTTAAAAGAAAAACCACCAATATAGCTCAAAACTTACCAGAAGAGGATCCAATGTCTTCTTTGCAAATAAAATTCAAGGTGTCGGTCACAAGTGTGCTCCTCTCCAAACATAGCTCCATTTCCTTTGCCTTTATCCTCTTCAGCATTTCCTCTAAAGCTCTCTTCTTTCTTCCATCTGCAGCCATATTCCAATACGCAAGTGCCGTAGCTTCATCTAAAGCCAGGGAATGATTCTTCTCTGCCTTCCAGTATGAGACTAACTCTACACCAGAAGATAGTGGAGTGCTTGGTTTTTCCTCTTCTTCAATATTCTGTTTTCCTCCAAGCTTCTTCATTGATTTGGAAGGCAAAGCACCATCGCTTCCCCATATTTTTCTCGACAATTCAAACACTTTCTGCTTAACATCTCTAGAAAACACAATATTGTCTTCTCCACCCTTTCCCTTTTGAATAGACTTTCTCACAGTGTTAGCAATATTTTGCTTCAGCTTTCTAACTTTGTCTGTTACCTGGCTTTGACTAGCGTTAACACTGATCCGTTCCTTAACAAAACCATAAAATCTGTCCTTGTCCTTAAAAGGGTCTCCACTAGTAGAGTTGAAGTCAAGAAAGCCTTGAAGCAAAGCTACACTATCTTCTTCAGTGAACACTCTCTCAAACGAAGGCTGCTTCTATCCTCTGTTTCTCTGTTTTTGACCTCTTCTTCTTCCTAACCTCATCATGGTCTGCTTTCTCCAAAGAGCGTTTGGCCGTCGAGCTCTTAGGATGGGAAATCTCAGGCTTTGGTTTCCTGTTCGTGCTCTTCTTCCACATCAACAAATGTCTTCCTCGCTTTCACTTTTCTGACAATCAAAACAAGCAGATCTCATCATAATCATAGGAGAAAATCAACAACAGAACAAAAGAGACGTACTTTGAAAAATTACAACTAATTAAGGAAACAAAAGAGACAATAGTATAGTGGTTTCACTTCTAACCTCAACGTGAGTGTCTTTTGCATCAGTATGTGATGGCTTAAAAGAGTGAGACTCTTCTTCTTCTTCGTCTTCCTTCGAAGAGACTAAGCGAGGATTAGCAGTTTTTTTTTCCTTCTTCGGTGCCATTAGTAGAGAGAGATAGAGAGGAGATACAACGATTTGTGGATGCAAGACTCTTCTTCTTCTCTTGGCGATTTTTGCTTGCTTATAGGGTTTTGTGACATGTTGTTCAAAGGAGTGACCTTTGAGTGTCTGCGTCTAGTTTAATTTACTGTAATTGTTTTTGTTTTTACTGTAAATCCCGTTTCCCGAAGTTAAACAGTTTATATAATAATATAATAATATATATTTTGTATTAGATATAAATTTTTAGTAGCTAGAATTGTTTTAAAATATTTTTGACGTGCCACTGATGTGACACTGGTGCTTTCTTTTAACAATTGGAAATTTAAACTAATAATGTATATTTTTTCTTAATTAGATATTTTTATTAATTTTTAGATCAATTAGCCTAAATTTTGGCGCCAAATAACCTCTACTTTTTTATTTAAATTCAAGAAGATCTTCCTAAGTATTACTTCTTAGACAGATAATGCAAATAAAAACACTAATTTACTTGATTTAGACATGCTTAAGTGGTTTTGAGATGTTTAGTTTTAACGTCCTCAATCTGAAATAACAAAAAATCAACTTTGACGTTTTAAAAAAACTAGGTGAAAGCCCGCGCATACGCACAGATAATTTTTTATTTTTGTTTAAATAATGTTTTTAAATCAATAACTATTTTCTTATTTAAGTTGAAAATAACCTTTATTTAAGGGAAGCTACAATGCAAATTTGTGGTTTAGAACGGAAGTAACTAATTATAATTGTGTACATTTTATTTGAATAAATAGTATTTGTTGCAAATTTATTTACCATGGTATTATAATTTCTTCTGTCTTTATTTAATTGTTTAATTCTTTATTTTTAATAACCGATCATGTTTCCCGTATTTTAGTTCTTTGGTATTTCTATTAAAATATTACTCCTTTTCATCTCCTATTCAAAGCAGTAAAATAAACTACCAAACTTGCATTTTAATGTGTACATGTCTGAAGTATATTTGCTGTTATTTCATTTTGGTGTTAGTGGTTTTTGTCCTTTAATAACGTCAATAATTTTAGTATGATTAATTTATAGTCAATTGAAGTTTACAAACACTATTCTGATTTTTTTTTTCTTTTTTTGGAGTTCTAGACTTCTAACTGTAGTTATATCTAAGAAATTCAATAAAACGGTTTCTTCCAAAAAAAATATTCAACTATGACCAGAAAACACAAGGAAAAAAAAAAGAACGTAAGCATTGGAGAAGAAAACATATATTAAGAAAATTAACCACATCACCAACATTAAAATGTCATACAACCAATTTTTAACAACAAATTTATAATCAAGTCACGTTAATTATCTTCTTCATCACCACTTACTATAAGTCATCTTCTTCTCAATCTTAAGCCCGGCTCCATTTCCCTTTTCTCCAAACTTGGCAAGGCCTTAGATCAGTGTAAGCAAACTCCAATCTCTCATCAGTCGTTTTGAAGTAGACACCATATCGCGTGTAGTTGCTGTTTATCTTATAAACTCGACCAGACCACCATCCATCGTTAAACCAAGCTTCCACATCTTCTAACAATTCATATCGACACGCCCTTTGAATAAGTTGAGGAGGATTAGGTCTTATATCTAGGCCTCTTGCTTCTTCCTTTAAAAACTCTCTTCCATCTCAGTGTTTGATACTCAACGGTGTATCTGTTTTTCCCCTAAGTAGCTTATAATCTTCTCAGAGTACCATGAGCCTTCGAAACCTCGTTCATCGCTTCTAACTTCCACCATCATTCCGTTGTTTAACACCTTCTTTGCTCTCTTACAAGATTTCAGCTTCTTCCATGGAGGTTTGAAGCATTCTCCCTGTACACAAAAAGGAACGCACAAACTGTGAGAGTTATAACAGTGTAAACACCTGTATTCAACAAATAATTAACAAGATTAGTTAATAGCAAGACATTATATGTAGTAGCCATACTTGTAAGAATTAATCCATCGTCCATTGATCCACTCTTTCCGGGGCCTCAAATTGAAATGTAGGACAGTCAATTCTTCACCCGTGGAGATGAAATAGACTAAGTACGTTGAACCTCATGCGAGCACTTTGGAAACCCTGCTGATCCACCACCGTTTGTTGAACCAAGCATCAACTTCATCCCCTGGTTCATAGCGTGCAACAGGCGAGAGTTGTGAAGGAGGAACTGGTCTTATGTTCTGGGCTTCTACCAAATCTCTCAGAGGGATAGACTCGTCGCCAGCTCTGGAAAATCTCAAGTGTTCAACAATGTACTTAGCATCACCTAATAAATTAAGTATACGTGCACAATATCAAGAACCCGTGTAAGCTTCTTCACTTCTGACTTCCACAATAGCACCCTTCTCATATTGAGCTCTTTCTTTGGATTTTATCTTCAGTTTTTGATACTTTTGGTCGTCGATTCCAATACATTGCCCTGTGATCAAAGAATTGTGAGTACATTAAGGCAAATCCCAACAAATCCTCCAACTCAATTGCTCAATATATATATATATATATATATATATATTCACTGCGACTGAATTTGGCGAAAATACAATAGGAAAAGATTTTAAACCAAGGATCTCAGAACTAAGTCGTGAGAGCTTTAACATTCTCCAGTCCCATACCAAAAATTCTCAGAACATAGCCATCAAAATGTCAAATGACAAAGAATGTATCGAGAAATTCTTAGAACTTGCCGTCTTCCACAACCACCTCATAAGCTTTCCTTTCCATCTACACAAAACATAAAGATGACAACAATAAGAAACAAGTTCTAATTCCTGGGCATAGTTACTTCTTGAGCAGAGATAAAAAGAATGGATACTAACCTGACCAAGATACTTAATGCAATGTTGTTTTAGTTTCAATCGAGGACATTTCTCCACAAGATTTACTTCTTTCCCCTCGCCAGTATGAAGCCTGCAACATTTGAATCAAACCCATTTCTAAGTTTAGTTACTTGATTCAGGACAAAAAAAGAAAAGAAAAGATAATGAATAGGTGGGAAGAAATCACCAGTAGAAGAAAGGTTCTCTACTCTGACAGTGGAGCCATTTGTTGTAGTAAAAGTGCAGGTTGTGTCCATACCGATGTCTTGGGTCAATCTGTTGGAAGAAAGTTCATAAACGAAACTGAGATTAGTCACAAACATACCGCTTCAAGCCAGTGTTGTTAAGCAAGGTTTTGAGCCTTTCCGTTCTTTGCCAAACCTTTACCAACCTCAGCTGCTCTCAATTTCTCTCTACGGAACTGAGCAAGCAATGGATTCTTCAATTCTTTCCAATTCTCAAAATCCTTACGAAGAAACCAATCGAGATACAAAAAAAAGAGAGAGATAAATCACCTTGGTCTGTTGGTTTGACCCTGAAATCGGTAATTGAAACTGTTTTCGCGGTGCCAAAACTTTTGCTTATTAGATTTTCGGCTCAGGACAGGACGAAGACATATCTCTAGCCCAGAATGTTAACCAATATAATCAAATTGCTCCCAATTATTCATGAAACCCTATAGTAAATACCGGTTTAATGTATTGGTACAATCATGGTTAAGTTTCCTTTTGCTTTCCATGTATATATATATTGAACTCTGTAATCTCATTTGTTCAATAATGAAGAAGATAATTTTCCTTAATATGGTATCAGAGCACTCTAACAGAAATTAGAGAATTTCCGCCATTTTCATCTTCTTCGAGCTTCGCGAAATCTGATTTTGAGCCTCGCACGAGCTATGAGCTTATCGATTTCTCAACTGTGTGTCGATTTCCTCTCCAGATTTCTTCTCGCTGTGTTTGATTTCTTCTTGTTTCTTGTTCTTATCGTTTTCTTTTCGATTTTCCTTCTATTCTTGACCTGAATTCATCGCGTTTTCACTTGGCTTTCAATCTTTCGCGTTGAATTGTTCTCTTCGATTTCAATTTCTGCATTAGAAATGGCATCGAATAATCCATCCACAGCGATTCCCAATGTTTCTCCTCTCGATCAATATGAGAATCCATATTACCTCATGCGTCCGATCATTCCGGTCTCGTCTTAGTATCCGATCGCTTCGCTTCAGGTTCTGATTTTCATTCTTGGCGCCGATCTGTTCGGATGGCACTCAATGTCAGAAACAAGCTTGGCTTCATAGACGGTACGATCCCTAAACCATCTGATAATCACCGAGATGTTGGTGCTTGGTCTAGCTGCAATGACATGGTTGCGACATGGCTTATGAATTCTGTTTCCAAGAAAATAGGTCAGAGTTTACTCTTTATGTCTACTGCTGAGGCTATCTGGAAGAATCTTTTATCTAGGTTTAAGCAGGATGATGCTCCTAGAGTTTACGAAATAGAACAAAGATTAAGTTCGATTCAGCAAGGTCCTCTTGACGTTAGCTCTTACTATACCGAATTGGTTACGTTATGGGAGGAATACATAAACTATGTGGAATTGCCCGTATGTACTTGCGGCAAGTGTGAGTGCAATGCTGCTCAATTGTGGGAACAACTTCAACAGAGGAGCCGAGTTACAAAGTTCTTGATGGGACTTAATGAAGTCTACGAACCTACAAGACGTCATATACTGATGCTTAAGCCTATTCCCTCAATAGAGGATGTTTTCAACATGGTAACTCAAGATGAGAGGCAGAAGTCGATCAAACCGTCAACAAAGATAGAAAATGTTGCTTTTCAGACGTCTGCTCCTTCTGATGTTACCTCTGGATATTATGTTGGATCAACTGACAATCCG